CCGGTGAATGTCGAGCAACACAAGCTCATCCACGAACGCCCTTGCAGTGGTGTGGACGGGCGCGTACCGGTGGGTACGGTGACATACAAGCGGGCGCCCTTGTCGAAGACGGACTCCTTGGTGTGGAACTGTTCATAGTACAGGCGCATGCTGGGCGTGATGCTCTGTGACACCCAATAGATCATGCTGCATCCACCCACGCACAACCACACATAAACAATCGCCCAACGGCCATGAGAAGAGGTGAGCATTGTCCAGGATAAATGGGGTGCGAGTCACGAACATGTTGGTCAGCAGCTCGTCCTTGCTGAAACTGTTCTCGACATCACCTCGACAATCGCCCCAGGTTCTGAATTTCTGCGTAGGCCACGGGTCGCGTCAGGCCAAGCTAAGAGTTCGCGGACGTTGTATGAAGACCGCGTGTCGTACCTCAACGATGTAAGCTGCGAGACCCACCGGCGAATCGTTCAGCGCAAATCCGACCGTGTGTGGCTTGGTCGCCTGCAGGTGAAGATACCTGCGAGAAGACCATATGCCCATCAGCAACGCAGGCACCGAGCCACCACTCTTTGGGGGAGAGGGGGGATGGTACCCGGATTCCTCCAGGAGTACCGAGAAGACCTCCCGGATGTTGTGGATTTCGCGGGGCGTGTAGAACCAACTCGGAAAGAGGTACGACAGCCCCAGCTTCAGCGAGGCCAGCATTCCTATTCGCACGGATGAACCAGATTGATGAGGAGAGAGACCGAGCATGCGATGGGAGGAGCGACGGGGAAGCGGGACTGACACACCTTTGTCGGAGGGAGGGCCAGTGGGGAGGAAGTTGATGTGGATCGCGCGGCAGTGCTGGGGAGCCTGCATGCCAATCTCGGTGGTGATGGCGCTACCCCAATCGCCGCCTTGCGCCACATATTCGGTGTAGCCCAGGCGTTCCATCAGCTGGTGAACGTCATTGATCAGCACATATGAAGGTAGTGTGTAGGCGCCGTTTCAGTAAGTGAACCATCGCAATTCGATGCTAAACACAGCGAGAGAGGTGGAGTACCTGAACGAACATGGAGGCGATCTTGGTGGGATCGAATCCTGCTCGTTACCACCAGAGAGACATGCGACACTGGAGCGTTTAGTGATCGCCCTGCGGGGGATGGGCTGGATCTAAGCGGTACCGGGCTCCTTGGGGGCTTCAGAAAAGCCGTAGCCGGGAAGGCTGGGACACACGACGTGGAAGGGGATGCTGGCACGCTCATCTGCAAACAACAAACGTGATGGCTCATAGAAGAGCAACCGGTTAAGGTCGGCCAACAAGTTGCGACGGTTGATGTGGAGCACCACGTACCGGTGAGGAGCGGGATGACCTTGGTGCACTCCAACACCGAGCCGGGCCAGCCGTGCGACAGGATGAGGGGAATGGCGTTGGGCGCCTTCGACCGGACGTGCAGGAAATGCACCGACAGCCCCTCGATTTCTGCCCGCGTGGAGGAAGCTTCATTACAACAGACTCGAGGTGGTTCAACAAAGGGTGGAGGGGTACCGGTGGTGAACTGGGGGAACTGGTTGAGCTTGGCCTGCTGCTCGGTCCAGTTGTAGGAGTGGAGCCAGTAGTGGGTGAGCTCCTTCATGTAGGCGGCCGGGGTGCCGTAGGCCCACTGGTCGGCCGTTTCGAAGGTGTCCAGCGGCTGTGGGAAACGCGCGTGGGCCAGCCTGTACTGCAGGTCCTCCAGCACGCTCGCCGGCACATCGATCGAATATGGCTTCACCTCCCTGTTCGGTCATCGTTAGGTGCCAGCTAGGTCTTGGTGGGGGGGGGCAGCTATTTACGTATCAGCAGCGGCAGTGGCAGAATGAACAGCGAGCGCCGCCGCCATGAGAAAGACCACGACGCCCAGCCAGGAACGTCCCATACCAGCGCTGCCCGAGTGCATCTCAAGCTGTGTGGATGTGTCGTCTAAAGCTGGATTTGAGGAAGCACAAGCTTCTCCCCGAGTACTCGTGCTTGCTGCCGATTGGCCAACAAAAATCCGGCGAGCGGTACATTCTTTTCATACCAAAAACCATTACGTGGAATGCGAGGAATGCCGGGCCGCTTCACGACTTGTGTGGGTGGTGGAAGGCTGCGTTGCCGGCGAAGGTGAGGGTCTTGGTGGGTGGCGGCACCTGGCCCGGCTCGACCTCGTACTTGTAGTGCGGGGCCTGGTGGGCCTCGATGAAGTCAAGGAGCGCGTTGGAGAGGTACTGGCTGTGCTTGGTGTACTGGGCCAGGTTGTCCTCCGAGAAGAGCCGGAACGATTCGATGCGCTCGCACACGGCCTTGTTCAGCTGCGGGTCGAACAGCGGCATGCCGAAGGTCACCTCCACGACCGTCCACTCATCTGACTCAGGCGTTCGCTTGTGCTCCAGCACCGCGCTCTTGCGACTGCCGAGCCCAGTGTCGCCGTAGCCGTCGTCTTCATCTTCATCTTCATCTTCGTCGTCCTCGACAGGTTCACCTTCGCCGGAGAGTCGTCGGGCCACCGGCAGGTTTAGGGCGTGTGGGCTGCTCATCGTGATGTAACCGAAGCCGTACTGCAAGTTGAGCTTCTCTTGCAACTGCACGCAACACGTTTATCGTGAGTCTCACGCTGCTGTGATGATTACTCTTCACTTCCCGCTCATGTACCTGCTGCACGAATGGGTGGTACTCAAGGTTGTCTTGGTCGTACTCGGTCACTGGAGTGTGCGATCCAGCGGGACGCAGCCGATTAGAACGTTCGGTGTGGGCTGTGGGGCGAGGGAAACGGAGGGAAAGCTGTGTATGTACCGATGTAGCCCTCGGGCGGAGGTCGGACGGGAAAGGGGACGTGGACCACGGTGGACTTGTGGGCGTAGGCGAAGGCTTGGATCCAGACCGAGGACGACGTGAGCGCCTCGTTGAGCACCGGCAGCAGATTGGCCGTGGGCAACACCGCGGGTTCGTGCAATCCTGCCGTGAACGTAACCCGATCATAGGGCTGGCCGTGTTGTGCAACACATTATTGGGTGAGGCTAATGGCTAGCGCAAGTGCATGCGGTCAATCGGGGGGGGGTACCAGAATAGCAGTGGGCAGCTGCGTGACACGTGCGCCGCGCGGGTACAGTATGGTGGGAGGACCAGCTCCGATCTCGTTATACACGAACAGCTTCCACCACATCGAGTTGAACTGGTAACACGGTACAGTCGGTTAGTGAGGGCGATGGCAACGGTCATGATCAGGTGACCACGTGCGGGCGAAAGGTGTACCTCGGGAAGAGGCGGGCCGAAGTGCCGGGGCACGACTCGGGTCATTTCCTCGGTCTCGGTGGAGATGGGCGCCATGGAGATGAGAACGGCATAGTTCTTCTCCAACAGCTGGCGACGAGGAATTGATGAAGTCAGCGGTGCCAGTGTCACTTTCTCACAACACATCAACAACAGCGTTGAAGGCGTCGTCGGTGCCGGGAGAGGGTACTCGTAGTCGGGTGGCTTCGTCGAGGGTGTTGATACGCTCGCAGCGAATGAGATCAATGCCTCCGTCGCAATCGGGTAGGTCGAGCACTTTCTTGTTGTATCGAAGGGCTTGAATGGTGTTCTTCAGGCAGATGGCGTGGTCCACATAACGCTGTGTGTGCGCATAGCCAAATAGAGCGTTAGGAGAAGAAACATAGGCCACCGTAGCAGAAACGGGCATACCTGCGCCTCGCCTTCGGCTTTGGGCTTCACCAGCTGCAGCTCCTCCAGCAGACTGTCGAGGAACTCGTCCGAAAGCTTGCCTCGCTCGAACATGGTCACTGTCACGACAAAAGGAGAAGACATGAATGAGACGACGCGAAGGGCTTCGTGCCTGTACAGAGGCACAACGCACCAGCGTGCGTCTTGAGTCCGGCGCCGAGGTTGCCCATCATTAGGTAGGCCGTAATCGTCGAATCGAACAGGAAGGCAATTCGCTTTGAATGCTCCACCTGTGTGGTGACGGCCGAAAATGCAAACAGTGCGCGCAGAGTAAGCAAAGGCTCGACCGCGGATCCACCCGAGAATACCGTGAGTGAGTACCGTGGGAACGCTGTCGGGTTTGGACAGGGGTGTGGCGACGACGGTGCTGATATCCTCCGAGGAAGCGGTGGGCTCGGAGAAGAACGACGGATAGTACGACGCGGAGCCCTCGCCGTCCTTCTGGGTGAACGTGAGCGTGACCTCCTTCGCAGGCCTCTTCACTCCCGGCGACGTCGGACCCGCCATCGCCAGCCAAGACGGATGCCACCGCGTCTTGAGCTTCCCCGAGCCATCGTCCAGCGTCTAGAATGGAATTGCCCAGGGGCAAGACGTGTGAGTCCGGTGGAAGCGCGCAACAAGGTACAGCACTTGAAGAGGGCGGTGACGACGTACTGGCTGGGCGAGCTCCTCGAAGTTCTTCTTCTTGGCGAACCCGAGCCGCAGATACAGCGAGAGGGCTTGCTGTGGGAGGAGGCCCCGGCGGAACACCAGTCAGTGATAGAAACGGGAAAAGGTGGTGACGTGAGGGCGGAGGAAGCGATGAATGTACTTTGATCATCTGGACGTCCATTTGCAGGATGTGCGCGAGCTGCTCCACATTGGTTCGCTCGTCGACCGAAACGAAGAGCTTGTAGAGCAGGTTCTCAAAGTAGTCGCCGATCACTCGATTCATGACAAACCCTTCCAACGGCGGAACTGTTGTTTTCACACCAAGCCGATTTAGTCCAGCGGGCCAGTTGGCGGAGCCCGGGCGAATAATGGTGGGGCGCGTACTGATGATGTAGTCTTCGTCGTAGACCGGCACATCGATATAGATGAGGCCCTTCGTGTAGAGGCTGTGAACGGTCGCTTTGTCCACTTCGCCGGCCTTACGCGTGCCCACGTCGATGAGCATGTCGATCACTGCATGCTCCATCTTCGTCGCATTCTGAAGAAAGTTACAAGTACGTCGTGAGTGACACCGCAGACCACCAAGCGAAGGAAGGTCGGACGTACGCGAATATCGTCCTCGGAGACGTAGCCGATGTTGATCTTCCACCAGTGCGCGATTTCAATGGGCACCGGTTGCGAGGGCAGCAGTTCGAACAGCGCTCCACGCTTTCGCCTCCAGAGCCACGACTACGAGCACGTGTCAAGTCAAGCCACACAGCAGCGGATATAAGCAAAAGGCAACGTCAACGACGTGTCGCGTGTAAGGCGGGTCATGCTGCGCAGACTGGAGGGTCTAACCTTGCCGCGCACGGTGTTCATGGTGTCTATGTATTGGTTGCGCCCAATGCCCAGCAGGCGAACACCTGGCGACCCACACACAGTAGAAAAAAATGATCAATAAATAGATAAATAAATTATCAGGAGCCACAGCTAACAGCAGAGAGGAGACAAGGTACAGTCGGATGCGGTGAAGTTGGGCAGCCGGTCATAGGATCGTTCTGTAAGGTGCGAGGAGTGTGCGTGTGGTTGTCAGTGATCCTCAACCAACTGCAGCGTAGAATAAGAAGAAAGAAGGAGCAAGCGAGCAACCTTCTTTCATGACGTCGTGCATCATGTTCAGGTAGTATTTGAAGGGCGTGATGCGCAGACCCTTCACCATCACGTCCGACAGATGGTACGGGTACAGCTGCACAGTGTGAAGCAGAGTGAGTGGGTGTAGTGCGCGGACCGCAGCCTGCCGGGGTGTGGAGCGGTACCATGAGGTGGGTGCGGCTCCAGGCCATGAGTTCGTCGAAGTAGTTCTTCTCGCTGGGCATGACGCTACGCACGAGGTGGTCGCGCCACCGCAGCTGGTGCTCGATGGAGTAGAGCACCACGTATTCCTTCCACGCTTCGATCGAGTTGCCGAACATGCCCTTGACCTTGGGCGGGAGCGCGTTCCACACTGCGCGGTCCAGGATGTAACCCTCCACCTCCTCCTTCTCGGCCTCCGTCAGGTTCACCCCCACCGAGACCGTGCCCCCCGACAGATTCATGCTCAACATTTTTCCTTCTAATCGCTCAAGCTCTCGCCGTTTTGAGGAAATCTTTCCTGACGCTGGCTCTCGCTCCTGCACTCGTTGGTGGCCGCCCCCTGCTCCTCAACGCTTGCCGCTCTCTTGCACTGCTGTGCCGTTGCGCCTCTCTGCAGAAATAATAACAATAAAATAATACATCGAAAATTGAACCCTCTCTTCCCCTTTCCTCTTGGCCGCAGAGTGGTGGTTGGTGTTGTTCTGTTCTCATAGCCGCTTCGCGTTGTTGCTGTCATCGTCTAGTCATCGCGGGGAGGGTGGGAGAAGTGGCGAAGGTGATCGGCGTTGCGTCGATAGCACTGCGCGCCGTAACGGCACGCGGGCCGCTCCCCGTTCTCGTCGTAGTCCGAGCCCTCGCTCACCTGCAACCACGTAGGCCAAGTTGATCAGCATGACAACCATCAGATCTGTGGCAATGACTATGATGAGACACTTCACGCCACGTACGTGCTCCTCGTCGTCGCTGTTGTCGTCGGCGTTCTTCTTCCACTCGGCTGCGTCGAAGCGATCCGGGTCCTCCATGGGGTCCACCTCTTCTCCTTCCTCCTCGCTGCCCGCGCCTTCGTCCATAATGCCGGCCTCCTCCACCAGCTCCAGGTACTCGCCCATCCGCTCCTTGGCCACTCGCGCCGCGTGCCGGCTGCCTGCCCTCCTCCTGGGGACTTCGCGGCTGTGGCTGGTGCCACCTCGTCGCTGCCCTGCGCCTCGGCCCCGGCCTCTGCTCGGCAATCCTCTACTCGCTCCATGATCGTGTCTGCTGACTGAAGTCGAGGATGAAGAGGAAGAGGAAGAGGAAGATGCCGATGACGACGAAGAAGATGAAGATGGGGCAGGTCGTGACTTTTTCCTGTCGGGCTCGCTTGCGGGTTCATCGTCGCTTCCCTTGTTGATCTTGCTGAGCTCGAGCGATGTGATCAGTCGCTCGGTCCGGGCGACTTCGATCTCGCGCTGCGCGGCGGCTATGACCTCTCTCGCCTGTGCGATGTCGACCTCGGCCTCCTCCTTCTGCTCTCGCTCCGCTCGCTCCAGCCGCTCCCTGTCTCTCTCATCACGCGTCTGCTGCGGCTCTTTTTCCTCGGCGTCACCAGCGTCTTCAAAGGGCAGCTTTCGCTTCTTCGACGTCGCCACCCTCTCAGTTTGAACCACACGGTGTCCTGTCGTAGTGGGAGCTGCTCCATCCACGCCTTCGATGGCTGGCGCGTTGGCGCGGCCGCTAGTGTTACCGTCGCCATCAAGTTCGAGCACGAGGGGATGGAGGTCGGCGAGCAGAGTGACCACGTCGCCGTTCCTCAGGATGGCCTCTTCTCCGCGCGACAGCAGTTCCCCGTCTCCCGCCTTGCCTGCCCTCCGCACATACACCGGGTTCACCCCTTCCCTATCATGGCACGCCCAGACAGCGTCAACAAGGGGGGGGGGAGAAAAAGAGTGATGAAGTGGTGGCGTACACGGTGTACGTACACGGTGACGGCGAGGGCGGGACCACGCAGACTGATTTGCAGTTGCCGGCGGCTGATGCGCTTGTCCGTGACGCCCAGCACGCCCCGCCCCAAGTAGGTAACCTCTCCCTCCACCAGCTCCACCGCCTCCCCGCTCTCGCAATGGCGCAGCCGCATGACCGAGGCCTCTTTCTGTTGTGGGGTGTTTTGTTCGGCCGTTGTCGTCTTGGTCTCGTCGCCAACGGCTACTTACAAAATAAATATTTCAATAATAAATGACGCGTTGGTGAAGAGCCTTTCTTGCAGCACTTGAAGAAAGGTCGGTACAAGCAGATAGAGCACATCTCTCTGCAACGAAAGAGGGAGGATAGCAGCGCTTGCCCCTGGGCAGACGTGGCGCAGGAGCTCCTGTTGACAGATCGCTACACGCGCGCCTGGAAAACTCGTGCCAGAGGGCGGTACTCGTCGCACAAGGTGTAGCCAGCCACTGTGATGATCCAGGCCTACACCTCCGATCCACCTTCTAAAGGAGGATGGACGAAGACGTGTTAGACACAGGTCGGAACCGACAGGGCATGTCCACATGGGGCGAACCTTTAGAACGACCCTTGCATTTGGCAGAGCTGTTGGCACCGGATCGGAAGGTGAGGCAGTCGCGAAGCACTTGCATCGTGCGGCTGCTGTTTTTGTAGGATTCCTCGTCCAGCGTGTCCAACTCGGCAATCGCATCATCGAAAGCCTCCTTCGCCAACGTGCACGCTCTGTGAACACACACACACACACACACACACATGATACAAACATGTTAACGTCGATATACGCGTGGGCGGTGCTGCGGATGTGGTGCGTACTTTTCCGACTGCTTTAGGATGTAATACTGAAAGAGGGAGAAGTTGAGGGCAAGGCTAAGACGAATGGGATGAGCTGGTGGTAGCTCCAGGATCGCGATGTCCGACGCCTGGGTAAAGTAGTTCACCGCGTTCTGGATCGCTTCCTTCCTCTCGCCCTCGGACCCGAACTCAGCGAGATGCCGATAGTAGTCCCCCTTCCTGCACATGGCCCGCTCGCAGCGCGCATGTCAGTACCAACAATTGATCGTAGAAAAGAAGTGAGGAGGCGTACATCTTTAAGAAGAAGACGCGGGCCTCGGCGGAGACGGTGTGCGGGATCACGTAGACGTCGAGTACGGCCAGCAGGTCGCGACAGACGAAACATATCTCCGATTCGAGGGCACTTCGGTACTTGATGATGTGGTCCGCGAAGGAGTCGCTTCGAATACTGCGCTTCTCCTTCTTCTCGCACTCGACGATCCGTTCCCACGACTCTCGCGTGCTCGTTATTTGGTGCTTGTAAGCCCGTGACAGAAGGTTGCGCTCCTCGACCGTCAGCTCCACGCCCAGCATCGCCACGTTCTTGATTGCCGTCACCATCTCTGCACCACCCAAGCACGTAAGCAAGGGTCAGCAAGAGTGCGTTGAGAGCCCTCGCCCAGCACAAGGCGATGGGAGCAGCTAGAGTCCTGGAAAGGCATTCTGCATGCATCGTGGAGGCACGCGAAGGCGTTGGGTGCTCTGTGTAGTTTGCAGGGGGCGGGCTAATACCTGAGTAGCGCTTTGCCTGCTCGGCGATCTGGGCAAAGAACACCTCCTGGTGTCGTCGAATGTGTATAATGAGGCGAGGGTCGGTGGCGATTACGTTCCAATTCTTACACACGAGGCGAAGGCTCTGCCAATCGTCCCACCACCGCTGGTTCTTGCTATTTTTGCCTCGCTTCTTGCCTCTCCCCCCTCCAGATCCATCTCCTCGCGATGGCCATGAGCTCGATCTCGATTTGCAGTGCAGATGGGGCAGCAGGTGGAGCGAGGGCAGGAAGCTTCGTCGTGGCGAGGTAAGCGCGGCAGATGAGGACGATGGAAACACCACAGCGGGTGCAGATGAAGAGGAGGAGGAAGTCGTGGAAGATGAGAAGGAGACGGGATGGAGGTGGGAGCTATGTACACCTTGTGTTGCGAATTTGAGAAAAGGATTCACCTCGGGGATGAGGAATTTCATGATGTGCGCGATGAGCTCGGTTGGCAGCTGTTCCATTCTCGTGGAGTGGGACCGCCTTCGCACCCCTCGCTTTCCTTCGCTGCTTTGCCAGGAATCCAAATTACAGGTCCTCTGCTCGTACGTGTTGTTGGCCTTGTTGTTGTGTGTACGACATGAACTGCCGTTATCGAGAGGTGACGCAACTAGCCACCTTAAATAAAATGGAGCAGCCAAGAAAAAAGAACAGAAAAAGGAGCAATCGATCACACAAGATGAATTTGGGGGCTGCGGCATCGACATCGACATCGGCCGTGCCGGTGAACTACGTGGAACACACACGAGCATGCTTTGCCAAAGCAACCACAAGGGAGCTGGTGGGCCATCAGAAGGAGGTGTGTAAACAATCTTGGACTGTGCGGGCTGTATCCATCTTGATTGCAGCACTCATTCGCCTCCTCAGGTTCACTCCGTGGCTTGGAATTGCACGGGGAGGAAGCTGGCCTCCGGATCAGTCGATCAGACCGCTCGCGTTTGGACCATGGCCAGCCCTGTACGCACCCCTTTCGTCCCGCTGCGTCTTCCACCTTTGCTTCCTCACTCACCGTGGGGGTATTCATGTAAAAGGGAGGTGAACACATGGTGCTGAAGGGGCACACCAACAGCGTGCACCAGCTGTGCTGGGACCCTACGCACCCCGAGTATCTGGCTACAGCGTCGGCCGACAAGACCGTCCGCATCTGGGACACGCGAAGTGCGTTGCCCCATCTTCTTCATCAGAGCGAGCGCTCACCTGTACTCGCGCGTGCACAGGCGCCAAGTCGACACACACCCTCAAAACCAGCGGTGCAAACCTCAACATTGCGTGGAGCCCGGACGGCGGACACATTGCCGTGGGCAACAAGGTAGCCCTTCTCACTCGGTGCCTGGATGACAAGGAAGAGCCGTGCGTGAGGACTAAGCGCACCGGTTTGGTATTTCTCCATACAGCTCGATCACCTGACGATCATCGATACCCGCAAGTTCGAGACCATGAAGACCATCAAGTTTGCCTTTGAGGTACCAATACCCGCCGCCAGCCATTCCATTCGAACGCTTGGATAAAAACAATGGTGCTTGTTCTCGGGAACACAGGTGAACGAGATAGCATGGAGCAAGGACCTTACCTTCCTGTTCCTGACCACGGGACGCGGAGGAGTGGAGGTCATGAGCTGGCCCTCGCTGGAGCGAACCTGCACCCTCCACGCCCACACAGCCAACTGCTACTGCGTCAAATTTTCACCATCGGGAGAGTACGCCTGCCGCTTCTCCTTTCGACTTCAGCCCTCCCTATTTGTCTTCTCACGGATTCGTTTCTCTGTCTGCGTCCTTCTAGGTACTTTGCAGTGGGCAGTGCCGATGCGCTGGTGAGTCTGTGGGACGTCGAGGACCTCGCCTGCTTGCGAACCTTTAGCCGCTTGCAGTTCCCCATTCGCACCGTCAGCTTCACGCACGACAGCAAGATGATCGCCTCCGCCTCCGAGGACCTGAGCATCGACGTGGTACGGCGCCCTTTCTTTGTCTCAATGGAGCCTCATCAATGAGCTCATTCCTCCTCGTCTATCGCCTTCTGCATGCGCTCCCTGGTTTGTAGGCGTTGGTGGAGACGGGCGAGCTGGTGTCGCAGATCAAGTGCAACGCGGCCATCAACACGATGGCCTGGCACCCACAGAACCACTGGCTGGCCTTTGCCGAAGCCGAGAAGGACAAGTATGCCAAGGACGCGGGCAACATCACCCTCTACCAGCTCCCGTCCCAGTAGTAGTGGTCTCCCTGTCCAACGCGGCACCACACGGCCGCAAAAGCAAAAAAGAACTAAGGAAAAAAAAGGAAAAGCCAACAACAAAATGAAGGGCAGCAGAGCGGTGCGGCTTCGCCTGGTGGCTGGTGCTGGCGGCAGTGCGGGTCGATGCTCGCCCTCTGCCGCAGCGCTGCTCTCGACCGTCCGTCGATCCTTGTCGTCCGGCGCGCAGTGGGATGGGCAAGATCGCACGAGCAGCAGATCCGACGCCTCCGATGTTGCGATACGCATGAAGAGCTATGAGCAAGAATACTCCCTCATCCTCGATTCGTTGCGGTACGGGCACTCCTTTTATCTCTTATTTGTTTTGATTTAATGCAATAAATAAAAGTTTAATCGAAAACTCTCAGGCCGTACTGCTTGCGAATAGATGGGCATCGATTCAGCAAATTCACGAAGCCCTTCCGGAAGCCCTACGATCCACGAAGTACTACTCTTGCCTGGCCTTTCATCGATGGCGTGCGGTGGTGCTGACGCGTGTGGTGCAGTCTCGGTGGCGATGGAACGGACGGCGCTGGACCTGATGGAGTACTTCAAGGCGCGAGCAGCCTACACCTTCTCCGATGAGATCACGCTCGCCCTCCTCCCGACCCTCACCAACCCTCCTCCGTTTCGTGGCAAAATCGCCAAGCTCATCTCGATCGCCTCTGGTACCAACGTAGCGCGCGCGCACGCACGCACACGCGGCACTTTGATGGCGTGCTTACCGCGTTACTGCAGGCTATGCGTCAGCTCGATTCAACCACCACATCAGCTCGCAAGAGTATCACCCGCACGAGGAGGTATGCGTTCACTACTGCTTGCGAGAAAACAAGCGCCACCATCACCACCACCGGGTCTCAATGTGTTCGCGTGCGCAGGCCGGCGACAAAGCGCACCGAGGGATCGCTCACTTTGACGCGCGCGCATTCAGCCTGCCCTCCGACGAAGAGTGTCTGGTTGGTCCATCCCTTCTCTCGTCGGTGCACTCCATCCGCCGCAGGCATTAATCGACACTACACGACACGACACGACCAACGACCAACGACACGACACACGTACAGGAAAACTTGTTATGGCGCAGTGCAGACTGTATGCGCAACAGTGTGAACAATCTGGGCCGGGCGTACTATTCGGCGCGCCAGCTGGATCGGAAGAGCAACGGGGCGGTGCTGAGGCTGCTCCGACACGAACACAACGTCGAGTGGAACGACTACCCCGACCACTTCAAGCACGGCACCCTCATCAAGAAGCGACTCGCCGAGAGGCAGGGGATCAACCCACAGACGAAGTGCGTGCCCCGCTTGTGCAGTGTGTGCGTGCGTGTGCGTGTGCGTGTGTGTTGCTCATCGTGGCGACGATTGCCAGGGAGTCGGTGCTGGTGGTCCGCGGGGAGTACGTCAAGGCGAGCGTGACGGTGCTCAGGGAGGCGCCCGGGGACGAGAGCGGCGTGGCCAAGTTCCTGATGGCCAAGTACGCCAACCAGATCGACACGCCCGTCGAACACCCCGCGGCCGTGCAGGACCCCGCGCAGAGCGCCGAGCTGAGCGAGCTCGCCGAGCGACTCACCCAACGCTTCACGCCCTTCGACTACGAGCCCGTCAAAGCTTACTCGTAACTATTATGAGAGCTTCTCTTCATGTAGTGTCGGTGCCGACCATGGCGATGGCGATCAGAACTGCTTGAAGAAGGAGCACACCTCGGGGTGCTCAGCAAAGCCCTTCTTGAACTCGTCCTTGTCGAGGAATCCATTCTGCAGGGCGCGCGCGAGGGGTTCAGCTCACGACCTCATGGGGTATTTGTGGTGGGTGGGGGGTTGTACGCCGTCGGTGTCGATGGTCTTGAAGATCTCGTCGAGGGTGGTGTCGATCTTGGTCTTGTACTCGGCCGGGAGGACCGTCACCCTCTTCTTCGCCCTCTGCGACAGCCACACGCAGATCTGCGTGTGCGCGTACCACGAAGAAGAAGCACGCGAGGGCAGTGAGTGCGATTCAAGGTTGAACGCCGAGCGTAGAGCGATGGGGTCACATTGGAGGGGAAGGAGGGGGTACAGTGCGCGTGAGCATGTGCTCGAGCTCCTCCCTGGACAGCTGGCCGTCCTTGTTCTCGTCGAAGAGCTTGAACGACGCTGCAATCGGCCCGCGCAACCGCGTTTCAGATACATCACAATCAACATTGTTTGCTATGACGAATGAACGAACGAACGCACCTTCGAGCTTCTGGTCCACGTTGTTGCCATAGACGGCGCCCATGAGGCTCAGGTACTCGTGCACGTCAATCGAACTGCACAAGAGCAAGCACGCGTTGTTGCGGGAGTGAGCGAGAGACATTCAGTACCGTTGGGGAGGGGGGAGTAGTGAGGCGGTTTACCCGGAACCGTCGACGTCGAAGGCCTCAAACGTGGCCTTGGCCTTCTCGGCATTGCCCATCAGGCGCGCCATGGTCGCCACGAACTTCTCCTTTGTTATTTGGCCCTCCTTGCCCTGTTGTAGGCGTGACCCCCCCCCAAACAGGGCACCACCGTCAACAACCCAGCCGCACCACTCACGCCTTTCGGGGGGACACGCACGCAAGAGTTCTGGAAGCCCTCCAGCACCTGCTCGACGCGGTCGGCCGGGACTGGAGTCGATGGGGGGGGACAAGTGTGAGTGCCGCCATAGGCCGCAGTGACTCTAGGTTTCGACCTCTACGTACTCTGGTACTGCTGCTGCCACTCGGCGACCTCCTTGCTGTCAACGCCTCCCATTGTTGTCGCGCACGTTCACTTGTGAAGCGAGCTTGGCTTGCTGAACTGATACCGTCAAACGGTTTTTCTTACCCTTTTTTTACATCTTATCACTTATTTTCTGTGACAACACGGAGCGCTTGTTGACGACGAACATAGTTCAAAGTGTGTGGCGTGGGTTGGTTGCGTGAATGATTGCGTGTTTGCATGTACATCACTACTGTTTGGGTACGTTATTACTACACCAGAAGCAGAACTCCTGCGAGGGAGAGAGCGTGACAAAGCCGCGAGAACGACCGGTCACCGCGTCCACATCCTATCCACCACCACCACCAGCGTGAGCTCTACTTGAAGAGAAAACCGAACAAGACGAACAACAAGAACAATCGACAGTCATGATGATGATGGTACCTTGGTGGCTTCAAAAAGCATGGACAGAGGGATCCAATGCGGCGGGTACTTGAACCTCGCCACCTCCATGAGGAGCACCATGTCCTTGCGCGGGTGGTAGCCCCCGATGGGGCTGAAGTGCCCGGTGCCCGTCTGGCCCACCTTGCCCCGGTTGTAGCTCACTATCGTCACGAACTCGGACGCCTTCGACGTCGTCTCCACCACATTTCTAAATGTCGCCTCATCACTGCATTCACAACCGTCGTGTCGTGTTGTGTAGTTGGCCGGGTGAGCGAGGCGCTATGAAACGCGTGCTGACAACCACACGACGTACCTGTCGCTGCCGTAGAAGACTGATGCCTGGGCGCCGTTGCAGCGGGCCAGGCACACGAACTGGCCGAGGGTGATGCCCTGCTTCTTGACGAGCTCGAGCGACGTGCAGCAGTCGAGCATCTCCTCCGAGAACCAGCGCCACGGACCCTTCCACACACGGCCGGGGTCGATCGAGAGCGCGTTGAGGGCCATCGTCAGCGTGCCCAGCCCGCAGAACGCCGGCTCGCTCTGCGTGCGGTACTGCGCCGCGAGCGTGAAGTAGTTCTCCATGAAGCCCTCCCCTGCACGACGATGACGATGATGTGGTGTCACCTTGGTGGAGCTGATGTGCGCTGCAACAACAACAGGGAGGAGGAAGGAAGAGAGTACCGAGGGCCTCGCGGAAGAGCTTCTTGCCCTCGTCGGAAGAGAAGCTGATGCAGTGCTTGGGGAGCTCGCGCCTGAAGAAGCTCTCCTTGGGCACCTCGGGGTGGTGGTGAGGGTCGCCTCGCTGGGGCATGCCCCTCTTCTGTCGCCCATTGATGTCAAAGTATTTGCACTCCCGCTCGTACTCAGTCGTTCCCGCCGGCATCTGCTGCGATGGAGGATGCGTCGATCCATGATGGTGGTGATTGTGATTGTGTCCCCCATTCAGCACCGCCGCTGAAGATGGGCTTGGACAGGCGCCGCCCGGCTTGATTTCGGGCGATATAGATGGAGAGGCGATTTCAGGTGTAGAAGTGATTGGAGAAGATGCATGGGCAGTTGGTTGATGGTGCGATTTTGCGAGAGGTGGAGGTTGGTGGTGTGGGTGATTATCCAAGGTGGTCTGATGTCGGTCGTGGCGATTGTGAACCTGCTGACCGACCGGGTAGGCCAGCGAAGCGAACGATTTGGCACCCAGCCGCGTCGGGACGCTTGCTTCCTTGATTGATGATGAAGATGGGCTGTCCACGACGCTCCCTAGGCCTCCCCGATGTAGAGGTGCCGCCGATGTGTTGGCGGTCGTAGCCACGCCACGGGCGCTGCACCTTCCCACATGAAAATATGGGCAGCCCAGATCGAGCAGGAGTGTCGCCCCGCGCCTCCCCTTCTTCATCTCTATTGCTTCTTCTCTGATGATGTGGTATAATCGCTGCCGTTTTGCCGATTTCGCCACCTCACCTGATCATCTGACGACCACGACAAGACTCGCCGAAATGGTTTGCAAACGCATTTGACTTTCAATTTCTCGGAGTTGCGGACAAGAACAGTACCGGTAAAATCCCTTTTTTATTCTTTTATTTGTGTGGCGACCGACAGGAAGGCATGCAGCAGAGTGGGGGGAGGAAGTGCAGCCACCACGGGCACAACCATGGACACGGTGGGCGAGGTGGTGGGCATGGCCACTCGCACGGACGTGGCGGGCGTGGGAGCCCCCAGTCCTTCCAGCGTCAGTTCCCTCGCCTCGCGCAGTTCTTCAAGCGGTGGGGCGGCTTCCTGTGCGTCTGCTTCATCTGGTTCTTTTGCTCCTTGTCGTACGTACGCCTTGCGCCTTCGCAAGTTGTTGGCCAAGTCTTTCTCTTGTGCTGACAATAACGCGGCTCATGCAGCTTCATCTCGATTTGGCACTTCGTTTTTCTGCCATTCGAGATGTGGACGACGTGGGGCAAGCTGTTCCTGCTGGTCGTCTTCCACGGCCTCGTTGCCCTGTGCCTGACCACCTACGCCCGCATCACACGATCCGATCCCGGCTACGTAGACCCAAATTGGGTGCGTTTATTTTTCTTTTATTTGATGCATGCTTCGCTTATTTTTTTGTCTTTGTTATTTATTTATTTGCATGCAAAGGCTGACGTGGCTGCGTGAACAGACGCCAGAGGTCATGGAGACGGGCGCCCTGTTGTTCGATGGTGAGCAGAAGGCGCCGGAGATCATGATGGAAAGCGACATGTCGTGCACTCCGGCGGTGATGCCTCCACCGGACGTCATGAAAGAGCAAACCGGTGCCGAGAACGAGGGCGCCGAACTCAAGGAGGCCGAAGCGGCCGTCCCCGAGTCTGAGCAGCCCGACAAGCGGCAAGGCAACAAGAACTTTTGCGGCAAGTGCTCTTCCTACCGCCCTCCTCGCGCGCACCACTGTTCGATGTGCAACAGATGTGTGATGCGCATGGACCATCACTGGTGCGTTACACATGTGTGCTACATTTGGCGTTATCTCTCTGTGTGTGTGTGTTTGTGTGTGTGAGAGAGAGGCTAACCCGCGTACATTTGTCGATTTGCTTGGCAGCCCGTGGGTCAACAACTGTACGTCTCCTTCGTATGGGCACCGTGCCAGACCGTCATGTGGTGGTTACTAATCTCGCGGGTCCTACGTATATCAGGCGTGGGGCATAACAACCTCAAGATGTTCATCCTCTGGCTGTGGTATGGCACTGCCGTGGGTAGCTCCTTCATTCTCTTTTTCGGATTCCGAATCTACGACATCTACCAGCACGTACGTCCACTTCTTTCGAGCCGATGCTCACCAAACAAACACACCTCTCATGACTGTTTTCCTTCACCCAGAGAGATGAATACGAGACGAACGATCTCTGGGCCACCGGCAGCCTCATTGGGCTCAACCTCTGGCTCGGCTTCCTCCTCACCGCCAATCTGTGCGGCATGGGGTTCAACATGACCTATCTCGCGCTCACCAACACCACAACCGTCGAGCGGATCTTCTCGCCCAACAAATACCGCCCGCCCCGCCGGGCGAAGGGTGAACGCTGGAAGGTACCCGCCCGTCAGGCACATGTCACTACCATTGTGGGTCCATTTATCATCATCATCACAATCATTTCAACTCACCTTCCTGGTCCGCGCAGCCACGACGCATGTACGACCTGGGGCCGTTGAAGAACATCAAGCAGGTGTTGGGCGCCTCCATCCTCTCGTGGCCGCTCCCCACGGGACCGGAGACTGACGGCTACCACACCCCGGCCAACCCCAAGTGGAACGAGGAGCCGATCCAGGAGTCGCAGGACGCTCAGCCCATGCGTCGAACACGCAGCAACGACCGACGAGCAGACCACATCTCTGAGGTGTGATGATGTTTTTTCATTATTATTTTCATTTTATTGCCCAGAATAATATTTTTCTATTGCCCTGCCCGTTTATTGCATTTTCCCGTCGATCCGATTTTGTAAGCAACATGTCTGCTCGTGGACAGAGGAGTGCCAGCCAGAAGCCCAAGGGTACGCGCTACTTGTACCTATGCGAATTGAGTGCAACATGGCAAAATGCGGCTTGAGGCCGAAGTGCATTTTTAATATGTGGCCCGTACAATTGATCGGCATTCAGCTCAATCGCCTTTGGTAAAGTACTATGTCGTGCTCTACAACACCGTTCTCTTCTTCGGCTGGTACTTCCTTCCGCTTTGGCTTTGTCATCGAGTGTGTCAGTCTAATTCGCTGCCGGCAATTCGATTTTTGTTTTTTAATGGTACGATCAGGTCCTACGTGCTGGTTCGCTTGGCCCAGTTCTTCCTGGATGGCCACCACGTGGGCACCACTCAGGGCGTTCCCCTGTGGTCGTACCTCCGCGATCCCCTGCTCCTCTTCCAGTCCGCCGCCCTCCTTGAGGTTTCTACTGCCCCGACTTCTTTGACGTGCCAAGCCAGCAGCTGAGAGAGCTCACACGCGCGTACCTCCTCACCTGTGCAGATCGTCCACGCGATCACCGGCGTGGTGCGCAGCCCGCTGATGACCACGCTCATGCAAGTGGCCTCGCGTCTGCTCCTGACCTGGGGTATCGCCAACATCGCCCCCATCGCGCAGAACCACTACTTCCTCGCCTCCATGGTGCGCGTCTTCTACAGCTCTTCATCCAAACACTATGACTCGCGAGCAGCGCCTTGCCCTCGTCTCACCTCTTGTGTGTCCCGCTACTCTACAGGTCGCCGCGTGGGGCATCACCGAGATCATCCGCTACTCGTACTACGCCTTCAACACCCTCAACGGTCATGCGCCCTACTTCCTTCTGTGGCTCAGGTAACCACGCGCCCTACTCGTTTCGACTGTTTGAAGGAGGTCCTTCAACCAAGTGCTGACTATCGACCGGGTCCAGGTACACCTTGTTCTACGTCCTGTACCCTCTGGGCGTGGCCAGCGAGATCGGCCTGATCATCGTGTCCCTCTCGTGGGTCCGCGAGACCGACGTCTTCTCCTTCCACATGCCCAACAAGTGGAACTTCGCCTTCGACTATCATACCGTCCTCATCATCGCCATCCTGAGCTACCTGCCCGGTACGCCGAACCACCCCACTCATCATCGCATTGCTACATTGCTGGATGGAGAAGCTGACTCAACTGACTGGTCGGTCGTTTTTTTTTCAATTCACTGCAGGCTTCCCCACGCTCTTCATGCACATGGTCACCCAGAGGAAGAAGTGCCTCGGCACTCCCGCCCCGACCAAGAAGCACTAAGCTCTCCCCGCGCCAAGTGTGATGAATCATGTCGTGTGCAACAACGAGACTCAATCTATTTACACATCGTCCACGTGCGACTGTACAGTCTCTGTTCAGTCAGTTGCCCCTTGCACGCGCCGTGTCCTCTGCCCTACACAACAGCAATCGAAGAATTGCTCAGTCTTCGCCCCCTTCCTCCTCGTCTTCGCTGCTCGCCTGCTTCTTCTCCTTCTCCTGCAAATGCGCGCACCCCAACAAGGATCGTCAGCCAGATATCGTCTCATGCCAATTGTTAGCCAGAACAAAGCTGAGTATCACCTCCTCTTGGTCTCGCTTTCTTTTGCTGCGTGTTCTCATCGAAGTGGTCGAAGACGAGGCCTTCACAACCTTCTCGAGCTTTTGCGAGATGGCTGTTGTGGCTTTTGCGGCAGCAGAGTTTTGCCTCACAAGCTCCTCGACGGTTCCTTGTCGTTCAGATTGAGCCTCGATTTGCCCCGCCTGGGTGGCCACCTTCCTCTTGAGGGTGCGAACCGTCTTGTTGAGGGAAACTATTTCCCCCGCCTGGGTGGTGCCTGCCTTCTCGAGGGAAACGATCGTCTCCGCCTGGGCGGCACCCGCCTTCTTGAGGGAAACTATTTCCTCCTCTTGGGTGGCCATCTTCAGCTCGAGGGCTTCGAAACGAACGCTGAAATCCTGCAGCCGATCCTCAAGGGCTGTCACATCTGACCACATCGCGATCTGTCAGTCTTTTCAGCTCACCTTGTCCTTACTGTTCGAGAATTGGATTTGTGCCTTACCTGCGGCGGGTTCCAGAGCTTGCACCTTCACATGCCAGAGCTCAGAAGCAAGCCAGCCTCTCAAAGAAGCCACGGGCGCTGCAGCGAGAGTTGCCCCCGATTGGATCGCATCGAAGGTGCATGGCCTCAGTCGATACGCGGCATTCGTGGCCATGTGCGCAGATTTGGGATTGGAGACACGAATTGGAGAAGTTGCGACTTGCCTGCGTTTGCTTCGCGCCAAAACGTCACGCGCCAAAACATTTTCTTTTTCTTTTTCTCGTTTTGTCTTTCTGACGCTATGCGTCCGACCACGCGCAACGACCACTCCGTCGCCTGACTGACTGCACCCTCCAGCCATCGTGCCCAGGCTCATGGTGTCCTGTACGTGCCACAACTGTTGGGGTGGGTAATGGGCAGCCGGCGGTCGCGCCACCACCTCGGTAGTCTTGAGGGGTGTACGAGGATCTACTTCCGCAGCATGCGTAGGGCCAGGGTGAAGATAGTGATGGAGACGATGGCGCGCTGCTGGGTCTGGGTGAGGTTGGTCGAAAGCTTGCCGCCGAGGTAGCCACCGACGAGCGTGCCCGCCACCATGGAAGGCACTATCGGCACGAATACGTTGCCCAGGCGCAAGTGCGTCCAACTGCCTACCGCCGCCGGTATCACCTGTGTGCACACAGGCGCAACGCACACCGGTCAGCGAGACAAACAATTCTGTCAGGGCCAGGGCGGCGTACCATGGCGAGAAGGCTGGTGCCCAGCACTTGGGACTGGTGCATGCTGGTACACAGGGTCAGTAGAGGCACCATCACCAAGCCTCCGCCGATGCCCTGTGGTGGTGATGTATTAGGTGGGTTGGTTGGTAACAAAGGTGATAAAGCTGCAAGAAGAGGCGCGCACCAGGAAGCCCGAGGCGAAGCCGGTGACCGCGCCGATGGCCCCGATGGTGGCGATATGGGCTGGCGTGAGCAGCGCCGCCTTGTCGCTCATGCTGAGGACGGGGCTGGCCACGGTGGTAGCGGACGCTGCGCTCGCAACCGTCGATGTGAGGGATCCCCTGTGGTCGGGGTAGTCGCTGTAGGCCTTCACCGCGACCGACACCGAGGCCGCCACCATGAACGCGCCCATGTACCTGCACATAAAGAGAATGGTGAACATTGTGTGGGGAGTGTTGTTGAAGCTGGTCGTAGAGTACTTCTTGAGGTTGGGCGACGAGACGCGCCTGGAGAGCCTGGCGCCGACGCCTGCGAACAGGGAGGCGCTGCCGGCGAGCATGAGCGCAGCCAGGGTGTCGACGCCCTCCTCAGCCCCGCCCGCTTGCCAGTAGGCCAGCGCGCCGGCGAGCCCGGTCGACGCCACCGCCACCAGGCTTGTGCCGTGCGCCTGGTGCTGCGTGAGTCGGCCCAGCGACGTCATCAGCGGAATCCCCACCACCCCGCCGCCTGTTGTCACAACCACCAGTCAGACACAAACTATCAACACGCTTGAGTGTGGAGGAGGAAGAGCCCACCTTGGCCCACTAGCCCGCCGAAGAAGCCCATGGCCGAGCCGATGAGACCACCGGTTCGGTGCAGCTGCCAACCGGTCGGCGGAGGAGCCTGGGGGGTGGCGGCGCCAGCCCCCTCTTGCGAGTACTTTGTGCCCACGAAGCGCCGGGTGGGTCGCAAAGCACCGTACCCACTTCGGAGAGTTGTTGTCGGTGACCGGGGTGGTCGCTGTGGTCGCACGCTGTGCACACCGGCGCCTATGCCCCACGCCCCCAGTCTTCGACTTCCGCCGGGCAGCTGCGTGCGTTGTGGCAGCAGTCGGAGCGTTGTTCTCTTCATCTCTTGTGTTTATTTTGTTTATCTTTTATTTGTTGTTTTCTAAAAGTGATTTAAATTTATTCTTCCCATCCCGTTTCGTTGGGCTTTCCCGACATAGTCCCCGCATAAAAATATTCTCCATTTCCAAAACTTTTCCCTTCCCGGCTTGCCCTGTTGCCTGCGGTGCAGCCAAGCAATCAAGCGTGGAGATGGACAGGGAGGTGGCACTTGCGACGGTGCAGCGGAGCGGGTCGGTGCTGTGCTTGGGCGTGCCGGAGGGCACAGAGGTGGGACTCGACACGGAGCTCTGGGTCGTGGGTCCGCGCTTCAAGGGCATCAAGATGATACCGCCCAACCAAGCCCACTTCTTTTACTACAGGTGCCCCCCCCCCACCAACTCTCTAGCGCACCCCACCCGCACTCATGCCGGCACTATGCCGATGCCACTGTGCCGCACTCACCAATGCGCCGTGTTTGTGCTCTCTACAGTCCTGGCGACAACAGTGGCTTGGGTGGTGGGCCGCCTCCGGGCCGTCGTGGCAGATTCCTCTACCTGCGACCAACAGAGGTAACATTTACCTTACCGCCGTGGGTGCCTCGCTTTTCTTCTTTCGTGTGCGGCTCTGCGCTCGTACCGTGGGCTCACATGTATTGGTAGGTGGCCGTGTTCCGGTGGAGCGACGAGACAGAGGATTTTGCGGAGCCCGACCGAGACGAAGCTGAGCGTCTGGCAGAAGGTACGCCCGCGCTCCGACGGTGTGCCCAATTTATGAAAGAGCTCATGATTCGCCTGTGTTGTGTGTGTGTGTGTGGCGTGCAGGCGTGCGGCGGTTGGAATTCGATCAGTGGCTGGGACCCTATCCCTTGGCCAACGCTGAGAAGTGGGCCTCTATATCGAGACACATCACGCCGGCGGTGCTGCAGCGGCTGCAGCCGGTGGGGTACAGTGTGTGGTCCGAGATGGCCACGCAGCGACGAATCGAGGAGAAGGGCAAGGCCAAGGTCGGCGACGAGGCGTCGAGCGCCGGCTCTGCGGCTATGGACACGCTCGGCCACAAGTCCTACTACACGGACATTCCCAAACGGGCCATACCGCCAGGAGCAGCACCCCACGAAGTCACGCGCTACAGCATCGACAAGAGCTACACGCTGACCCTGCTTCTCGAAACCAAGTACGACAATGGTACTGCTCCACCGCATGACACACGCCGCACACGGCCACAACTCGTTCACAGTGAACGCTCTCTGATCAGAGTTTTTTCCCTATTTCAGATGACGGACTGCTATTGGGCGAACTCGAGTACAGTTTTGTGTGCTTCGTCATGGGGCAGGAGTACGAGGGGTTTGAGCAGTGGAAGAAGCTGGTCAACCTCCTGTGCAGTTGCGAGGAGGCGCTGCTCACGCGTCCTCGGCTCTTCCACGAATTCATCGGTACATCCACTCCCGCCCTTGTCTCGCTCTGCTGATCCGCCTACGGGGGGCCTGCTGACCTGGCCTCTAACACTGCTGGCGCGGCGCAGACGTGCTCCACAACCAGCTGCGACAGGCCCCGGTGGACCTCTTCATGGACGAGCTGATGGCCGACAGCTTCCTGATGAGCTCGCTGAAGGTGCGACACCAACCGAGCAACAGCTTTCACCTGAAGTGACCTCCAGTGAGCCGGGGGTTGAACCTAACGCTCGCATTCATCGTTGCTGCAGAGCTTCTTCGAGCTGACAGAGGACGAGCGACTCGACGCGGACCTGGCCCGGCGCGGACGCACCTTCAAGTCCTTCATGGCCGACCACTTTCGCTTGGACCTCTCCGCCCTCGACGCCGACGACGAAGACGCCCCAACAGTGGTCGAGGACTGAGTCAGTGAGCAGTGCAGGCCTTCTCCTTCCTTCCTCCTCCGGCTCCGGAGGCCTCTTCCGCGTATCTTCTCTTCCGCAGCCTCCGACCTCGTCAAGTGTCCGTTGGCCCTGTGGTCCAATGGTAAATCAGAGGCGGGCGACGGGAGCGTGGGTACTTCTCAGCTTTTTCTCTGCGGAGTCGGCGCCGGGAGGCTATTTGAAGGAGGCCTGTTGCGCACCCCTTCTTCTTCTGTTCTTGGTCCGACGAACGCGTTACATCCGACCCCTTACCCTCCTGCCCCGTACCTTACACCTGTCCGATCTTCGGCACATACCCCAATCCAGTTCCGTTCATTTCAAAAACACAAATCCGTTCATCATGGGAAAGAGCAAGACCAACAAGAAGGTGAAGGCTGAGGTATGTTCCGCACCGTCTCACAATCCCATCTCCTAGAGCGTTTCGGCCGTCCTCTGGCTCTATTCAATCTCACTCGAGTGAGATTGAGCGATTATCTGATTCGTTCGCCATCTTTGTTTATGTAGGAGCCTAAGAAGGTGGAGAAGGTCGAGAAGACCAAGGGAAAGAAGGCTGCCAAGGCCGAGGGTACCTTCCTCCTCCTCCGCAATCGCGATTACGCATCTCCGGAGCAAGTCATGAGATTTGACGTTCAATCTTGAGATTTCGGCGTTTAATCTCATTTTCTTTCTACTCGCAGAGGAGAAGAAGAAGAAGCAGCAGAAGAAGAAGGAGGAGAAGCCCGCCCCCATGGAGGTCGAGGATGACAGCTCCAGCTCGTCGGAGGAGTCTTCCAGCTCCGAGGATGAGGCCCCCGCCAAGAAGGCCGCCCCCGCTAAGAAGGCCGCTGCCAAGAAGGAGTCCAGCTCCGAGGAGGAGTCGAGCTCGTCTGAGTCCGAGTCCGAGGAGGAGGTGAAGCCCGCCAAGAAGGCCGCCGCCGCCGCCGCCAAGAAGGAGTCCAGCTCCGAGGAGGAGTCGAGCTCGTCCGAGGAGGAGTCCGACGAGGAGGAGAAGAAGCCCGCCGCCGCTGAGAACAAGAGGAAGCGCGACGAGGAGGAGAACGGCGATGACTCGTCCACCGGCGATGCCGAGGAGAGCAACACCAAGAAGGCCAAGACTGACGAGACCCCGTCGAACGCCAACTTCTTCATCGGCAACCTGCCGTGGAGCGCCGAGGAGGACACTGTGAAGCAGTTCTTCGAGAGCCAGGGCGTGAGCGCCGTGTACGCCGTGCGCCTCATCACCGACCGCGACACCGGCCGCAAGAAGGGCTTCGGCTACATCGAGACCTCCGCCAGCGACGTCGACGCCGTGCTTGCCCTCAACGGCGCTGACTTCGAGGGCCGTGAGCTCAAGGTCGACAAGGCCAACGAGCGCCCTGCCAACGCCGATCGCGACACCAAGCCCCGCGACGCCCCGCGACAGAGCGGTGAGGCTGCCACCGACGGCAACGTCTTCCTGGGCAACCTCTCGTTCAACTCGACCGAGGACAGCATCTGGGCCGCCCTGGAGCAGTTCGGTACCGTCAAGGCCGTCCGCATCGTCTACGACCGCGAGACCCAGAGGCCCCGCGGTTTTGGCTACTGTGAGTTCGAGGACGCCGATACCGCCAACAAGGCCATCGCCGCCAGCGGCACCGTTGACGTCGACGGTCGTCAGATCAGGATCGACACTGCCACTGCCAGGTCTGGCGGCGGCGGAGGCGGAGGCGGCGGCGGCGGCGGTTTCCGTGGTGGTCGTGGCGGCGGTGGTTTCCGTGGCGGCCGTGGTGGCGGTCGCGGTGGTGACCGTGGCGGCCGAGGAGGTCGCGGTGGTCGTGGCGGTTTCAGGGGCTCGTCCACGCCCTCGTTCGCCGGCAAGAAGACCAGCTTCGACTAAACTCTCTACAACCTCTCCGACACACATCTCCTCCCTCATCTACTCTGTTCTGCTCCCTACCGCTATCGAAAACCAACGGACAGAGTGAGTACGCTGTGTGCGCACACAGGCAGCACGGCCACCCGCACCTGCGGATGCCGTTTTTCCCCCGCCCGACGCTCACAATAAACCCACTACTTCCACCCACCTCACGCCTTCTTGCTCATCTCTCGCCGACCGTGTCCTTCCCACCTTGCTCGCATGTTCGGCGGAAGCCTTCCTATGGACACGATGACCCACTTCCACGAAACGGCGTTGACGTCTGTGGCGTTGCCACGTCGGTCCACAATGAACCAAACACAATTTACGACATCCAAGACTAATCGAATTTCCTTCAGAAGCACGTTACAGCAAAATGACGACCTTCACAGACCGCAAGATCAACTGGGATGCCGTCAAGGACTTCTCTCCTATGTACGTCTCAGGCACTCGATTTTGTCCAGTATGGGTCGAAGATTTGGCCAATTCTCATCCCCCCCTCACTAATCGCATCGTGTGAATGCAGCAATCAGCGCCTCAAGCAGCATCTCGTTCGAGTTTACTCGACCCTGGCCGCCACGCTCGCGATGTCGGCCATTGGTGCCTGGGCGCATGTCGCCTACAATTTGGGTGGCCTGATCAGCTTCTTTGCCACCATCGGCCTCATTGCCATGTTGCATCTGACTCCCGCCTTCGATGAGAATGTGCCCAAGCGCACCCTCTTCCTTTTCGGCATCGGTTTCTTCCAGGGCTGCTCGATCGGCCCTCTCTTGGCCTACACCCTCGAGCTTGATCCCCTGTACGCTTCCTCTCTCCTGCTTTCCTCCTCATATGCACTCCCTCACGGGCTTACTCACTTCTTCAACACAACAGCATCCTCGTGAACGCGTTCGTTGGCACCTTCGCCATCTTTGGCTGCTTCTCGGCGAGCGCCCTGTTCGCGCAGCGCAGGTCGATGCTCTACCTCGGCGCCTTCCTGTCCTCGGGCCTCAGCCTCCTGTTCTGGGTCAGCATCGCCAACATCTTCCTCGGCACGGCGCTGCTCTCCAACGTGACCCTCTACCTGGGCCTCCTCGTCTTCTGCGGCTTTGTGATGTTCGACACCCAGCTCGTCATCGAGAAGTTCCACATGGGCAACCAGGACTACCTCGCCCACTCGCTCGAGCTCTTCCTCGGTGCGTCCACCAGAGGCCTCTCTGCCCACCCACCTCCCCAGCGCGTGTAGTGTGTGTAGTATCGCTGACTCTTCCTTCCCAGACTTCATCAACATCTTCGTGCGGCTGGTGGTCATCCTGTCGAAGGACAAGAAGAAGAACAGCCGAAAGTAAAGAGCTGCGGCGCAGGCGCACCACTTCGAAGAAGTACTCCAATAAACACCACGCCCACACCCGAGAGCTTTGGGGGTAAAAGTTGTACATGAGTGATTCCGATCTTGTGGGATACAGAGAGGGATTGTGTTGCCCTCCCACGGGAGCTTTGGTGGTGCGGCGGCTTTATCACAACTCGCGATCGGCCTTGGGGGTGGAGAGGACCAGGGAGTTCATGTCCGGGTAGTGCACCGACCCGTCGGGGAACATCTCCACCGCGTCGGCCCACTTGACCCAGTGCTCCGCCGTCTCCTCGTACTTGAGCAGCGACGCACCCGCGTACACCTGGTCGTACCACCACCACCATCACCACCCACGCCACGTCACGCGTCAGTATCCGGGCGCCAAAGGTTGGCTAGAAGCAGATGGTGGATCGTAGTTGGTTGGTTGGTTGATTGATGATAGAAGTACCTCGAGGCAGGGTGGGAACTCTTCTTCGCCGATCTTGAGGGTGACCTTCTTGACCTCCTCGCTGTAGTCGCTGCTCCGCTCCTCCTCGCCGTCGTCGCTTTCGTTGCCCCGCGACCCGTTCTCCTGGTCCTTCTTCTCCTTGCCCTTCTCCTTCCTCTCCTTCTTCCTCCATCGCTTGCCGCCCTGCCTGCCGTTGCTGTCGGCCCCGTTCAGCTCGCCCTTGCCCAAGGAGCTCCGGATCTTGTCCTTCTCCTTCTTCCCGTTGGCCTTCCCGTTGAGGCCGCCGTCCGACGACTTCCGCTTGTTCTTCGCCATCGACGCGTCCTCCCTGCTGTCCCTCCGCTTTCGCTCCTCCTCCAATTTCTCCTTCTCCTTCTCCTTCTTTTCCTTTTCCTTCTTCTCCTTCTTTCCGATCTTCTTTCCGCCGGCGTTGTCCTTTCCGTTGTTGTCTTTGCCGTTGTTGGCCTGCGCCGCCGCATCCTCTGCCTCCGCCTCTGCTGATGTCGTCACGTGCCATCAATTGTCAACCAACCGCACACACCGCACACATCGCACACGCATGAACAAAAGAGGTGGGCGGGCGAGTGCCGGGAGAAGGGTGGAGTGGGATGAGGGGGGGGGGGCAATACCCTTGGCCTTGGCCTCCTTCTTGAGGGTCTTGATGATGTGCGAGGGCGACGGAGGCTGGGATCGGATGATCTCCTCCCGCTTCTGGTCGTTCCACCCGATCCGCTGCCTCACCGCCTCCACGTACGCCTCCCTCAACCCCCGCGCCAGCCTATTGTTGCGCGTGAGTCAGTCACTCGTTTTTTGTTATGGCGTCATAATAATCGCACACGCACACACGCACACGCACGCGCACACGCGTGAAGAGAGCGTACCGGTCCGTTTTCCTTTCGGTCGGTATCCTGATGTCTTTTCGACGCATGCGCTTGAACTCTTCTCGCACGCGCGCTGCCTGTTGTGAAAAAGCAAAAGTGTGAGAATGAGCGAGTGCGCGGAAGGAATGTGTCGTGTGCGGTATGACGTTGGTGCCGACGTGGCAATTGTGATGATTGGTGGTGTGGGGGCGTACCTTGAAAATGATGAGCTGGTGGTAGATGCCACGCACTTGTGGGTGCCAATGAAGGAAGAACTTGAAGAAAAATCGTTTGAAGATGATCTCCTGCACGAAGCGTCGCCGCGGCTTCTCCAGGTACATGTGCAGGGTGTTGTAGATGAACGTCAACGCCTTGATCAGCGTCACGTGATGCTCGCAATCGAGCATAATGACCAGCCCCTGTTAACACGCCGTTACATTACGATTCACACGTTGGTGAGTCGAGTGTGTGGTGTGTACAAAGTTGAAGAGGAAGGTGGAGAAGTGGAAGGTGAACCTGGAAGAAGTAGTCGTAGTCGAAATCGCGGGGAAGGTAAGTGTAGGTTTCCCGCACGCGAAGAAACCACTCGGACAAAATTTCCAACGATGCTGCAGAAGAAGAAGAAGAAAAAGAAGGGTCGCCAAGAGAAGAGTTAGAGGCACAAACGATGATGAAGAAGAAGAAGAGACGAGGGGAGGCTGAGGGAAGTGGCAAGTGGTAGTACTTTCGGTCAAGGAGGCGTCGTTGATGTTGGTTTTGGAGTAGAGGACTTTGATGAAGATGTTGAAGAGGCGAGGGTTCTGCATCAGCGAGGAAACGCACTGAGTCGCCGCCCTCGTTTTCCATTCGTTGATGCCCATCTTGTGCTTCAACTGGAACAAAAACGCGTGCACCAGTTGCGCATAACCTGCCCCCCACCACGCGTGACGCGCGTGCACGTCAGCACTGGCGCAACACATGACACACACATGACACACACGACACACACAAGGTGGTGCAGGCAAAGTGACAAGTAAGTACCTGGCACCATTTCCCACTGTACACTCTCGCCGGCGGTAAGATAGGCGGCCTGGTCGACGATGTCCACCAGGAGCCCCACGTAGTGAATGCTCTCGTTGTTGAACCTCTTGAGCCACGAGGTGTGATGGGTAAGCTTGGAGGCGTTGCCGTGGTCGTCTATCGCCAGGTAATACTTGCGCATTTGCTTGAATGCCCTGATGCTGGTGTGTGTGTGTGTGTGTGTGTGGTCACCAAGCGCGGGTGTTAGAAGTGCTTGCCAGTCATTCATTCATTCGTCGATGAATGGGAGGGAAGAGGGAAGCTGCAAGGGTCGAGGAGGGCGCGTACTTCTTGCTATTGCTTTGTTCGAGGCTGGCGTACAGACTCCCCGAAGAATTCCCATCGTCGCATGAGTCTGCGTGCGTTATCGGGCGCATGAGAACGTTGAGGTGTAGCGTGCACTTGACACGAGAGAAATTGTGTAGCACGAGTGGGTGGGTGTGACATGTGTGTGTGTGTGCATGTACGTACCCTGTAGAAGCTTCGCGATGTCCTCCCCCAGCTCGATGTCCTCCTTCCGGGCGGACTTCTCCTTTGAGTCGGGCCACACACCGTCGAGCGTGGCCTTGGTGAGGGACGGGAAACAAAAATAGCACACGGCTGCAACCAAGACATGAACATGGCGATGAGAAGATGAACCCCGAAGACCAGAAGACATGAATGAGCGGTATGAAAGGGTGGACCGCCACCAACACAATGTGTGTGTGGGAGGGGGTGAACGTAAAGGCATCGGGAGCGCACCCAAAACCTTGGAGGAGAACTCCATGAGAGCGGTGTAGGCGCCCGTCTTGGCCAGCTTGTTGATGCAGAAGAGCATGGTTTCCACCAGTAGGTCGTGATACCGCACCGCCAGCTTTCGGTCGGCTCCGCTCGACAGGAGCCGACCGTCTTTCCACTCTACACGCAAGAATCATGGCGACAGCAGATTTGATGATGAGCGATTGGCATTTGATCAGAAAGCGGTGAAGTGGGGCGAGGTACCAAGGCTGAAGATGTCAAACTCTCTGCGCCTGATAATGAGCACCATTTCCGTGAAGAAGGTATGACGATCTCCAAGCGTTGCATTCGATGCTTCTCTCAATAAAAAATCCCAACTAGATGGGAGAAAGTTGTATGTAGATGAGAAAAGATTGGGAGAAGGCGCGCCGAGAGTGACGATTGGAGGAGATGTACGTACTAGATGAGGAGGCACTCCTTCCCCTTTCTTTGAATTTCATCATTTTTGTACGCTGCCAGGGAATGGGCGTGTCAGCAACGGGAAGAGGATGACGAAAAAATCAACCAAAGATGCCAAAATTGAAGGGGAGCGTACCCCATGGGGCCTGGAGAGGTTGAAGAAGAGCGTTCACTTGCTCGACTTTGTCCTGATACTTCTTCTTGGTGACAGCCCTGCGTGCCGCACAGTGATTATGAGGAGAGGCGGTCAATTGGTGCCCAACTCGAACAATAAATGCTGAAATTTTCCAATTCAGGGGCCGGATGAATCGCGTCGCCATCCAGCCATCCATGGAAAGCCCCATTGTACCCTTTGATTTGCTTCTGGAGTGATTTGGAGTACGCAATCGGCGCCGGCTGTGCAGTTTCCAGCATCATCGCTGCCTCTCTCGCATCTAGAGCCGCTCGCAGCCGACCACCACCGTGTTCCGTGTCTTTGCAAAGATGCTCTCAACGCAGTTCTGCGCTCCGGTCCTGTGTTCACCTTCAAGGTGGTCTGCCAAGCTGCCCTGTGTCCAGGTGCTATCGTGTGATTTCTGATTGGCCCATTTTCAAACAAAGACAGCAGCAAAAGAAAAAGAAGCTTCTGGGCGAGAAAAGAAAGGTTGCGAAGCTCAGAGATGGAAGCGCTCAACGCCACGTTTGCCGACCTCTCGGCGCAGACCGGGTTCCCGGCTGATCAGCTCAAGTACCTAGCGTGCTTGCTGGCCGCCATCCCTCTGTCCTACATCTTTCGCCTTCTCGGCCCGGGACGCGAGAATGCGAAGCATGTCCTCTCCATTGTGATTAGCATTTTCTTCTGCCATTTCTCGCTCGGCGAGTACTCATGGATCCATTCCCTCGTCACGGCCATGATCTCCTACACTCTCTTGTCTATCCTGCCCCATGGCATTGCCCACAAGGCCGTCTTTGTGGTATCCCCCCCCCCGGGCTTCTCTTTCAAACAGCAACATCCTGTCGGAGTCGGCCTTCCGATTGCCTAAAATCTCTTTTGCTACTCTGGTTCCTCGTGACTTGTGCAGTTCGCGATGGGCTACCTGTCTGTTGGGTAACCACTTCAATCTCGATTTTAATTTCAATAATTGTAATTATTTGTGTCTGGTTGTGCATGGGGTGCTTGCTCCTTCTCGCCAGAGATTATTAATTATTTTGACGCTGTTGTTGCGCAGACACATCTACCGTATGTACACCGACTGGAGCGGCTGGACCCTCGACTTCAGCGGTCCTCAGATGATCCTCACTATCAAGCTGACCACCATCGCCATGGACTACTACGATGGCAACAGGAGCAAGGCCGAAAAGGAGGTACACCACCGTTCGATCGCCCGTCTCCCTCTTGAGCTCCACCGACGACCTCTCTGCCTCGTTGCCGGCTTGCTCATTGCGTCGCTATGAAACACTTCACAGGTAATGAGCCCCTTCCAGAAGGAGCACCGCATCGAGAGGTTGCCCAGCATGCTGGAGTTCTTTGGGTGCGTTACCGACCGTTTGATGAATTCTCTCATCCACAACCACCACGCGCCCGAGTTGTCTCATCTCTCAGTGCGTGTCTGACGTGTGTTGTGTGTGCTGTGCGTGTGTGTGTGCGTGCGTCCAGCTACGTGTATTTCTTCCCCGGCTTCCTCGCCGGTCCGGCCATCCTCTTTGCTGATTACCGAGCGTTCATCACCGGAGCCATGTTCAAGGTGGGCGCACGCATCCGCATGGGCGGGGTGGTGCTGGGCTGGGCGCACTGCATGAATGTCATGGGCTTACGCGCTTCATCTCCGCCTCTCGTGGTGGCGCTGGTGGTGATGATAGGAGTTCCCTGGTAGAGTGTCTCCGAACCCCGTGGTCCCGTCGATCATCGCGCTGGGCAAGGCCATCTGCGTGTTCCCTCTGCTCGTGCTCGCCGGCCACTTCCGCCCCATCGACCTCGCTCTGCCCTCCTTCATCGAGGCCCCCGTCTGGGAACAGTACATGCGCTGCCCGCTCGCCCACCCACCCAAGCTAGCGGGATGTTGCTTGCTTGCGGGACCTGACCATGTGCTCGTGCACCGCATACTACACCCACGCAGGATTGGGCGCTTCTATCTCCACGTCTCGTTGATGCGCACCAAGTACTACTTCGGTTGGTTCCTGGCCGAGTCCTCCTGCATCGCCTCTGGCTTCGGCTACAGCGGCAAGGACAAGAGGGGCAACATCAAGTGGTGCGTGGTGCCTTCACTCCCCCGATGGGGCGCTCTCGAGCCGCTCACCTCCTACGTCGCTCACCACCCGCTTTCCACGCTTCAGGGACCGTGCGGCCAACGCGTTCCCTCTGGCTGTCGAGTTCGCGCCCAACATTCGCGGCATCACCGACAACTGGAATCTGGGCACTGCCACATGGCTCAAGCACTGTACGCTCCTCAATGCCGCGCCGTTCTCGCACTCGCACTCAGCTACCACTAGTGGTTCCTAAGGAACGCTCACGCTCTTCTCCTCCCAGACATCTACCTCCGCTTCAGCGATCAGCGCAGCATGCTGCCGACCATCGCCACCTACGCCTGCAGCGCCTTCTGGCATGTACGTGTGCCCCCACCTCTGCATAATATCCCGCCCTGACTGCATCTCGTACTTACCGTGGTCGTCGCGTGTGCACGCAGGGGTTCTATCCCGGCTACTACCTCTTCTTCATCGCCTCGGCTTTCCTGACGGAGGCCTCGAAGGGTACGTCGCACTCCCGCTCGCACGCGGTGATCTGCGAGGTGGTGTGGTGGCCTCACTCACTCTCTCTCTCGTCGTTCGTCGTTCTGACCGGCAGAGGTGAGGAGGAAGATCCGTCCGCTCGTCATGAAGGACGAGGTCACCCCGCTGTACCCGCAGAAGTACGTCTACGACGTCTTGGGCATGGTCGCCACTTCGCTCACCATGAACTACATCGGTCTGTCGTTCGTCGTACGTCGGCCCTCCCTCTCCGTGTGTGTGTGTGTGTTGCTCCCCTAATATGCACCGAACGAGCAGATTCTGGAGTGGCCGCCGGTCTACCACGTCTGGAAGTCGACCTACTTCATCGGACACGTCCTGCTGTTCGCCACCTGGTTCGTCGTCACCTACGTCATCCCCGCCAGACCCCGGTCCGCGGCGCCCAAGAAGGTCGCGTGAGCTCTTCGTCGTCTGCTTCGCCACGAAAAGAGAAAACCATAAATAAGTGTCGACAAAACTACGGCCAAATGGGGGGGTATGGGCGGTGGCTCGGCTGGCGTGGCCACACAGTCCCATCCGACCGGCCAAACGCGAGGCCTGCGATCGCATCTACATTTGCTTCATCTCCAGCCACGCCTAATCGATTGCGAATCGATTGGCAACTCGACTTGCGGAGGACTGACTTCTAATTCGTGGGTCTGGCAACGCATCAAAACTCTCCTGCCTTTCATCGCGACGGACCAAAATGAACGGACTCGCTGCGGTGTACGGAAACCACCTCGGGGCGCAGCTGTTGGGTCTGGCGCAAGCCGCAGGGGACCGCAACCGTCCGCCATCTCCATCATCAGCTGGAAAACGGTGGCAAACGCCCGACCACAGCCGGGACCGGTTGCATCACCAGCAGACCCTTGAGGAAGAAGATGGCGAAGAGTACGAAGATGAAATCATAGAGGAGATGAGCGGGAATTGGCCGCCATCTTCTTCTTCGACGGCCACCTCGGCTGCAACGCAAGCCGTGCCGCGCGTGGACAGCGTCGAATGGAACAAGATGGAAGAGGGTCCCGACGATGAGACCCTGCTCCTCGACAATGCTGAGCCAGACGAAGACGGCTCGCCACACCGCTCCAGCGCGAAGAGCCTCAAGCGAAAGCGAAAGCCGGCCGAGACGAGCGGAGGGCTCGACGAGCACCAGGGTCCGGGCAAGAAGCGCCTCTCCTGCATCGACTGCGGTTGTCGGGCGGCCCTCAAGGCCTGCACCAAGGTCATGTGCATCGACTGCTGCGCCAAAGAGGGTCGTGGTACGCCGCGCCCACCCAACCCTCTACGTCCATCTACATCTTCTGATCAACAACTGCTCTTCTTCTTCTTCTACTACTACTTCGTCATGTGCGTGCAGTGTGCGACGCGCATGCCAAGAAGCTCTACGAGAAGGAGGTCCGCAAGCTGGAGCCGCTCCCGGCCTTTGGGACAGGCGCGGAGGGCAGCGGCTCCGCCAAGGACAGGGACAGCAGCGCGGCGGCCAAGTCGGCCAAGAAGAGGGCCAGGGTGGTGCGCCCCGGCGGTGGTGGTGAGGGCGGCAGCGACGACGAGGGCGAAGAGGACAGCGAGGGCAGTGCGCCCACCGCCGACCGAGACTCGGAGCGCGACGCGGCCGCGGCGGCGGGCGAGGAAGAAGCCGCCGGTGGCGGCGCGAAGCCCAAGCGAAGCGTCCTGTACGAGACGATCGCCAAGCAGGACAAGAAGATACGCGCCCTCCAGAACGACCTCAAAGAGTTGAGGACCCTGCTGCTGTCGGTGGTGGACAAGCAGAACACCTTCGCCCGGCAGCTGCGGCACATCTCCGGCACCCACTCCGACAGCCTGGTCATCGACGAAGACGAAGACGACGAGGAAGACGACCGGTCTTGATGCCCTTCTCTCTGTCTGTCCGGCACCACGCCCCCCCCCCTGTTCATAAACCACTTCTTTTTCTTGTTTATTTTATTATTTTATTAGTGAGCTCACTTGCGGCCAGCGGCGAACCACTTGGGTACAACGTTGGAGTAGTCCCTCGCACCGCCACCACGTGGTGGCTGTCTGGCGGGCGGCTCGTCGGCCTGTGGCGCGGGGGTGGAGGAGGAGGAAGAGGAAGTGGAGGAGAAGCCAAGAACGTGGCCGAGCGCGGCGAGAGCGCCCGCGCTGGAGGGCGTGGGCTGGGACTGCGGGAAGCTGACCGGCGCGGGCATCTGGTCGGCGATGTCCCGCACCAGCTCCTCCTTCAGGTACTCCACCGCCGGTCCGCTGTTGTCCTCCCAGCTGAAGTAGACGATGGCGGCCGGCACCATCACCAGCGAAAGCAGAGTTCGCTTGAGGTCGACGCGCTCCTTGGGCGGCGTGGTGACTGCAAGAAGAAGAAGAAGGAAAAGAAGAAGAGGAAGATAGAAAAAGAGTTCGTTAGGGCGCCATCGTGTGTCGTGGAGGCGCCGGTTGAGCGTACAGAGGTAGAAGGGTCGATCGGGGTGGGCGAGGGAGGACTTGATGAGGTCGAACACCGCCTGGGCCTTCTCCAGCGGGTGGAACGTGGCCTGCACCTCCACCCGGTTCGGGAAGCGGACCTTGATCAGGGTCTGGGACCCGAGGCAAAGACGTCAGAAGAAGTCCACCCGAGTGGTGGTTTGGGGGGTGGGGGCACATCGCAGGGTGGCGAGGTGCGCACCTTTCGGTATTTGGGGATTCGTCGGAGGCGGTCCTTCTCCTTCATCTCCTTAGTGCGCATCTGTGTCTCCTCCTCTATGCGCATGCGGTTGGCCTTGATCGCCTGCAGGGCCACCCTGTAGTCGTCCGTGGTGGCCTCATAGAAGCTCTCCGGCACTTCGACTGGATGGTGTGTGGTGTGTGTGTGTGTGGTGTGTTACTCAGCGGGCCAATGGGGAAGAGCGTCACAGAGGGTGGCAGGGAATGCGTACATTCTTTGGGATTGAACGGTCGGTCTGTGGGCGGCAGCACGCGCAGCTCTCTGTCGGGGATTTCCAGCTTGACCGGCTCCTTCTTCGCGGGCTTGGGCTTGGGCGGTTGCTGTGCCTCCACCTCCATCCGATCACCATCGCCCCGAGGCTTCTCTTCCGGCTCGGGCGAGCGCGATGTCGACGTCGACGTTGCCGTCGAAGTACCGCTACCGCCCGCCTGCCCAAAGTGAGCCCTGCGTCACACCAACCAAGTCAGCGCGCACAAGATGCAGGCAGCAGAGAAAGGAGGTTGGTGCGAAGAAGAAGAAGAAGAACGCACCGCATGGCGGCACGCATGTGCTCGACTTGGGTCTGTTCGAAGGCGGCGCGCTCCATTTCCCTGAAGGTCTCCTCCATCTCCTTCTCCTTCAGCACGACCAGGCGCTCGATCTCCTGCTTGCGCCTCGCCTCCTCCTCGGCCTCGGCCTCCTCCTTGCCCCGACGCAGCAGCTCCTCCCTCTCCGCGTCGAGCATCTTCTCGGATTCCTCCGTGAGGCGCTTCACCCGCTCCATCTCGGCCGCCTTGAGCTGGGCCTTGCGCTCCTCGGCCTTCTTGTGCTGCTCCAGCCGCTGCGCCTCGCTGGCCTGTAGGGCCTCCAGCTCGGCCTGCACGCCCTCCAGCGTCGTCTCCGTGGGCCGGAAGTTGAGTCGCAGCAGACCGTTGCCGTCCAGCCCGAGGTCCTGGAGCGTGTTCCTGTAGAGGTCCGCCACCGTGGCCACCTGCACCACACACCACAGGCACAAGCGCGGGCATGAGCACAAAGCCGCGCGCCTTAAGAAGGCGGCAGTGGTGGCGGCGGGTGGTGTGGGTGCGGTACCTCGCGTTGCATGTAGGTGAGGGCGGGCAGCAGGTAGTGGCCCTCGGCGGGTTCGACGTCGGCCTTACGCTTCTTGTCGCCGGTGCTGGTGGCTTCGGCCATGCGCCTGGTGAGGTTGAGCCTGGCGGTACCCTCGCCCGCCTGCTGCTCGAAGTGGAGGAGCACGTCCCACAGCCGCGTGGTCGCCGGAAAGCTGGCCTGCACGCGGCCGCCCTCGGGCAGCTGCAGCCCCACCAGCACGCTTGCGCCTGTTGCGCGGCCGTGTCAGCAGACGCCCAGTCTGCCAAGCAATGCGCGCAGCGTGTGGGGGGGGGGGCTAGCACGTACGTGCGGTGCTGGCAGCTCTTCGCTTGATCTCCAGCTTGGCGCCGGATGCGAGGCCGGACAGGCGGTAGGACAGCGAGAGGTCCAGCTCTTTCCCCTTTGCATCACTGCACAGCATCCCAAACAAAAAAAAAAAAAGCGAGATATTTCTAAATCAGGTGTGATGCAGATAGGAGAACCAAGGCCACAAGGCCAAGACACAGAGAACGAGCTGCAGACGTACTACAAGGCATGGTTGGAGAGGGGAATCTTGAATTTCTCGCATGCACGTTGCAGGATGACCGACAGCGATTGTGTGGGGGTGGGTTTCACCACCTCGCGCCTACCCTCATAATTGATGGTGAGCGACATATCTATGAAGTAGTGTGATTGTTCCTCTCTATCGCCCAGGTCTGCTCCTTTCCACAAGTAGATCTGACGTGTGGCTTTTTCTGTGCAATCTTTTCCCGCACTATTTCGCCTTCGCTTTGTGTTTCTTCTTCTTCGGCACTGCCCTTTTGCTTTTCAGCTGTGCGGGTCGGAGTGTTCGAGCGTGTGTTGAGCTTTATTGATGGTGTGTCGGCTCTCACCTTTCAACTCTCTTTGTAGGTCTCCTTGACCAGGTGCTCTGATGAAATGGGGAGGAGGAAAGGAGAGACTGGTGAGGCTGGACGCTTCTTGGCTTCCGAAGAGGAAGGATCGGGAGCAGGGAGTACCTTTCAGGGGGATGACAAGCTCGTCATTGTCGTTGATGGTCACGTGGTGCATCTTGTCTTTGAACAGGTAGCGGATGCGCAGCTGCTTCTCGTCACCCGGGCATGGATCATAGAAGCCTGACCACGCATCACGCCGGCACATAACATGAGGGAACGCGTTAGCATGTTGGCTGTGGAGGGTGCACTACAGGGGGGAGCAGGTGGTACCGTAAAGGGAGGCCTTGGAGCCCTCCTCCAAGATGAGCTGCGAGTCCTCGACCCTGTATTGAAGCGGAACCGTGACGTCGATCACCGAGCCCTCCTCGGCTTCCTCTTCGTCACCGGACGGCGTGGGCTCCTTCCACCTGCCGTACTGGCCCAACACGATCACGAGCCCTGTGTGCCACGATGATTGATGGGGGGGGGGTAAATGTCTGAGCACCAACGCTCAAGGGCCAAAGCTGGGGGGGAGGTACCGTGTTTGGTCCGTTCGGCTTCGATCTTTCTCTTGACTTGGGCGAGTATGAGGCGGATGTCCATTTCGGCCTGTTGCCGCTTCTTTTTTATGTGTTCTGATCGCAATCGCAAAGTCGCGGCCTTCTTCCTGCAGAGCGACACCGAAGAGAGGGCAAACGTTAGGCGAGTGGATGGACAAAGGTGTGAAGCGAGGGCGAGAAGCGCGTACTCTCTTTTCTTGCGCTCTCGCAGCGGGTTGAACCAAAACTGGGTGGCGGCTAACACGCCAAACAGAGGCAGCACAAAGGCGCCCACGCTCGTCCACCCCTCGAGCCCTCGCGTGACCAGAAGCGGGAAGGAAAACTGCTGCCCAAAGTAGGTGTAGCTGCACACGGGAGCACGGGTAAGGCGGGCGACTTGCTCCGCCGGCAGCAAAGAGTGCGAGAGAGGCACGTACGTGGCGATAACAGTACAGGCACCGTTGGCGCCGAGGCCCGTGGAAATGCTGAGCTTGTTGCCCTTCGAAATGCGCCGGGTGTAGCCCAGGCCGACGGAGGGAAGTCCCCCGAAGCCCAGCTCCGTCTCCAGGCTGAGGCTCTCCCGCTTCGACAGCTTCTTGCGATAGTTTAATTCCAGTGACGGAATCGAGAATGGCCAATCGCCCACGTACTCCACATCGGCAAACTGGAGATGAACTGATCAGCGGCAGCCCGAGCCCAATATAGCGCCGCAGCTTGCATTACACGCTGGGGTACCTTGAGGTGCGAGGACATGACGGTGGTCTTGGCCTGGCGGCGGAGACCAAGCCGCATGACGTTGTTCTGTCCGATGGAGAATTGGGCATCGCCCAGCACCCGCTCGCTCAGCGTCTCCCAAAAATGGAGGGTCAGGTTGCTCCCTTCGTTGTTGATGTCAGCAATGATCGCACCCACACTATCGACCACACGACGCATCAGTGCGTGAGTGTTAGGTGAATCGGGTTGTTGCACATGGGCCACATGAGCAACGTACTTGGAGGACGACAGTCTGGTTTGGCCAATGACCCGGAGGTTCCACGCCTCCGGTCCGGCAACCACCTGCGCATCGGCAAAGGTGGTGCGATCGACGTCGGAGAAGAAGCGCCGCCATCCGAAGATGAGGCTGCTGCCCCGCTGCGCCACATTACCGCCCACGACCACCATGTTGCGCGTATCAATTTGGTTCTGCATGTCACACAAACAGACAACCAACGCCACCCATCCCCACACAACCATGCGTCAGCAGCTGCCAGGCCACGAGGTGCAGCGATGGCGGAGAAGAAGGGAGGGAAAGGGTGGGCATGTGCCTGCATCATTTCGTTTATCTGCACGCCGAGGATGAACGGGAGATTGAACTCCTCCGGTCCTCGCTTGAAGGCCCCCAGCACCGTGGTAATCTTGCCCTTCATCTTGAACTTGTTCCGCAGCTCCTTCAGTTCCTTGTCCTTTTCCACCTTTTCAAGATGCTTCTTCAACTGTAGCACAATGATGCACTCTGGCAGTGAGCAGAGATTGCCAGAGTGCAGCGATTGTTGAAAGGGGAGAGAACGGCTACAAACCTCATCAAGGGTGGGGTAACGCTTGACCAGCTCTTTGCAAGTGTTCGACTTGAGAGCCTCGAGACCATAGATGTCGTACACGGCACGCTGCTCGTCATCCATGAGCACGACATAGGCGTAATTAATCTGCACAAATTTCTTTTCGGCTTCGCCGCGGACATCGCCTCCATGATGGTCGGGATGGAAGGTGCGCGCGAGCTTCCTGTATGCCTTCCGTATCTCGTTCTTCGACGCTGTCTTCTTCACACCCAGAAGCCCGTAAAGATCCGTGCCCTCCTCAATTTCCTCTGGCCCCTCCATCTTCGCTCACTGCAAATTCTACAAAAAGTGCCCAACACTGTTTCCTTCTTCCCGCCAATTCTTGGTATGCGGCTTTAACATTCTTTGGCATGATCCAGTTTTTTGTTCGGTTTTTTCCTGGATTGGTGGAGTTTCAGGTATTACGCATGAAAATTAAAAAAAAGCAAAATATATAGCTATATATTTTGCCACTTAATTAATCATGAGACTTCACCTTTGATGGAAGTGAGGTCCAACTGAAGTTACAAGCCGATAATAATAGACACTACATCTTCTATTCAGAGCAGCCTGCACCGTTTCCCTGTGATTCCCCAACACGAGTTGCGCAACAAGTTGCTGGAGTCCTGCCAATTTCCGTCCACTTCGAGCGATGTACCGGGAAGTATTTCGGGAGGCTGTTTACCGATTGGCCGTTTGGGCGGTGGTTTTCCGCTATTAAGGTGGCGGGGGGTAGTAATACAAAGGGTGCGCGCAAGGTTTCGGCTTGCCGCTCTTCTCTCGCCCCCGTTCGTTACTCGCCGCTCCGGAGCGCAGTGTGCCTTCTTTCTCCATCTGATCTGTAAGATGACCCTCCTCGAACTGGATACGTGGACTTCGCCGGTCAATTGGGCGTATCTTTTGACGTCGGCCTTAGTGGTGTTCTTCCTCGCGGACCACCTGAGCACGCTGAGGAAGCGCAAGAGCCTCCCGGGTCCGTTGTTCGCTTGGCCCTTCTTCGGCGCCATCTTCGAGATGGTGTGGGATCCGACCAACTTCTGGGATCGTCAGGAGACCTTCGGCCCGCTCTCGTGGAATGCGCTCTTCGGCAAATTCATGGTCTTCTCGCGCGACACCGACACTTCGATCAAGATCTTCAAGCACAACAGCCCCGAGGAGCTCAAGATCGTGCTCCATCCCAACGCTGTGCGTCTTCTCGGCGAGGACAACATCGCCTTCATGCAGGGCCCTGGCCACAAGGAGCTGCGCAAGCGTCTCCTGCCCCTCTTCACCAAGAAGGCTCTCGGCGTCTACCTCAACATTCAGGAGAAGGCCATCCGCGAGCACCTCGCTAACGTACGTCAATCTGCCTTTTTTTTTTTTAGAAACTCAAGTGTCGGCGCCGTCCTCGATTTCCCGCTCCATCGATTCAATCTCATCATCCAATTTTTCTTTTCTTCCAATATTGGAAGTCTTTCAAAAACAAAGGCCATTTGCTCTGTCTCACCTCCAATTACGATGAAGAAATGAAATACGGAAGATCTTACAGTTTTGTATCTAACAACACCCACGGGTACCATCTCATTCTATTCTACACACAGTGGGTCAAGCTCCCTCAGCCTCAGAAGATGCGCGACCTGTGCCGCGATCTCAACGTCGATACCTCGCAGTCGGTGTTCATCGGCCCCTACCTGTCGGGCGACGAGAGGAAGGAGTTCGCCAAGAACTACATGATGATGAACGAGGGCTTCCTGGCCTTCCCGCTGTGCATCCCCGGCACCGCCCTGTACAGGGCCGTGCAGGCGCGCAAGAAGGTGGTGGCCACGCTGACCACCTGCGCCAAGCTCAGCAAGGACAGGATGAGCAAGGGCGTCGAGCCCGAGTGCCTGTTGGACTTCTGGATGGAGAAGACCGTCGCCGAGATCCAGGAGGCCAAGGCCGCCGGCGCGCCGGCCCCGCCGCACAGCTCCGACCACGAGGTGGCGTGCACCACGCTCGACTTCCTCTTCGCCTCGCAGGACGCCTCGACCGCGTCGCTCGTGTGGACTTGCGGCCTCGCCCTCACCGGCAACCCCGACGTGCTCGCCAAGGTGCGCGCCGAGCAGCTCAAGCTGCGCCCCAACGACGACCCGCTCACCACCGACGTGCTCGGCGACATGCCCTACACCAACCAAGTGGTCATGGAGCTCCTCCGCTACCGCCCGCCCGCCACCCTCGTGCCGCACATCGCCCTCAAGGACTTCCAGCTCACCGACAACGTCAACGTCCCCGAGGGCTCCCTCGTCGTTCCCTCCGTGTGGGGCGCCTGCCACCAGGGCTACACCAACCCCAACACCTTCGACCCCGACCGCTTCTCCCAGGAGCGCGGCGAGGACCGTAAGTACGGCAAGAACTTCCTCACCTTCGGCAGCGGCCCCCACTACTGCCTCGGCAAGCAGTACGCCATCAACCACTTGATGTCCTTCCTCTCCATCATGTCCATCAACGTCGACATGAACCGTCACCGCACTCCCGAGAGCGAGACCATCGTCTACGGCCCCACCATCTTCCCCGCCGACGGTGTCATCGCCGACATGAAGGAGAAGAAGTACTACTAGAGCCCCCCCAAACCACTAGCAAGCCCACCGACTCTGCCCTCCTCCGGCCACGAAGCGAACTCAGCCCCCGCTCGACCGAGAAACTCTCCAGCGGCGCACAGGCCAGGGAGGCGCGCGGCTAGTGGGACATCACCATTGCCACCAATTTTTTTGCATTTTTGTGGTCGCAGAGAGGAGCTGCGGCGAAGGTTCCCCTAATCAAGGAACCTTCAAACGAAGTATCATTACCACCACACCACCCACTCTCTCTTGAACGAACGTTCCCTCCGCCTTTGCTTCTTCCCTCCTTCTTCCAAAGCTTGTTTGGTCGGGCCGGGGATCCGCAGGAGAAAGGGTTTCTTCTCCGCGTCGGACCTTTTTTTGGCGGCTGCGCGAGGCCGGGCTGGGTTGCGTTTTGTTTTGCTGTTCGTCGATGGATGATGGACATGGCTGCCGACAGCGCTGCACAGGAGGAGCTGCGTCTCGATGGTGAGCAAGACCAGGCACAGCTGCTTGGCGACTCGAGTGAGACACTGGAGTACGCTGAAGCTGAGCTCTACGGCGCTGAGCCGCCTCTTGGCGCGACTGCTACGGGAAGGTAACTACGCCCCCCCCTTGCTGTACACAAAATTATAAATAATATTTTTTGGTAGATTATAATTACAAGAATTATAACATTAAAAACTCATAAAAATGGGCCTTAAGGTCCTTTCCGCTGGACGTGGCCCGGAAGCGATGGTTGTGGAAGCTGACGATCGGGTTGGTGCTGATTGTGGGTTACGCCGGGTACTATGTGTGCCGCTCCAACCTCTCAGTGGCGTCGCCCTCCCTCATCAAAGACTTGGACCTCAGCAAGTCCACCTTTGGTGCGCTTCCCTCTTCATTCATGAAGAACCCGCCTGCGTGTGTGGCCCGGGGTCTGTTTCTGACGGAGCGCTCCGACAGGCATCGTGTTGACGGCGGGCACGGCGGCCTACGCCGTCGGCAAGTTTGTGACGGGTCCGGTTATCGACTCCATGGGCGGCCGGAAGGTATCGTTGTGGACAGCTACAGCTGCTACTGCTGCCTGTGTTCGCAGGGCTCACGACTCATTCTCGGTTCTACCGCTGACGCAGGTCTTCTTGCTGGCCATGCTCTGTTCGATCTTGCTTACCGTGGTCTTCACATTCGGATCGGCCGTGTGGTACTTCACGCTCGTCTGGATAGGAAACCGCCTCGTGCAAGCTGCTGGTACGAGAGGGTCCCTCTGCACCACCATTACGACGCTCGGCGACTCATTCTCGCTGTTGTCGTGTGCTTCATGGGTCGCTGTTCCGCGCAGGTTGGCCTGCCGTGGTGAAGATTACGTCCAGCTGGTATCACCCCAGCGAATCTGGGAAGGCCATGGGCTTCATTTCGCTCAGCTTCTTGTTCGGAGGTACGCCGCAACTTTGCTAAAGGATCGGGCTATGTTGCTTACCATTGTCTTCATCCCTTGTTTCGTGTTAGATGCCATCGCACGGTTCTATCTCGCCGGCGTGTTGGAGGCAACGGACGACAGCTGGGTCGCCGTGTTCTGGGTGTCGGCCATTACGCTGGGCGCCATCGGCGTGCTCTGCTTTTTCCTCCTCAAGGGGTCCCCCGCAGATGTGGGGCTTCCCTTGGAGGACGAGAAACACACGGCCAAGCAAAGCACAGCGGACGACATAGACGAAACCGATGGTCGAATTCAGGTGCGCACCGCCCGTGCCCTCTTTTGTGGTGCGCGTGGTGTGTGTGTGTGTGTGTATCCTGTGAAATGCTCACCCGCTTCTCGGTGACTGCAGGTAGTGGGAACGGAATCGCAGCCGGGATCGTGGAAGGAGAGGATCGGGCCTCTCTTGCGGAATCCTCGCTTCTGGCTTCTCTGTTTCATGTCCTTCGGGCTCACTCTGTTGCGATCAACCTTCACGGATTGGGCCAACGTGTACCTCACCGACGAAACGCACGCCAGCCCCTCCGAAGCCGCACTGGGCAGGTAAGCCCCAAGCCTCACCTCCACGCTTTGGAAGCTTCTTTTTAGCTACAGTGATGTGGTGACATCTCTCGCTCACATGTGCGTGCGTGTACTCAAATGACAGCATCATGTTCCCACTCAGCGGAGGGTTCAGTTGTTTGCTGGTGGGCTGGCTCAACGACAAGCTGTCGCGTGGGCGGAGAGGCCTCATGCTGATGGGCTTCTTGACCGTGCTGGCCATCACCCTGGGCGCCTACTCCCTTCTCTCCTCGCGCAGCCTGCCTCTCGCCCTAGGTGACTCAATCATCTCGCGCCCGTTCATGGTGTAGTTGCTTCTCACTCACCTCTATGACGTGGTGTCGCACAGTTTTCGTGACGCTGGTGGGGTTCACGCTCACGGGTCCGTACACGCTACCGGCTGGCGCGCTCTCGCTCTCGATCGGCGGTCCGATGTGCGCCACGGTCTCGGCGCTCGTGGACACCACGGGCTACATCGGCGGCCTCCTCTCCGGCTACCTCGTGGGCCTGCTGGCCGAGACCTACGGCTGGAGCACCGTGTGGGGTCTGCTGGCCGTGGTCACCGTGGCCACCATCTTCGTCACCGCCGCCTTCTCCCTCCTCGACTACCGACACTCCCTACCGGAGTCCCTCCCGCACATCAACTCTTCTTCTGATGAGTACGAGTTGCAGGAGACCGGCGTCGACCAAGATGACGGAGAGCTCACCTTCCATCTCGCAGAGGACAAAGCGAAATAATAATTCGATTCTCTTCCTTCCTGGAATTCGTCAAAAGTTGTAAAAATAAAAAGATGCAAAAATAAAAATAAAAAGATGCAACTTGTGTTTATTTTGCATGAATTGAGCCACACAAATGGAAGATGACGAGTTTGCGGCGTTTGAGTTGAACGATGATGAGGACCTGGACGGACTATATGAGGAGGCGGATTTTGACATTCCCTTAGGCCTGCAGCAGACGCAAACCGTCTCTGCCCCGCCGCCTATGATGAAGTTCAAAACCGAGGCGTTCGATCCGCCTCTTCCTCCCGTCCCCGCCGCCACCCCCACGGTCACATTCTCCAGCGCTCCCCCTTCCCTCCTGCGGCCACCACCACGGCCCGTGCCGAGCAGCAGCCCTGCCACCGCGGTGCCCATCTCCCCCTCCCGAGTCCTGCCCATCGCCTCTACCGCCCCAGCAGCTGCTCCAGTCGTTGCCGTACCTCCCTCCTCCTCTTCCTTTAGTTCTACGCACGCGTCTGCTCGCGTCTGCTCGCGCTGACGAGCAAAGCAGGCGAAGGTGAAAGTGCAGCCGCCGCCGAGCCCGCAGGTGGTGCGGTTTGCACAGCAGCCGCAGCCGCAGCCGCAACTGGGCGCGGTGCCCATGACCCCAACGCAGCAGCCGCAGAAGCAGCAGCTGAAGCAGCAACCGCCGAGCAAGCAGCAGGTGGACTCCTCGCTGTTCGTCACGACGCCGTCGCTCCGGCGGGTCGAGCCCAACCCGGCCGAATCCCCCCTGAAGCGCACCAAACTGAGCGAAGACGACGCCATGGAGTTCGCCCTGGGGTACGTTGAGTTGGTGGGTGGGTGGGTGGGTGGTGGTTGTGTTGTTGATGGTGGGCGTGTCGCGTGTTGTTCCCCAATGCAGTGCACCGTTTCCGATGACGCCCTTGCCGCTCGGGCGGCCGCGCATACCCGGCCCGGCGGGCGAGCTCATGCTGTCGAGCGCGCGGAAGAAGGACGCCACCGGCCAATCGTCCACGCTCAAGAGCTCGCAGCAGGCCGCGCAGCAGACCCTCCCCTCGCCGATCATCACCCGCGGCAGCGACCAGGCCGTGTCGCCCACCGACCCGGCGCAGGACGTCGACTTCTACAACGGCCCGTGGCTCACCATGCTCGAGCACCTCCAGCTCCCGCCCTTCACGCCCGCCCAGGGCAACGCTCTGCGGTTCAAGTTCAGCATCGAGTACGTGCTGCAGGACGGGTGGCGCGTGAAGGTGCCGCAGCTGGTGGTGGTGATCAAGTCCATCGCGACGGACACCAACGCCAGCGTAACGCTGAAGGATCCGACGGGCGAGATGCAGGGGACGATCCACGCCTCCGTACTGGACATCCACCCCAACCTCATCAAGCGAGGCGCGGTCCTCTTCCTGCGTCAGGTGCGGCCCACTTGCCTCCCTCACTCAGCCTCCCCTTGGTTGCAGATGTTCTGTAACCTGTTTGTTGTATTTGCACAGGTTTCAGTTTTCACGCCTGCGCCGGACTCGCACTACCTCAACATCACCGACGCCAACATTGTGCACATCTTCCCGCAGAGTCTGCCGCACCCAACGGTACTACAGCACCACTCGCACCCTTGGGTCCTCGCGAGTGTTGGCGCTCACTGACGCGTGTCCGGCCCTCCGATCGATCAGAGCTTACTCAACGCCAAGGCATGGCGACACACGTTCTCTCCGCTGGAGGCCTACGAGGGCAAGATGGCCCCGCCGCGGTCTCTCGCGCGAGAACAGCAGCAAACGCTCGGGGCTGGGCTGGCGCCTCGCCACACGTCCGCTACCACCGCGAGATCACCCTACGCCACTCCCAAGGCAGCCCGGCCAGCGCCGCCAGCTCGACCGCAGGGTCAGGCGCAGGGTCCACCGCCACCACGGCAGCCGCGTGGCGAGCAACCCTCACAACAGCGACGACAGCCCCAGGCCCCGCAGCGACAGCCACCACCACCAGGCCGAGCATCACAGCAGCAGCCGCAGCGGCGACAGGCCGGGGAAGCGCTCCCCCAGCCCGAGAAGCAGCAACCTCTGCTGGACGACATGTCCATGGATGCCCTCCTGGCCAACATCGACATGTCGGCCTTCCCATGACCTTTGTGGCCAAGCCCACCACACGCAGTACACGCCCGTCGTACGCAAAGAGCGAGAGAGAGAAAAAAGAGCGGCAGCGCTTCCTGCGCTCGTGTCGTTTTCAGCCTGACAAAATAGGGGGGTTGGGCAGAGTTCGGCGCGCCTCATCTCTTCTAGGAGCCGAAGGCGGTCTCGTCGGCGTCGATCTGCTTGAAGGCGTACTGTCCTCGGCCGGAGAACTGGAGGACGTACTCGTGGTACTGCCAGAGGGATTTGCGGTGGGAAACGGTGAAGAGGGTGATGCCCAGCTCCCTGCACCTCGTGTAGATGTAGCCCTCCACGTCCACGCTCACGGCGCTCGTGCATTCGTCCAAAATGGCGAACTGGGGCTTGTGGTAGAACAGCCGGGCCATCGCCACGCGCTGCTTCTCTCCTCCGCTCAGCACATCCGCCCAATCTACACTCACACCACCCGACCGACGAACGGGCGCGCGTTAGTCCCCAGAAGACGAGCAGCTGTTTGGGGAGGGGGGGGGGTTAAAAGGGCGGCAAGGGGGGTACCCGAAACGGCATCCCATCCGCCCTCGCGCTCGACCAGGTAGTCGAGCTGCACCTGGCGGAGGTAGTCCACCAGATCCTCGTCGGTGCCGCCGGCCTTGCGGAACTGCTCGTGGGAGTGGGGGTAGATCACCTGGTCCCTCAGCGTACCCAGCGCAAGGTACGGCCGCTACATTTGCAGAACAGCCAGAAATGTATGAACGCGAGCGAGTAGCGGTGAGACATGGATCGTCTCAGATAGGGCGAGGAGCTGAGAAACACGAGGAAGGCGGTGTGACGCACCTGCGGGACGTAGAAGAGCTTGTTCTTGGCGGGCTTGGTGAGGGTGCCGCCGAAGAGCGGCCACAGCTCGCCGAGGATGCGGAAGAGGGAGCTCTTGCCGCAGCCGTTGGGTCCGGCCACGAGCACGTTCATGCCCGACCGCACCTCGAAGCTCAGGCTCTCGATCAGGAGGTCGCCGTTGGGCGTCACGATGGGCACGTCCTCGAACTTGATGATGTGGTCCTGGGTGATGATCTTGCCGCTGTTGGGCTTGAGCTCGCGGGTGGAGGTGCCGGAGGCGGGGTTCTTGGAGACCATGGTGCGCTTGTAGGTGCCGGCGTTGAGGTCCTTGAGCACGTTCTGGAGTTCGGTGACGCGGGCGGTGTAGCCGGCGAGGCGGGTGAGCTCGCGGCCGGCGAGCACGAGGCGGCCGACGGCGAGGGCCATGTTCATGAGCATGCGGCCGCTCTTGTAGTACTCCTCCATGAGCTCGGCCTGGCTGGCGTTGCGCAGCTTGGCGTTGTTGAGGTCGAAGAACGGGCGGCTCACCACGAGGTAGCCCACGCACGACGCGCAGTACTTGGCGATGATGCTGTCGACGATGCCCAGCAGCGCGCGGAACTGGATCGAGTACCGCAGGTGGTTGACCAGCCCGCGGAAGGACTTGCTGATCACCGACCGCTCCTTCTCGTTGCCGCCGTAGAAGGCCACCTCCTCGCTGTGCGTGATCAGACGCGAGTTGACGAATCGGAACTCGCCCTCGAGCCTCTGCTCGTTCACCGTGAACTTGCCGATCGGTCGCCGCAGCCGCGTCAGCAGCAGACCCGACACCAGCAGGTAGCCCAGCATGCTCGCCGGACCCTGCGCGCCGATGGCGCCCGAGAGCTTGCGCGCGTAGATGAAGATGTCCAGGATGGGCTTGCTCACGTTGGAGTAGAGCTCCGACACGCTCGTGCAGAACTTCTCCACGTCCTGCGTCAGCAGCTGGTCCGCGTTGGCGATACGGTTGTCCAGGTTGGACACCTTGTAGTACGTGAACCCTACACACGCACACCACCACCACCGCCGCCGCCATTTTTCCGTTTAGACCCCATTACGCCCGGTGGCCACGTCGCTTCGGCGAGGGTGCAATAATAAGAATAATAAGAATAAAAAGGCTATTGGCGTGCTTTGGGGGGGGAGGCAAGCAAGACAAAATAAGAGGTTGGAGAAGAAGGAAAAAGAAGAATGGAATATAAACAAAATCAGGATGAATTGGAGATTTGGGGGCGAGATGAGTAGGTACCGTTGAGGTACTCCTGGTAGAGGTGCTGGGTGAGGCGGGTGCGGAACCGGAGGGCGAGTTCGTTGAGGCCGTAGCGGAGGAGGTTGTTGACGAGGGCGATGGGGAAGAAGGCCATGACGAAGTTGAGGAACACGACCACGAAGCCCTGGAAGTCGCGCGTGATGATGGTACGCTCGATGGCCGTTCCATTCTTGAGCATCCACACGTCGCACCACGTTCGCGAGAGCATCATGGCCGCCACCAGCACCATGAAGCCGCTCTCAGGCGTGAACGGCCCGGGGATGAGAATCTTGAGGAGGCGCCACAATCGCGAGAAGAAGACTCCATCTACGGCCACCTTCTGCCGCGCGGCTCCGTCCTCCTTTTTGGTCTGCAGCAGCTCGGGTCGGTTGGACTTCATGGCCCAATTGCGCGTCGTGACGACGTACACCATCGACGAGGCGACGATGGCCACCAGCCCGATCGTGCGTGAGCGGCTGCCCAGGATGATCTCCGCCACGCGCCCCACCCCCACGGAGGTGCTCCCGTTAGGCACCACCGGTGCCAGCTTTGAAAGGGCGCCCATCTCTTCTCTCGCTCTCGAGCTTACTTCTTGTTCTGAATTGAATGGAGAGAGACGCTGCTGTGCACCAGTACTCAGGACTCCTGTGGCGCGAGGGGATAGACGCCTTTCCCTCCGCTATTCGGACGACCTCAACTGCTCCAGGCAGGGAAATTATTGCGGAATTTGTGTTTCCCGATTCGGTCTCTTTGCTGTCCGGTATTTACCCGCCCACAGAAAAGAAATGGAAATTAAAAGAGAAAGAAAATAAAGAAAACCAAAAAGGGCGGAAGATGGAGAACAACAAGGGGGTGGAGTTCGTGGTGGCGCTGTACAACTACACCTCGCGCAAGGAGACGGAGCTGTCTTATCGAAAAGGGGATGTGCTCGCCCTCCTCCGGCCGCCGGACGACTCGGGCTGGTGGTACGGTCGCCACGCCACCGCGGACAGCGCGGCAGCCTCCGGGGGTGGCGTAGTCGAGGGTCTGTTTGCGCACAACTACGTGAAGCCCATCGAGCTCCAGCTGTACGTGGGCAAGCACGCGTTCAAGGGCAAGGGCGACGACCCCGCCTACCTCCCCTTTGCCCAGGGCGACGTGCTCGAAGTGGTCCTACCGGACTCAAGCGGCTGGTGGCTTGCGCGCAGGGCCGGCGGCAGTCGGCTGGCGCTCGTGCCGGCCAACTACATCGCCGTCGCGCCCCCCAAGGAAGAGGACAAGCAAGCACTCCCACAACCGCAGCAGACGCAACAACCAACAGCAGCCGAGTCTGCGCACACCATCGACCAAGGCAGCACCTCCGATGAAGAAGCCCAAGAGCAGCCTGCTGTGGTGAGCGTGAGCGCCGCAGACGCATCTCGCGAGGCGGAAGTGGTCCAGGCAGCAGCCTCGTCGCCGGCGGCGTCGGCCACAGCGGTGCCGGGGAGGACCGAGGAAGGGCAGCTGCTCCCTGCCTCTACGGAATTGGAGGCTGCCCTCGCCCAACTGCTCCCCTCGCTCAACGCGGGGGCAGAGGCGTCGACGGATCTGGTGCAGTTCCTGCGCGACCAGCTCCAGCGACGCGAACAGTTCACCGCTCAGTTGGCCGGCATGCTTCAAGCCGGCGATCCCAGCCTCACGCACTCTGGTTGACACACGACACCCAATTAACGCCATGTTGTACACTACACGCACTCGTGGCCTAGCGCCAAGACGTACCCACAGCACGAATAGATATTCGGTATATTTCCAGTACTACACGAGGTTGATTATGAGCGCCTTGTGATGGTGGGCTGCATTTTATGTATGCCACACTGACCTCGTCGGGGCCTCGTCGTTATCATGATGATGAAGTAGAAGAAGCAGGATCGGCTGCCGTCTGCTGCTTGATCTCGTCGACGAACTTGCGCATATGCAGGATCTTGGGCTGGGCCTCGCCGGCGTCCCACGCGTCGATGTACTTCTGGTACCTCACGTTGTACTCGGGCGGCAGCACGTACACGCGCAGGTCGGTCGTCCACAGCAGCTCGCGGAGGGTGACCTGGTCCTTGGGCAGCGCCGCCGCGTGGAAGACCTCCTGCCACCGCTTGAGGAATGCCACCACGCCCTCGCTGCGGCGGTAGAGGAACACCCCGCTGTTGAGCTGCGGGAACTCCACGGGAGGCGGCGATGCAGAGGCCGGAGAAGAGGAAGAGGAAGAGGAAGACGTGGTGGCGCTCTTGGCATGCGAGCGGCGGTGTGCGTGGGCCATGCACAGGTCGAAGCGGTCGAGCAGGCTGAAGAGGCCGCGCACGTCGGCCACCACGCGGGTGTCAGCGTCGAGGAAGAGGGTGCGCTCGAAGGGCGTGCGCCACAGGTGGTCGACCTTGGACCGGCGGTGCGGGTTCTCAATGCGCTCCACCGAGTCAAACGCGCCAGCAGCCGCCGCGCACACCTCCGGAAGGTCTGTCCATATGTGCACCGGGAGGTCCGGCCCGCAGTGCTCCTTCACGCTTCGGGCGCTCCGGATGGCCGCCTCGACGTAGACCGGACCCGTTGCCACCAGCACCACCCCTTGCCCCTTCTTGCTCTCCATGTAGCCACTTCCGGTCTTTTTGTTTATGTTTTCTCTTTTTTTTCTTTTTGCGGCATTGTTTTTTATTTTTGTTTCCCTGCCGCTGATCAGTGGTGGTGGGGCTCTTGGGGTTGCTTGACGCTGTGGTCTTGCGTGGGAGCGGCGAGGAGCTGGGTGACGCAGAAGCGATAGAGGCCGTTGTTGACGTTGCTCCATCGGGCGACCTCCCGTTCCAAGTTGACGACTCGCTTCTGCAGCTCGCGGTTCTGTTGCTCGAGCACTCCCTCCTCGCCCTCGGCCGCCTGAACAAATGAACGAGCGCGCGCGTCAGTCAGCAAGAACAACTCAACACCGGTCATTCACATGAGGGGGAGTGCATCATTAATCACACCTTCAGGTCGGCGGTCAAGGGGAGGTAGGACTCTGGCTCCTCTTCCTCGTCCAGCAGGTCCGTAAACACCAACTTGGTGTCGCCGAGCACCGTGGGCACGGCCATCGACACCAGGAGGGTGGAGACGTCTCCAGCGGAGTATGCTGCACATACAAAATAACGCACAGAGAACGAGGGAGAGAAGATTGCTATAAGCGACCATGGCTCATGTGCATGCCGCACGGCTGCCACGGGAGAAGGTCTTACCCGACTGCTCGTTTCGGTGCAAGAAGGTCTTGAACGGCTGGATGCTCAGTGGTGTCTTACACAGCAGAAGATGAGCCTCTTTAGACCAGCTGTACACTTATATCGCCCACGTAGATCTTGCCAGTGCGAGAATGTACCTTGTCTGTTTGCCTGTCATCGATGTTCATGTCCTCGCTGAAGGGCTTGGCAATAATGGAAGCGTAGGTGATAGGACCCTTGTTGGTCGTGAACGTTCGAATCACCTGTCGACTGCCCAGATCCCACATCTAAACAGTCGAATGAATGGTCAATGAACGATGGACAACCTTGAAGGAGAAAAGCCTCGCTCTTGTGGAGTTGTAAGCACCTTGGCGGTTCCGTCGTGAGAGGCGGACAGGAGCAGATTGCCGTCGAGCGAGACGCTCAGGCTGCTGATGTGTCGATCGTGAGCCGAGAGTGTATCGAACACCTTCTCCTCACCCATGTCCTGTAGCAGCAGCAGCGGCATTAGGGATCACCTGAGTTTTACACCAGGGGAAGGCGTGCGCGGGGGTGGATGTACCAGCAGGCCGCCTTCGGATGCCATAAACATTGCGTCCGAGTTGGAGGCGGGCAGAGGCATGGTGAGGTCCACAGCGTAGACTCGGCCATCGACAGACCCGGCGAAGAGGTGTCGCTCAAGTACGTCCACGGTGACGGTCGTGAGGCACGAAGGGAACTTGAGCGAGGCCGCCATGCGTCGCGAGGGGATGTCCCACACCTGTACATGCGGCGGCGAGTGAGCGAACGCGTGCAGGAGAGATCTGCAGGACTATCGACAGCGCACCTTGCAGGTTTGGTCGTTCGAGGTGGTCAAAATGCGTCCCCGCACACCGCCGACGCCACAGAAGATGGAGGTGATGGGCAGCGCGTGCTCGTTCCATGTGTGCTCGGGTCGGACAGAAGTCTCGTCCGTGCTCGATGCGTCGTCGTCATCGAAAACGCTGTACCCGACGTAATTGATGGGGTTAGGCCGCGTGGTGCAGTGTCTCCGGGCAGAGTGTGCAGCACTTGAGTACTACAGTACCTGGCGAGGGACCAAAGATGCAACAGAGCGTCCTCTCCGCCGGAAAGGAGGAACATGTCGTCGGTTGTCCAGGCAAGGGCAGTGACGCCCTTGTAATGGCCTTCCCACATCTTGAGCATTCTGCCCGTGGCCACCTGGAATGAGTGATGCGCCGTGTGCGTGTGCGTGTGACGCGTTAGTTTCGCACAATTCGCACATGCAGCGGACCGTAGCAAGAGGAGCATGGTACCTGCCAAAGGTAGAGCTTGCCAGATGGTGCACCAGCCGCACAGTACAGGCCCTGCACAATGGACGGATGACATAACCGGTTATATGACTCATTCATGAGGGAGGGACCAGCACACGAGACAAAGTCTGAGGCTATCTACGTACGTCGTGAGAGACCGCGACTACGCCCAGCTTCTCCGGGATACTGAACCGCAGCACTGGCTGCTCCTATTTTATTCCGAACACCATCAGAAAAGGCATTATTTGCAACATAATAATAATAATAAAATTGCATCGCGATTTGTCAATTGCCAACACCACGAGCACATCTTAGCTGGAGGGGTTTGTAGAGCCACAAGACGAAGGGCCACTCGCAGCAAGATTCGGGGTTGAAGAGATTATGAGATTATTGGGGGGGAGGGCCGTACTCGAGCCCAGGACCAGACGTGGATGGAGGGGCGGGCCTCTTGGATGGCAAGCATGTGGTGCTGGCCGACGAGGGACCACGCGTTCGGGCGTCCGCTCGTGTTGTTTTTAAATGTTTTCAGGTGCTGTGCCGTCGACGGATTCCACACGTGGATAGCGGCGTCATCTTTTGAGCAAGTAACGACCACCTCATCACAGCCTTCCATCTTCTAAAAATGAGAGAGAGCTTCGCAAAGTCCTCCTCCGGCGCTTGGATGATGTGCCGAGATGAGATTCTCCCGCTTTTCCCGCTTTTTTGTTGATTTTCTTTCAGCACAGCTCACATTTTCTTTTGGTTTCTGTTTGTTCCTGCAGGGATTTTTGTTTGTATTTTAATTTAGTGCGCAAGCAGCCCAGCCGGCAAGATGAGCCAAGCGAGCCTCATGGCACTCTCGCAGTTCTTTGTGCTGTCGCCTCGGGGTGACCCTATCATTTTCCGTGACTGTACGCCCTCCCCCAAATCATAATATTAAGAAAAAAAATATATTGTGAAGCTAATCGAATTCCTTCCCCTCCTGCGTACGGGGTAGACAGAGGAGACGTGACGAAGGAGACACCGGAGATCTTCTTCCGTCATATCCGCCAAACCAACGGCTCCCTCCCCGTCTTTGTACCTCCCCCCGGCTTCGTTCTAGCAGCTTTTGGCCCTTCTTGTCCTTAATTTTGTTATGTGCTTGTCTGACGTGCGCACCGTGTCAGGCGGTGGATGGGCTGCACTATGCGAGTTTGAAGCAGAGCGGGCTCTACTATGTGTTCACCACGCGACACAACGTCTCGCCATCGTTTGCGCTGGAGCTGCTGGTGCGGCTGGCAGGCCTCTTCAAGGACTACTGCGGGGTGCTCAACGAAGAGTCCATCCGCAAGAACTTCGTCCTCATCTACGAGCTTCTCGATGAAGTTCTGGTAAGGCGCCTTCACCTGAACCGGCAGTAGTGCATCCTCCTCCAGGCCTCTCTCGCTGACTCACCCTTGATGCGTGGCGGGTGGTGGTGAATGTGGGCCTTATAGGACTATGGCTACGTGCAAGGGACGTCAACAGAGCAGCTGAAGGCCTTCGTCTTCAACGAGCCCATCCTGGTGGAGGACATGCTCGCGGCGGACGAGAAGGAGGGTGTCCTTTCCCGGGTGGGGTTCGCCAGGCACAACGGAACTCAGTCGGCCTCGGCAACCAACAAGCCCATCGCCCTCAACACGGCCGACGAGCGCAAGGGCCGCAGCGAAATATACGTTGACCTCATCGAACGACTCACCGTCACCATCAACGCCAAGGTACTATCTCTCAACCAGCTCCTCCCTCTAAGCAGCTCTCTTTTAGTCTCAATCTGCGCTGCTGCTCACGCGCGCGTTGTGGCCTTTGTCGCTCCCGCGCAGGGCGAGGTGGTCCAGTCAGAGATTCAGGGCTACATCCGGATGACGAGCTTCCTCCAGGGTAACCCGGAGATGAGGCTCGGCTTGAACGAGGACCTGGTGATCGGCCGAGGAAACGGTGCGCGGCCTCACACCGCGCAATACAATGCCATTCAGGCGCGCAGTGGCCAACCCTCCAGTGGTTTTTTCTCTGTCACCTCCCTATCGGCCCAGGATATGGAGGGATGACGGTGGACGACATGACGTTCCACGAGTGTGTGCGCATGCTCGAGTGGGAACGGGATCGAGCGCTTCTCTTCTACCCGCCCGACGGAGAGTTCACCGTGCTCAACTACCGCATCTCCGACGACTTCAGAATTCCATTCAACATCTCCCCGTTTGTGGAGCAGATGGCACCCGACCGTTTGGACCTCATCATCAAGGTACGTACCGGCCCTTTCGGACCATCAAGGATGAGGCGCTGGAATTAATTGACCTCTCTTGCTGTGGCACCTCCTTGCAGTTGCGACTCGACATACCCGAGGATAGCAATGCTGCCAACGTACTCATCCGATGCCCCGTTCCCAAGGCCATCGCGAGGTGCGTTGAGGCCCGCGCTGTGGTGGTGGTGGTGGGGGGGTGGTGGTGGTGGTGGTGGTGGTGGTGGTGGTGGTGTGTGGCGAGTGTGACCCTCATAGCGTGTGCAACCATCAGCGCCAAGTGCGAGCTGGCCATTGCGGGCGTGGAATACCGGGTGGTGGACAACGTCGTCGAATGGACGGTCAATGAATTCGGCGGCGGATCCGAGCTCTTCCTCCGCAGCCGGGTACCATGGTCCCTCTCCTCCGAACCACCCGTCCCGCCACTTACCAGCTCCCCTCCTCCCCCTGCGTAGATCACGCTGAACGAGCCCTACACCGAGACGATGCGAAAAGAGTTTGGACCCATCAGGTACGTCCGTCTCGTCGGCCTCAGCTGAGGCTTTACTTTTCAGATTCCGTGCTGCTCACACCCGCCTGGTGATTGTGGTACCTCGCGCATGCATCCACAGTCTGGAGTTTGAGCTGCCCATGTACAACTGCTCCAACATGAAGATCCGTCACCTGCGAGTCAAGGAGAGGGACGCCTCCTACGATCCCTACCGCTGGGTGCGCAACATCACCCACGCCAACTCCTACATCTGCCGTGTGTGAAGCCCCTTTCCTCAAGCAAGGGACCCAATAATTATACCCTCGGACCCCTCTGAAACATGAAAGGCCGCGTTTTACACTCTGTACGTACTGACGACAGAAAGATGAAGATCGAGGTTTGTTGCGTGTGGCGAAGAACCGGTCTACACCGGTGGGGTCTTCTTACATGGGCTTGGCGCGTTGGTACGCGATGTCGGAGCGAAGGATGAACTTTTGCACATCCTCTGATGTGTGGGGAGCTCCCTCGTGTCGGTGGTTGAGTTGTCCGGCCTGGAAGAACACGAGCGCCATCCCGGTCTTGGGCACCACCCGCACCTCCTCCCGTCGCGGCGGGTTTGTGCCCGTGATGCCGCCCGGGAAGAAGACCGTCTCTCCGCCCTCGAAGCCCTCGTTGAGATACACAATGAACGTCAACAGCGTTTGCTGCGTGGGTTGAGGGGGCGGTGCGGGGTGAGAGATCAAGCGATGGCAGATTCTGATGGTGGTGCACGCAGGCACCCTGGTACCTCGTTGATGTTGCGCATGAAACCGGCGTCGAAGTGAGGCCCGAACTTCTGCCCAACGTCGTACTTGTTGAAGCGCCACCGCTCGTTAACAGGACCCTCTCGCTTCAAGTTCCACTCCTCACCCCCTGCGGCCCCCCCCCGTTGTTGAGTTCCAGCTTAGTTGCAGGAGGTCGAACGTGGCGGTGGTGGGCGCCTCAGCATGGACATGTCGAGAAGATATGGTGGTACCGAACACGGTGACTTGCTGGGGGAGGTGGTCGACCACGCGCTTGTTGACGACGTCGCAGTCCAAGGCGTGCGTATCCCACAGCACCCGCCAGCTGTCTCGTATCTGCTTCGTCCTTTCGTTGCGTTGGCTCGTCTTGTAGTCGCCGCCCAACACCGTCAGGGGCGAAGGCTGCCACGCGCCAACAACACGGCCGTGTCCATGTTTTAATTTATTATTATTTATTATTAGGTTAAAATAAAAAATAATAAAAAAATAAGGCCAAGACGGGGGGGGGTGATTGAGGAGGAAGCACACCTCGTAGCCCATGGAGAGGGATATGTCGATGTACTGCTGGCACTCGGCGGGGGTGAGCACGTTGTGGAGCAGAAACGCGCCGTCGACTCCCTCGAGCTCCTCCCGCACCACCGGCGGCGCGTCCTCGTCAAACACCACCTGGCGCTCGGTGAAGCGCAGCAGGTCGTCCACCTTGAACGTGGCGTCTGTTCCCTTGGGGCCGCCTGGGCGAGGCGAGGACACAACCGTGTCGTTCTGGGGAGCAGCCGCAGCCGCAGCAGCCGCCGGGGTGGAGGAGACGAGACCCATCCAGGCAGGCAGGCAGGCAAGCAAAGTTCTTTGTTCTTGTGGGGAAGGGGATATCAGGTAGTACTCCTCCTGGCGTCGTTTCTCTCGGGCGGGCCTTCGCTGAAGATGGTGGGGCCAAGGAAAAAAGGGTCGGTTAATTCGGTTTATTCTGCCCAATGATTGGTTTGGGGCGACAGGTACCTGGCCAGAAGAAGCAGAAGTAGTACTGCAGCCTTGGTTGACCACCAACCACAAGACCACCACCAACACGCCCAGCAAGTCGCAGCAGCAGCAGCAGCAGCCATGGAGGAGAAACGCAAATCAGGTACCCCCCCCCTCCATACACCCCATGGCCGTGCTGCAGCCACCGTGGCGCTCACACGTAGTATTGGGAATGGGGGCGTGTGCACGCAGCTTGGCAGGCGGTGTGGGCGTTGACCGACGCCAAGGGAGAGCGCGGCGTGGGCGTGAAGAAGGGCAAGGCCCAACACCACGCGCACCACCTCAAGACCGGCCGGTACTTTCCCAAAACAGCCAATCTCATCATCTCTAAGTGTGCACTATTCTTCCCTCGCCCATGGCTCGTGTTTGCGCTAATGTGGCACCTCACCGCCTTCTTCCTTCTTCTCCTGCTTTTGTGGCTTCGCACCTTATTAGCTGGAAGCTGGTCGTGTGGAGTGACGACGTGCGAGCAGGCAAGGGGCCGTGCAGCATCACCGCCGACGTGCAGCTCTTCGGTGCCAAGTGCGTGAACGTTTCCTCCCCATTCCCACCCCTTTCTTCATTTATAAATATTTGGGCCAACCAGGACGCACCCCAAAAATGGTCGCGCACCACCTTGATACTAACGAACGCGCACAATGTGAATGTGGTGGTGGTGTGTAGTGACGCCCATGTGGGCAGTAGTTCCGTCGAGGTGAAGAAGGCCGGATTCAAGGCCAAGCTCAACTTCGTCGTGGCCGAGGAGGGCGACAATCTGCCCGCTCGCGCGGCCATCACAATCTCGTGCGGTGCCCTGGTCAAGGTACCTTCTCGAGAGCTCTCCTCCTCTCTCCGCCGCTGATATCGATTTCTGCTCTCTTCTAAGTTGTGTATCGTATCCCTTACATTCCTCAGAAGGTGAAGGTGTTCGCCGTTCTGGCCTTTATGGAGGGCCTAAAGGACGAAAGCAAGTTTGAGGTAATCTGTTCCCTCTCTGTCTCTCCTCCCACCTCGCCACGCTGTTGTCGCTGATGCATGCCGGTGGGTGGCCTACCTGCTTCATACTTATGCTGTGTTTACGGGTGGTATTCAGCCGGAGGACGCGCTGTGGGACACCTCGAAGCTGTCGCCCGCACAAAAGGCTCATGTGGCCTCGGTCCTCGCAGAGTGGCCCCTGCTCGAAGGCCAAACCCCACTTACGTACGTAGTGGGAGGACTTTTAGCTAGCTCCACCACCCACCACCACCCCCCATTTTTTTAAGCCAAACGTGTGCTCACCCCACTTGGCTTCTTCGTGCGGCGTTGGGTGGCGAGCAGGTTCGACAACAGCCGGGCGATCAAGGAGCTGGCGCGCGATAGCGAGTTCAAGCAGATGGCCTATGAGCAGGGCATGATCCGACCATTCCTACTCCTGGCCTCCATGCACCCCAAGCGCCGCGCCATCTGGGTAACAGTCCTGACACTTTCTTTTTCTCTCTACGTCCCCTCCTATTCTTCTGGGTGTTCCATTCTTCGTTCTCTTTGCGCACCACCTCTCACACTCTTTTTCCGCCCTTATTGATGACATTGCGCCAAAACAATCCAAGGCCAGGACGCTGGACCTCGACCTCCTGCGCAAGCCCTTCTTTGGAGATTCTCACGCGGAGGCCTGGTTCATCATCGATAAGGACAGGGCGGGCATCCAGGCGCGCTCCAATCTGGCCTTCAAGGAGAGTCTCAACCCGTTTGCGCGCAGCTGCAACTGGTACGAGATCGTGGAGAGAGTGACTCGCAAGGCCTTCAACAAGGACAAGAACATCGATGAGGTACCACGATCATCAATCCACCATCGCCATTTCCCAAGCGCTTGCACATCTTTCCCCTCATCGCCTGACACGTGGCCCCTGCGTAGGCCATGCACAAACAAATCAAAGAGGCCAAGAAGACCTACAAGCAAACCATCGGACCCTGTCAGGACCCGACCGATCACACCGTGCCACGCATGGAGGAACTATTCATGCGTGCCTTCAGCCGTGCGACCCCCTTTTTCCTCCTCTCCACCGCCTTCTCTCGCTCTTACCCTTTGCGTCCCCTCCTCCGGTTAGTGCGCTAACACCCATTTGTTCGACACGTTGGGAAACTGGGTGCCAGGGGTGATGTTGGGCAGCTTCCCCGAACAGCAGAGACAGGTGATTGACCAGTTGATGGACCAGGATGACGCCAAGGAGCTTGTGGAGCGTATGCTCGCGGCCGGATGGACTGATAACGCACTCATCCGCTTCACCGTAGCCCAGGCAATCCAAGGATCAGCCAAGGTACGCGGGCAGGTGCCCCACTTGTTTTCCAGTGTTTCGAGAATCCTGACGGAAAGTTATGGGCCAGGAGGAGGTGACACAGGGCGCGCTTCACTTTGTCAAAAAGATGGAGACCGGCGCGAGTGATGCCTTCAAGATTGGGCTGCCTGCTGGTTCGTTGCACTTCAAGCCTCTCTCTCTCTCTGGAAAGGAGCTTCTCTTCTGATCACACACACTCACACACTAATGTGGTGTGCGTGTGCCCAACAGTGATGCTGTTCATCTCGCCAATCCCTGCGATCCCTGCGGTCATGTTGGTGGTAAGCCTGACTCTGCTCTGGTCCTGCTTTTTTGGCGTGGGTTCCTTGCTGACCTTGTTCTGTGGCCGCCCATCCATGCACAGCGCAACACATTGGGCGCCATCTGGGGCAGCACACCTGGGCGCCTCATTCCCTCGCTCATTGGCATCCTGGGTCAGCGGTCCTGGCTGAGCCTTGCTGGTATACGCATTGAGGACTATTACCCTTCCCTGACTGCCTAAAAGCTGCTGTTGTGTTAGCCCCCAGGTGAGGGCAATGTGTGGTGGAAAACAACATAAATGATCTTTCCCTCATAATGACTCTTCGATGTATCTTTTTTTCCATTACGTCGTCGATGGATCGTTTTTTCCCATTATGGTGTTGGTTTTCGGGTGACCGTCCGATGACGTCGTCGCGTGGATAACGCGGGCGGTGGCCGATCGACCAACAACCGGAGCAGAGCGCTCCAATGGCTCCTGCTGGCGACACACCACCACGGCGGCGACGACGACGACGACGCGGCACTCCTCCTCACCATCGCACTCGACCACTGCGACGACAAAGACGGCGACGTCTCGCGACGGACCACAAACGCGAAATCGATCTTTGGGTTTCATTTCCCCGGTCGCATCACCAGCACCACGCGCACGCCGCGCCGGCGTCGTCGCAGTTCCACCCGAACATACCCACCGCGGCAACGCCGACGCGAGACCACCACCCTCGACCACCTCCCGCCAAGGTGCTGGCCCGGCGAGCCGTAGTGTGCTGCCGCCACGCAAAGAGAGATTGGCGAGAACAAGTCGGTGGACCGCAGGCTGCCTTGGCGCGTGCCGCTCCAGCGCGAGACGGACGTGTCTCCATTGGGCAGAGTGATGCGCACCACGGCCGGCGCCAAGCAGGCGCTGCATGAACACTGGCAGGACGGCGCCGTCGCCAACACACAGGTTGCGCATGTCGGCGTTGGTTTAGTTGCCCACGGCGTTGACGAACGCGGGCGGCAGGCGGTCGTCCATGTCCCACAAGGGGTTTTTGATCCGCGCGCCCAGAGGCCCCTCGACGTGCCCTAGCCCCACCAATTGAATGATGGCGATCAAAAGGAATGATTGTAACGAGTTCGAGAGGTACTCAGCACCCAGGGAATTCACTAGTGACGCTCATAGTCCTGTGTTTACGCACGCGATAATCTTAGGGCATGTTCCACGAGGATCTTCTGATATGAGGAACCACGGACAGGAACCACCCAAGCCAGACCCATCAGTTCGGCTCTCATGCCAAGCAGCTTGAACATGCACTGGAGTAGGATGAATGCTTCTTAGTTCCGGCTCTTGGGTGCTCCGCAGACAACCTACTCCCTACAAAGAGGTTTTTAACACTACCATGATCGACCACACTCAACCCCTTTCCTCAGGACCCTCGTCATGCCCAAGGTGAACTCCAAAAGATTTGAAATGTTGGCGCACGAGGTACATCAGATTCAGTTATCAGTTCACAGGGACGAACAACAGGTCCCACACATAATCATAGCTTCTGTAACTACCGAAGGGAGAGGCCTGAAGATCCATCGTATTGACGTCGAAGAACAGCAGGTGGGGAGGGCCACCGAACTTGGCGCTAACCACGTAGATGCCACTCTCCTCGTCGAGCGCAGCCACGTTCCTCTGTACAGTCCAAAAGACTGGGATGTGCTTGCGTTGGATCACCACTCCCTTGGTGGCATCGATCGCTGTGGCAAGGAGTAGGCCACGTTAGCCCACCCTCGAAACCTCCACAGCTAAGCTTGAAGGGGGTTCTACCTTGGAAGACCAGTGTCGAGTTCACTTGCCCAACGGTGTAAATGGTTTTCAGATCACGGGAAAGCACAGGAGCAATCATGCTTTGCTGTACACGAGCACAGATGATTAGGACCGATGGGAAGTGAGCATGGTCCACTCTCTTGTCGTACCTCGATCTTTTGATTATAGAAAGGTGTGCCAGGGGCACGAAGAGAGATTCGCCAGGTCTCCCACAGATTGCTGTTAGCACTTGCCATGAGAAGCATCTGTTGAGACGGCATGGAACTCACCCATCAGGCTTTGTGTCGAGGCAGGGGAAGATGGGTGGCACTGACCTCCTGTGTGTACGGATTGATGGCCACACGGCCGTTGATGCCCCAGCAGCCAGAGGCAGGAAGGTCATGCTTGTAGGTGGCCAGCAGTTTTAAGCCTCCTGTCGCTGGATGCACCTGAGAAACCACCACCAAGTGTTAACTTTCTGGGTGATGAGAGGAACGGCTGGTAGATGCGCATCAACCTCATACAAGCGGAACTCCGGAACATCTTGAACCTGCGTGAAGGCGTAGAGCTTGGAGTCTAACTTGTTGGCCGCGAGTTGCCACAAGCCACATTCGTCCTTGGCCAAGGTCACATTCACATAGATCCCTTTCACCTGGTCTTCTTCGTGTAACAGCGTGATCAGAGCAGGTTGGCGGAGGGCGAGAGTGTCTCCTCCCCAGAACAGGGCCTGTGTACGCAGGAGAGGAAGAGGTAAGATAACTGCACACACAAGCTTGGTATTGGAGTTATAGGATACCGTTGAGCTGCCATATCTACCGACTGAGAGCAGCTTCCTCTGTGGAGGCCAGGTCGTGATGTTTGAGGCTGCTAGTTGTTGGAATAAGATGCTATCATTTGGGCTGCTTGCGAACTCGCCATAGACGCCGCTTCTGAGCAAGCCCGTCAAGAAGTTTCCCTCCTGGCGAACAACGTTCGCACAGGAGCAGCCTAACAGGAAGCCCAGCAAAAGGAAGATCAAAAGAGAGTGCAATCTAGTCAGCTTCATTGTGTTGTGCTCAACGTCGAAGAGCCAGCCCTAGACAAGCGCTTTCCCGAAAAGCAGTGCGAAAAGTTGGTATCTCCGTCAAACCTGCGTGGTTTGGAACTCTCCCCGTCCAATTCCTTTCTGATGGTGTGATTTGTCAGCAAATTGCTGCCACCACCTGATTGGCCCATGTGGGACAACAGGTTGGACTGGTGGTAATTTCCTTCTTACCCAAGTGTCTTACACTTTGAAAAGTGAAATTTATTTGATTTAGGTGGTGTGAGTGGGAGCCATCATCAGTGGGCATCACTCCACATGTTCTCAGCTGCCTGAGGATGTGCCAACCTTGTGCAATATGAGGCTGCCTCCTCAGTGCACAATCCTGCTTGAACAGCTTGCTGAGAGGGAATTTAAGCACCACAGAATTGTGGAAAAAAATTGGTTTCCATTTTGTCCAACTCTGGACTGGAATTTTCTTGTTGGACCATTCTCTGTTAGTCAACAAAATGTAGCAGTACACAGCAACTTTAAGGGAGCCAACTTCCAGTTTCATGCCCTGAAGTAGTACAGTACCCTTAAAAATGGAGCCTGATTCCAATTGTGGCACTTCCTTGAAATTTCAAAACTGGGGTTTGGGGGGACCAGTTTTGTCCACATGAGAGACCAGGCAGGGACACACAGGCACTCTTGCTTGGCAGGGGAGTGGTGCTCCACTTCAAACCACTCCTTGGGGGACTTGCAGCAGGCATTCATTATTTCACAGAACTGGTCAAACATGGTGAGGTCAATTTGAATATCAATGTTGTGGGGTAAAGAAAGGTCATTTTGGTATCAGTAGTTTGGGTTTTGTAACTAAAGGACCATCTTGATTACAGACAGTTGTATAAATAAAATCTTGCCTTGTTTAGACCAAAAAGGAATTACAAAAGTAAGTGTTGGTTTCCAGTCAGTCAGAGACACAGGATCAGGGAACCATTACCCAGTTAACTAAACTCTTTGAACTGAACAACTCAGATATGACAGATTATCTGGCCAACAATCAATTCCACTACACAACTAAAGTAATGCCACATGAACTGAGCTTCTGAAATTATACTAAAAACTCAGTTTTGAAAACTGTGTTTCCATCAATTGGGATGACATTTCCCCAAAAGCTTATTTCACTGAACACCATATTAATGGACCAGAGCTGTTGGTGGCCAATTTTTCCTTGTGCCCATGAAAAAGAACATGACCACCAACAACACCTGCACCATGTACACCCTTCCCAATGAGAATTACTGTCTTCAATGCATCTATACATCCTAAGGGTTTGTTGATCAAACTACCATTCTAATCAAACAACAACAACAACAACAACAACAGAAGAGAAAGCACAGCAGTGGTGCAACTGATGTGGGTCAGATTGCCACACAGCATGTCATTCAGACTGCCCAAGACTGGTGGAGCTCTGTTGGCAACTTCTTCCAGTTTGTCCTGGACATGGAAGCACTGCTGGTGGGCAAGCTCAACATCACCTTCCTCTGGAGCTATCCTCATGTCCATGGCTGGATCACCTGGATTAACAAGTGGGTGGCTGGCTCAACAAAGAGGAACAAGGCACTCCACCTGATCAGCCTGCTCAAGTGGCTGGACAGTGAGTCAATCACCCCTGCATCATCTGGGATGCCTCACACTGCCTCACAAGCCTTTGTGCCTTCTCCAAACAGGGCAAGCAAAAGTACAACCAGTCCATGACCAAGGCCATGAACAACAATGAGCTGGTGGCAGCTGGCAATGCCCTCCACACCAACAAGCAGCCCACCTTCATCCTCTGGCTCCTGGACCATGTGGAGCACTGCTCTGCTCCCTTCCAGAAATCCCCACAGGACACCACATCCCTGGCAGTGAAGGTACACAAACAACCAAAGCAATTGAACCAAAGCAATTGTTCTGTTTTGCAAGTCAGGGTTTAGTTATAGAACTATTGGCCAACAGTTGCATTGTGTGTTTTTGTGAGGAAATCACTAGTTCACAAACTAAACCCTAATTTTACTTTCTCTTTCTCTTCTCTTGTGTGCCAGGTGCCCAAAGCTGTGCAGGCTACAAGGTGGTGGCTTGCATTTCAGCTGCAGTGCTACATCCAGGTGCTGATGGAGGTCTTCAACAGTGGCTACTGGCAGGAGATTGTCAGTGTGAACTGCCTCAAGTGGTTGAGCACTGTCAACACCATTGAGGCAATGATACCCACTGAGAAGTTGACCTGCTTCAAGACTGACAAGGTGCCACTCAGCTCCTCCATCAACTGCTACTCACCCTCTGGATCAACACCCATGGCCAGCCACTTCAGTTCAACAGCTACACACAAGGTGTTAAGAGTGTGTTGCAGGAGTTCCATCCCCTCCTCTCACTGACATCCCTCTCGCGACTACGACCTTGACGTTGTGTTGCTGATTTGAGCGCGACGAGGGCGCGGACAAAAGACGTCGGCATCGGTTCGCTACTGGCACGCGTCGGCAAAGACGATGGACGCATCAGACCGCTGCCGATGTTGTGCGGGTCCACCGATGACGACGACTACGACGAGGGCGACATGACGATACGGCGCAGGCGCTGTTGTGGCGAGGGCGCCGCAGACGACCACGACGCCAACTGGCCGCTGGCGCGGTTGCATCCACGCAGAGTCTCACACACACGCGCCCCATAGCCTGAGCTCGCCCTCCCCCAGCCCAGCCGACCCGACGTCTGGTACGGCTGCCAAGACCGACGATGTAGTCCGCGCGCCGACCTCTAGCACACATCCGGGTTGGCGCGCTGGCCAAGATTTGCGTAGTGCTGCAGGCGTCTGGCATGCTGGCATCTCGCGCGCTGGCGAATGCCGGCCTAGAGTTAACTACTACGTAGTGCTGCTCGCGTCTTGCGCGCTAGCGTCTCGCGTGCTGGCGCGCTGTCCAATTGTTGAGTATGGCACCTCGCGCGCTGGCGTCTCACGTGCTGGCGAAGAATGCTGACGTAACCCAAGAGTTGCGTCGTGCTGGCGTGCCGAGCGCTGGCGTCTGGTGTGTTGGGGTCTCGCGTGTGGGCGTGTCGCGAGCTGTCGTATAGAGTGCTTATGTGCTGTCCAAGAACTGCGTAGTGTTGGCGCCTCTCGTGTTGGCGTGGCGCGCTGGCCCAGAATTTGTGGTGCCAACGCTGCGCCCCCGAGCTAGCGTCTCGCGTGCTGCCGGCAAGAGTATAGCGCGGTGCAGGCGATGGCAATGGCTGTAGCGCACGGGCGTGGGCCTGGTGTCTGTGGCGTCCTTGGTCTGACACAAAGTTGGTGCAAGCCCAACTCTGCTCGGCTCGACTCGACTCGACTCGTCGTCGGGTTGGAGGCTGGACCGCGTGGTGACGCCGACTCTGAGACGACGATGTCGCGGAGGGGCAAGCGCACTCACGCCAAGCTCGCCGAGCATGCCGCGCCGGTATCAGGGGGCTGCGCTCGCGCGAGTCGAGTAGGGCCGCGGCGGTATGGGTGGACAGCGCGCGCGAGTCGTGGGGGGGGGACGGATGCGATGGCAGGTGGAGCCAATGTCAACTTGGTTCAAGTCGCCGACGTGGTGGACCGAGTCGCAAACTCGGCTCGACTCGTCATCCGACACGCAAACCTTGGCCCGACACAAACTCGGCGCAGTGTACTCGGCGCAGTCTACTCGACGTGCGCGTACGCCGCGGCGAGGTCGGCATGCTCGGCACGACAGACTCTGCGCGGCATCGCATCGTCTCTACGCGGGTATTAGGCGCCTGCACTCGGGACAACATACTTCGCACGGGGTACCGGCATACTTGGCGCGGCGTACTGGCGGCATTGATGCAGCATACTTGGCGCAGCATCCTCGTCGCATCCTCTGCGCGGGGTACGTGAAGCGCGCGCTTACTCCGCCGCGGAGACCTCAGCATGCTTGGCGCTCTCCGTCGGGTTGGTGTCACCGAGTTTGTGTCGCGAGGACGAGCAGCCGAGACGACGACAAGCTGAGTCTGGCTTGCCCCAGGTTTGCGTCGGTGAGTCGGTTCTGTGTCGGTCAAACAAGTTGGCCAGGCTGATCGACTTTGCATCGAGCCGAGTTTGTGATTGCGCAAGCGGCGGCATGCGACACAGCGTACTTGACTCGGCATGCTTGACGCGCGTACGCCGCTGCGGTGATGTCAGTGTACCTGACGCGCGCGCTTGCACCGCTGCGGCGAGGTCAGCACGCTTGGCGCGGCGTTGCGTTGTCGAGGTGGTGTCGCGAGGGCGAGCCGACAACAAGTCGAGTCGAGTGGGGCTTGCATCGAGTTTATGTTGGACCCACTTTGTGTAGGGCCAAGCTTGTGTTGGATGGATGGCGAACCAAGTCAAACGTTTCTGTTGGCTCACAAAGTTGACGCAAACAGATTTTGGACTGCCACCAGCGCGGCGCGTCACACTCTATGCGGCGCACTCGGCCGGGTGCCTCCCCGCGTGCCTCCAACCTACGGCCGCGGTCGCAAAGCCAGCAACCCCATGCCACCCCACATCGTCGCATGCATCATGCGTGCGCCATCGCCTGTGCTGGCGTTGGCGCTTCATGGTGCTGGCGTTGGCGCACATGGGCGTGACTCGTGCTGGTGCTGCATGCTGGCGTTAGCGCGTGTTGGTGGGGGCAGTGTGCTGCATGTTGGCAGAGCGGGCGGCCAACGCCTCTCTTGGCGCGTGGACATACTCACGATTGTATACACTTGCTGGTGAAAGAGAAGAAGCTGCTTGTCATCCATCCCACACAGCACACGCAGCTGCTCTTGGCAGACATGGAAGTTCTTGACTTCCTCGATCTTCTGCTTGACTCAGATGCACTGGGCCAGTTCTTGGTTGTGGTGTAATCCAGGGTAGGATGGGGAGAGGTAAAGGATGGCCATCAAAGGCAATGATGAGAGGATGCTGATGGTGTGTTTGTCTTTCTTTGCAGTAGAAGAGAGTGTTGAGTGTGATGTTGGAGGGGGAGAGTATGTGCTGTTATGTGCTGTTAGGGTTGCCCTAGGGCTCGACGGCCATGGGGAGCGTGGTGACGACGACCACTACAAGCGCAAAGGCGTACTACACGCAAGGTGCGCGCTTGATTTGGCACACACGAATGGCAGCGACAGCCTGTGGACCACGTTGACGACGGCAGCACATCGTGGGGCCGTGAGCGGGCTGTGCTCTTGCTGGTGGCTGGCGTTTGCTGTCGGCCTCGCTGGAGCGCGGCGGCTGGCGACTGGGCGAAAGCCGTCGGTGCGCATCGGTTTGGGTTGTTGGGTCGGCCCGCGCACCAGCCGCGACGTCGACGTCAGAAGCAGAAGCAGTCACCGACACCGCGGTCGGCCCCGACGCCGCTGCTCCGTCTTGTGCTGCCATCTTCCCCGCGCGCGTCATGCTGCGTCGCCACAACCCAACAGGCTCTGCCTTGGCCTTTGCGTATTGTCGCGCGCTCACTTTCAAATGAACCACAACAAGCGCAAGCACCACCCGGCCTCTCTGCCAGCCCTCGCAGCCGCCGTCCTTGCTGCTGCTCGGCTGTCCGCCTGCCCGAATGACGACCCGAGCGTGGAGCCGAATCCATCGCCGATGTTATCCTCGGCTGGGCACGCCAGAAGCCGCTCTCATGCGGGCGCTCACGCCGTCTCGCCGAAGCCAGAATACTTGGTGCGGCGTCGAGCGTCGACCGTGACGGCAACAGCGAGCAATGTCGGGGCACAGCAGCAACACCGGCGCACCCTGTTTCGCCTCGCCGCTTCCGTCTTCGCGTGGCACATGCAGCGCACGTCTCGCCTCGCGTTTGCACCGCCGCCGACATTGCTCGCTGCTGGTGGTGGTGGTGGTGTCGCCGATGCGCTCGCTACTGTTGCACCCGCGTGCGTGTCAGCTGCAAAGGCAACTATCCCTTCAAGACACACACTTTGCCATCTTAGGTGACGAAAGGGCTTGATGGCATGGACCTCATCTCAGTGGGGCATGCTTGCCATCTGGGTTATTGCCACTTTTGGCTTCATCGACCAGGCCAATGCCTTCCACCTCCACTACTGCTTTTTGCATTGAACAGCCAAGCACACACGTGCTCAATTTCTGTCCATCTTCTTCCTTGCCATCATTAATTCGTGGATCATTTACAAGCATCTCATCAACAAAAAGGGCATCTCGTACCATGAGTACTTCTATGAGCTCATTGAGGCCCTTGCCAAGCACGGTGGTGCCCATTGATAGTGGAAACTGGAAGCCCATGCATCTGTACTGGATGCTCTACCACCACAGGGCTACCTCCGCGAAAACCAAGTATCACAACCTCGACCTCTCCCATTTGGCCAGAGTGGCGCTCTCTCGCCTCCGTGACCTCTCTGCAAACGTAGATGGTTTCCCGGCCCTGGAAATTCAATCAAGTGAAACCCTATTTCCATCCACCGAGGCGCGGTGCACCATTTGGAAAGGTTTTCTTTGGGATATTGGGAAGAAGGCTTATCTATTTGTCCAGTTGCTGTTGAATCCAATTTACCACCTCCTTATAGCCATCACGCCTGGCTGCCTCAAGACACAAATGTGCATTCCAAGGGGCGCCGTTAGCACGCGCCCACTGCAGCACTTCAAGATGGCCATGCTTTGCAGCAACAGTGCATGTACTCTCGTCCCAGGGGCATCCATTGGCGCGCGCCCACTGGAGCACCTCTAGGTGGCCTCTCTCTGCTGCTCTGGAGCATGTCATGTGGTCCCAGGGACATCCGTTGGCACGCGCCCACTGCAGCACCTCAAGATGTCCTCCCCATGCGGCAGCGTGACAGGTCCTTTCGTTCCAGGGGCAGCCTCTAGCCCGCGCCCACTGTAGAATCTCGAGATGGCCGCCACCTGCCGCGCCGGAGCATGTGCCCTTGCTCCAGGGGCACCAACGGGCGCGTGCCCACTGCAGTACTGGCAGATGGCCTCCCGATGCAGCATAGGAGCAAGTGTCCTTGTCCCAGGGACACCCATTTGCACGAGCCCACTGGAGCATCTCTAAGTGGCCTCCAAATGCTGCCATGGTGCAGGTGCGCTTGTCCCAGGGACAACCATTCGCCCGTGCCCACTGCAACACCTCGAGATGGCCACCTTCTGCTGCCTTCTCGCACGTGTCCTGGTCCCAGGGGCATCCATTGGCACGCGCCCACTGCAGTACGTCCAAACGGCCGCCCTGTGCCGCACATGTGCAGGTCCATCTGCACAAGGGACAGCCGTTGGCATGTGCCCACCTGAGCACCTCCAGGTGGCCACCCCTAGCGGCAGCAGCTGAGGTCTTGCTCGTCCACGGGCAGCCATTGGAGCGTGCCCACTGGAGCACCTCCAGGTGGCCACCCCTTGCAGCGAACTCACATGTGTCCTGGTCCCAGGGGCATCCATTGGCGCGCGCCCACTGAAGCACAGCAAGTCGTCCTTCTGCCGCAACAAGCGAACTAAAGATCGTGGCCGCGCTTTGTGACGGTAACAGGCGTGTGGGCGCGGGGTTCCGGGAGGGAAGTAGGTCGTTCCATAGGCGGCACACAAAACGGCAGCACGGCAAGCTGAGGTGGTCAACATGACCCAGTATATGGTCCACCAGCTCCACCGTCAGGTCCTCCATGTTGTCGGTGCTGTGGTGTTACGGCGCTGTGGCTACTCTCCCAATATTCCGTGCCCCGATATCTGGCCAATAGCCTTACAAATTGGGTAACCAGGCTATTGGCTCAATGTCGGGGCTGGAATATTGTAGACGCTGTCGCCATTGGCCAGGCGTTAGGTCGAGAAATGGCACAACAAGAGAGGCTGGGAAACACACAACTACACAACACAATGAACGCAGGTCTCGTGGCAAAAGGCCAGTGGGTATTCGGGCAGGTCAAGCCTGATCCGGTGGCTGGTCCCTTCCCCCCGCAGGTCCTCGCCAGCATAGGCCTCACCCTGAACAAGACCGGCGGCATGACCGTACAGTCGACCATCAACTCGGGCCAGGGAAGCTTCACCCTGGGTGGAGGCGGCAGGACCATCGCCTTCTCCGGCGTGACGTGGACCGAGCGTGGCCTGGGCGAGCTCCACGTCCAGGGCGACGCTAACGGCACTTTGAGGCAGCGAATGATTGAGGCTGAGCAGTTTCTGCGGGACAGGCTGTCAAGCGCGGCGGGAGTCTATGACCTTTCACTCAATGACACAGATAATGAGGACCATGAGATGGTGATCAAGAGCCAGCAGGATGGCACCAAACTCATCTTCTTCATCAATGGAACAGAGCCTTGGAGCTGGTTCACGTACTGAGCCTCACATGCCCGCCACTACTGCTTGTGTACCAAATGCATGAGGAGACAAAACCTCAATAAATTGAATTTGAGTGGAAATGATGACTGAGGTGCAGAAGAATTGCTTCCAAGCAATCAACAGCAGCTCATAAGTTGCAACTCTGATTTTCTTGAAAGATGATGTGGTGCCTGATTTTCCTCTCACTATGAGTTGATGGACTTTGTTGCTTTTGTTGCAAAGAACACTTTCATGCTATCATAATGTGACATGAAGTTGGGAAGGAGGGACCTTTAACTTGGGTGAAAATTGGGTGACTGAAAAAAATGACTGTGTTGCCCTGGATCTAGATGACCTAGTGTGTTTGATGGAGTTCAAGGAGTTAGATGCTTGACATTCCAGACTTTTCTTGTTTTTTGCCAGAAAAAATAATTGGATACACAAGGAGGGTTGCTCACTCAAGGGGAAGGAGTGAGGTGCACACATGCCTGCTCTCTGGGCTAGAAGTTGGCTGGCATTGAGAACTGGTTTTTGTTGTTGTTGTTGTGGGCAAAGTCACCACTCTCATCAGTGCAGTCATTGTTGGCATACATGAGGGGCCCAGTAGGATAGGCAGCACTGCTCATGAGACTGCAATGCTGGAAGTTGACTCCAGCAACGACCTGTGCTCAAGGAGATGGTGGATGGAGTGGCTGGGGGTGATGGGAAACAGGGAGAGTTGCTTAAGGTGTGTAGAGGACATAAACAACATACAACTTGCACCACCATTGGTAGCCCCCAGTAGTGATGCTGAGCTTGCAGGGAGTTGCAGCAATGCACTGCTGCTTCTGCTGCACCTTGTCTGCCTTCTCTTGTGCATGCTTCTTCTGTGCCTTGATCCTTTGGTTCAACTCCCTGATCATGGGAGGAGCCCCAGTCTGCCACATAGGCACCAACTCCTGCATTGACCAAAAGTAGGCCATGATAAGCACACAAGTGCACAAGTTACAGCCAGAGTAGCACAACAGGTCTTGAAACAAGGGAGAAGGGTGGGAAAAGGTACCCATGCCACTTGCTGGAGCTGAGATGAATGTAGTGGTGTGTATGATGCTGCCTGTGGCTGGGACAGTGAGTGAAGGGCAATGTAGGTCAACTTGAGGGCAATGAGCTTCAATCACAACCCAAGGGATGGCACATGCTCCTGGAGCAGCTCCACAGTGAGCTGCTGGAAAATCTCCCCATTGATCTCCTGCTCCAGGACCCAGTTGAAGCTTGCTGCTGAATGTGTTGCAATGAAGGTGTTGGTGAGGAGATGATGGAGTTGAGCTGAAGAGAGGCCAGGTGTAACCTTGGTGGGTGCAGGTGCTGGCATAGATGGCTGCATGTTTGTGAGTGCTCATGCCACAATTAACCCTGGTGCCAGATGACACACCCATGGGGGCCATGTCACAAGGTCACATGGTTGAGCGCCACATCACCATTGAGGTATCTTTTGTGATGTCTGCACCACCAACACTGTCATGGACGAGGTCTGTCTTGGCTGGGGGGGGGAGGTTAGCTGTGTGGCTTGTGGTGAACTGCAGTGTATCACTATGGGAGAATGAGGCAGGCATGGTGGCAGTGGCAGCTTTGTACTGTGGGCAACCTGAATAGGGCATGTCTGCTTGCTGCAGACCTTGTGGTCATGCTACCTTGTGTCATTGTGTGCTAGAGCTCAACATTGTTGAGCTAGGGAGATTGGGCTCTCCTAAATGTTGAGATTTATTGGCCTATGTGGTGTGCTTCACCTGCTGGTCCCCTCCTCTAGTGCCTAACAGGTCAATTTTTTATATTAATTATGGTTGCACGTTCCCCACTCATGTTAGGAAGTCCAAGGAGAGAAAGCTGCATGTGCTCTACTCTGGCAAGTATGGCACCACGGTGTACAAGGTCCAACTCCACATCATCTTGTGCATCAGCCCACATCTGCCAGGCTATGATGTCACTTTGGGAGTGCAAGGCTGAGGCTCACCCTCATTTTCCCTGGGAGTTGTGGCTTGGTGGTATGCTGGCTCTTCCCTCCTTCCTTGCTCTTCCCTCCTTCCTTGCTGCTCTACTGTCCTTCACTCCCTGGGTGCCTCTGATCTCATACACATGTGCACTGTTGTGTGTCTTCTTCCTCCTCTTTGTGCAGATGGGCACTATGGTTCCATACCCAACTTCCTCATCCCCTTTTACAAGGATCAGCTGCTGATGAATGACAAGTGGATGGTCAATATCATCATCTCACATTATCATGCCCACATAGAGCATGTCAATGCATTCTTTGTTCATCACACCAATCACTTCCATGGTAGTGTTGACCTCCTCTACAATGCCATCCACACCACCACGTACATGATGGCCATCCATCTCCACCAATACCTGCATTATGTGCCTTATGGTGATTGGCCCCATCACACACAAACATTGGTCCTGTGGTTAACATGACTTGGTGCATTTCACTGGGTATATATTTTATATTTTATATTTTTACCCCATTTCTTTAAAGCTGTATTGTTATGTCAGCTACTTAATGGGAGAAATATGGTGTGATGTCCTCGCCTTGTGAGCCAATGATACTCTGCATGAAAGCAACTAACTCAATTAACTCCATAGAGTTGGGGTGCTAGCAAATTCTGCGGTGGCTTGCCTTGTGTGCCGCCACTGGGACAACGCCTTTCGATACCTTCTTCGCACCACCACCCATGCCACCACCTCTCCACCGCCCGCAACTTTTGTGAACTGGGGGCACACTAGGGCTTGCTGGCCGTGCTGGCAGTGGGCTCTCAGCAGCATGAGGTGGCCACCCGGCGGTGCTGCAGTGGGCACGCGCCAACGGCTGCCCCTGGGGTGAAGAGAAAGCATTGTGAGTGGATAAAGATATCTCTCTCTTTTCTCTCGCTCGAACATGTTGGTAGTACATACCTGGGTGGTGGTGTAGAGGGTGGAGTCCTTGAGGACGAACCTACGCGCGAGTGTTTGAGGGGAGCAGTAGTAGCGTACCTATCATGGTTTTGTTGATACCGCGGGTGGCGAAGAGGAATGGCGATTCCTCCCTCTTCTTGTGGAAGTCCAGCGCACTCGATGACGCACATCGGCCAATCCTGGACCCCCCAAACACGAGCAAATAATAATAATAACAATAAAAGGGCAACAAAGGGGCGTGCGCGTGCGTGACATTGCCGAGTGGTGCAGCTTGCGGTGAGTGCACTCCAGTGCGTCCACTAACCCATAGAGCGCAGCACCTATGCGCATAGGCAAGATCTGCGCTGTGCCACTCGAGCAGCCAGTCGAGCACGGGCCGCGAGCGCGCACATGTAGGCGTACCATTTCCCGACTGCGACCTGCGAATGCGAATGCGACGGCGCCCTGCGACCAGTTGCGACCAAAAAGAAAACAAATTCCCTATCTTTTCCTGTGCCCTCAGCGACCTGCGAATGTTCAGAAAACGAATTTTTATACTGCGCACGGCCACCGGCCGGGAGTTGCCGCGTGGGCCATGGGCCAAGCAGGATATGCATACGTTGCCATGGCGGCGGCTGCGGCAAACAATCTTGATGTGCTTCTTTCTTTGCTGGAAAAAAACATTTTCCACACCGGCGACCCTGTCGCCGCCGAATAAACAAACAGCACCGATGGAGGAGGCGCCACCAATTAAGATTGAAGAAGTGGGCGTGGGTGCAGGCGCGCTGGTGAAGAAGGAGCCTGGAGAACATCTACAAGTTTATGAAATTTCCTGGAAGGACAAGACCATCTTGGCGAGCGAAGATGCCGTGCGCCTCGAATGGACGACACTACACGAGCAATTCCTCGAGATTTTGGGACCCTTTCTACACTCGCGACTGCAACGACAGCAGTCAACGCTCCCCATCAAGTGTTCCATGCCGGTCTGGGGCCTGCTCGGCACCCTGCTCCAGCATCGAATGGGGCAAGAGATGCGCCTGTCCACACAGGACCAGATTCGGAACTTCCTCCTGGTATGGGAGAAAAAGATGCACGCTCGCCTCTCCTACTCCGTTATTACCCCCCCATTTGTGCTGCGCTTTAATGTTGTCAAAAATCAAATCAAAATCGAAATGCATTGCGTGGTGTACAATGCAGCCAATGTCCGTCAATGGCCGCTTAATTTTTAAATATATTTTGAGCTTACAACATATTTGTGGATGGAGGGTTCATCAGTGAGCGCTGCAGCAGCCCAAGAACGCTCATGGGCAGGGGTGAGGGCGGTGATGTCCTGGTGGATCTCGTTGCGCAGAAGAGCACACAGCTCCTGTCGTGCTGTCTCCGAAGGTCCGTACCCGAATCCAGAAGAGCCGTAGGCAAGGATCCGTTTAATGACACTGTGCTTTCCTTCGAGGGCGTAGTTTGCAAACTTCTCGAGGCCGTTGTACTTGTCGAGGAAGAAGCCGAAGTGGAACACGAAGATATGGATGTAGGTGGTGACATCCTCTGCTTGGTACGCATCAACGAAGGCCTGCCCAAACTCTCGTGCACGTGTGAGCCACTCCTCCTCGCTGATGTTAACTGTTGCTTGTGCAGTGAGGCAGACAAGTGGGTAGTAGAGTTCCCACACTCGTCTGGTGCTGGAGATCTTCAGCCTTGTTTCGTCGTCCTTGGCGCTCTTCTCGATCTCCTTGAAGAATTGCTCGTAGTTGGACAGAATGTGGAGACAATCTGACCGATTAAGCCTTCCCAGGTATAACATTAGCCCTTTGGTGGAGCGGTGGTGCGGTGGTGTGGTGGAGCGGCGGTGCGATGGTGCAGTGGAGTGGTGGTGTGGCGGTGCAGTGGAGCGGCGGAGCGGTGGAGAGGCGGTGCGGTGGAGTGGTGGTGCGGTGGTGTGGTGGAGCGGCGGTGCGATGGTGCAGTGGAGTGGTGGAGTGGCGGAGCGGTGCGGTAGAGTGGTGGTGTGGTGGAGCGGTGGTGCGGTGGAGCGGCGGTGCGATGGTGCAGTGGAGTGGTGGAGCGGTGGTGTGGTGGTGCGGTGGAGCGGTGGAGCAGTGGTGCGGCGGTGCAGTGGTGCGGTGGTGCGGTGGTGCGGCGGAGCAGCGGTGTGATGGAGCGGTGGTGCGGTGGAGCGGCGGTGCGGTGTCAATAACTTATGTTGGGAACGCACCGTGATGCCTTGAGCCGCTGAGGGAAGTTTTTGTTGGCTGACTGCACCACCTTGACCTTGCAGACATCCAGGAGGATTTTCTCAATTGCTGCAACCACCTCTATTGAGTTCTGCACATCAGCAGCAAGCATCATGAACTACAAACATTGAGGTGAGTACCATTCATTAGTTCTGATGGAAAGTGGGCCGTACAAGCTTTTTGATGATGGCCATCATTGCATGCAGGTTGCAGGGAATTATCTGCTCGAGGGGCACATAAAGGATTGGCGGTGTGACAACACCACAGTTGTCTGATGCGTACGTTCGCCTTCCACTCCCCTTGCATTTTGCCACCTCTTCTGCCCACTTCTTCCGTTTCTCCTCTGAGTGGAAAGGCCAGGCCTTTTTGGAGAAATCAGCAAGCTCACTGGATGTGCCGTGGTGTGTGTCTGTGGTTATTCATTTACCACAGCAGAAGGAGTGAGGCAGCAACAGTACTCTGAGCAGACATCACAGAATGGGCATTTCCACTTGGCTGAAGGGTGGAAGACGTCGTACAGCCCAATCAGCTTCATGAGGGCCTTGAGATCACAGGTAAGCACTGGTTTGATCTTGTACTCCCTGTCCCCCACTTGAATCTTTTCCTCGCGGACAAGCTGATTGACTGCCTAAGTACCTCCCCACATACCAAACAATCACATAATAATAACATGGATGTCAGATCATGTTCAAACACCACGCATAACAACAAGGTACCTCAATGGTTGCCATGAGTTCAGATCGCAGCTCTTCCTCACTTTCGCCACCAATGTATACCACCCAGACATGGCAACTGGATGGTGACTTGGTTGCTGACAGAGAGTCGCCAGGCTGGAGCAGGTGAAACCCACCCAGTTCTTGCGGTACGCGCTTCCCTGAGGTAACTGTTGCATTGTCGAACGCCAACTTGAGAACCAGTGGTGCTTGGGGATCAGCAGGAGGAGAACGAGCAAGATGCCAGCGCAGGAAGGCGAGCAGTGGTATCTCATAGCCCTTTCCTCCTGTCCGTTGCACTGGAAGTGTAGCATCCAGGATCCGCCTGTACTCTCGGATGTAGTGAATCGTGCCGTAGCCCTCAAGATGGAAGGTCTTCACGGTATCCTCCCACAGTGCATCTTTATTTAAAAAGCATTGTTAGTGGATTAGTGGTGGAGTGGCCGCGGTGGAGCAATGGTGCAGCAGTGTGGTGGAGCGGTGGAGCGGCGGTGCGATGGTGCGGTGGAGCGGCGGTGCGGTGGTGCGGTGGAGCAGCGGTGCGGTGGAGTGGCGGTGCGGTGGAGTGGCGGTGCGGCGGTGCGGTGGAGCGGCGGTGCGGTGCAGCGGAGTGGTGCGGTGGAGTGGCGGAGCGGCGGTGCGGCAGTGCGGCGGTGTGCTTCACCTGAAATTAACATCTTGTCTTTGTAGGCCAGGAGTTGGGCGACAGTTGGACGGCTGTGCTGCTGAAGCTCAGCGAAGGCAGCAAGAAGACCGTTGTAGACGTGCTTCTCTCTTTTTAGCAGCGAAACTAAGCACTCAACATAGTCCTCACTCTGGTATGCTAGCTCTGTCGCCTAGGAAAGGAATGTGTTAGTGTCCATGATTGAACAGCATTGAAGAGTTGAAGCCGTACTGTTCTAACGTAGTGTGCCACATCATCTTCCCAGGTTGGGTATGTCCTGGCATCAAGGTTGTGGCCGTCCTCGGCAAGAAGCTTCTCCCGTACCCGTGCCAGCCAAGCGTCAATCTTCTCGTGTTTGGTGCGTCGCTTCTCCACGAATGCTGCAGCTGCCTGCTCCTTTTTCTCCCGTCGCTGTCGTTTGTTGCTCACCAGTTGTTCAGCCTCGTTACACCCTTGGCAGGAACCTCGGTGACAATGAAGCTTCTCCTCCAGGTGACGGACCAGCTTTGCCTTTGACTCATAACCCTTTGGGCAGAGCTTGTGAGGACATTGGAAAGGTTTCCCCTTCTCCTGTGTCACCATGCCCTGTGCATGCGTGTGTGGGCAGACTGTGAGTTCCAGGGCTTACAACATTGAATGTTGTAGCAGCGTACCTGTGGGCACAGGTCACAGGAAGGGGGCCCCCTGCAGGGGGCTCGGTGAACACTCCGCTCATGGCGCTGGCGATCGGCAGGCCGTGTGAAGTGGTGACGGACACCATCTGCCGCTGCTGTGGGACAAATGCTGTGCCTGCACAGAAACCAGGTCGGCTGGGCTGGGGTAGGTGGGCGGCGTAGGATCTGCTGCATGGTGAAAACTGTGTGTTTGCCGGTGTGTTTGGCGTTTTATTACCCCAATAAAACTTATAAGAATACAAAGCTAAGTCCGAAAAAACGCGCTTTGGGCGAAGTCTAGTCATGCTGACGTGCGTGGCGAGGTTCAGCCACGCACGTCATCACTGGCCAATCCGCGTGCGTGAAAAAGTGCGGAATGGGCACGGCAAACTCGGACTTTCCAAGTGAGTCGAGAAATCTCACATGTTTTCTTTGGTCGCAGGTCGGGTTTGTGTCGGATGAGTAGGCAAGCCGCCAAGCCGCGTCGTGCGTTTTGTTTTTGGGGGGGGGCCTTCTGGAGGGGCCAGAACATCCATTCGCAGAAGCACTCCAGATGACGAGCTCTGCTCCTCTCTGCCAACGATGGTGGGTTTGTCGCCGTTGTTAAATCCTGGACAGTAGAGCTTAATCTGGAGACGCGCACCTCTGGAGACGTTTGTTACTGTCGATGTTGTAGACACTTGCCGCCGGCACTTCCGCGGCTGGAAATGCCGGCGCTATCGCCGCTGATGGTGGTTTTACCGCGGGGATGCTCGCTGACGTAATCTTTACTGCTGGAGTTGTCGATGCAAGCCCGCGCCGCTGGAAACGCTTGCTTGCTAGCTGCAAATAACACTCGGTGCCGACGCGCTCGATGTTAAAGACGCTCGATGTTTGAGACACTCGCCGCCGACGGTGCAGAGTTTGGGATGATCGGCGAAGGGTTTGACAGCGATGGCATGTCGTCAGCGCCGAAAGCGCGCGCCAGCACCAACGCTTGGAGCCGCAGACGCCATCGAGACCGATGGTAAAGAACGCTGGCGTCTGCGCGAGGCGCTCGCGTTGGTGGGCGTCAGGTTGGTGGTGGTGGTGGTCCCGCCAAAGCCGTGAGTAAACGGCGGCGCTATGCTGCGCACGTCGGCGGCGGCAGCGGGAGGGTCGGCTTCTGTCGGGGTCGGACGGGAGCGCGGCAGATCTTGTACATGTGCGCTGCTGTGTTGGTGCGCGCACGCGGGTGGCGTCTAAAAACACGTGGGAATGGAGACAAGCGGCTGGGCCTTGGGGGGTTTCTTGCTCGGCGTGGTCATTTTTCAAAACAAAACCTCCTAGTCGATGCACTTTGCCCATGCCTGCCGCCGTGTTGCCACCATCGAAGCCTTCGCTGCCGATACTGCCGCGCGCGTGTACGTGCCATCGGTGTGAGCGGGGTGCGATGACAAAGCCAGCCCGATGAGGCAAAGCAAAAAGCAAAACGCGGCAGCTAGACAGGAAAATGAAATCATGTCTCGGTCTCGAACACGGCCCGACGGCGACTTTGCCCTCGACCACCAACCTTCAACAGCATGCAGCTTCCAACCAGCGCCGCGCGTCGCCAACCATCGCGCCAGACACGCATTGACGAGATGAACACGGCGCACCTGCTTACATCGATTTTGGCTGCACAAGTATGATGGTTTGGACCGCTAGCGCCGCGCGTCGCCGACCATCGCGCCGGGCGCGCGTCAACGAGGCGAATTCGGCGTGGCCTATCGACCTTGACCGTGCAAGTATGATGGTTCCAACGACCAGCGCCGCGCGTCACCGACCATCGCATCTGACGCACGTCGACGAGGCGAAATTCGGCACGGCCGCATGCATCGATTTTGACCGGGCAAGTATGATGGTTTTGACCAGCAGCGCCACTCATCGCCGACCACCAGTTCAGCGCACCTCGGTGGAGCGAGCACGGCGCACCTACATCAACTTTGACCACACAAGTATGATGCTTCCAACCACCAGCCACACACATCACCAACCACCACGTTTGGCGCGCCTTGACGAGTAGAGCGTGGTTACATCAATTTTGGCCACGCAGGTATGATGGCTCCAACAGCTAGCGCCACACACCACCAACCATCACATTGGAAACGCCTCAGCAAGAAGAATTCAGCGTGCTTGCTTACTTTCAACTTTGACCAAGCCAGTATGATGGTTTCAACCACTAGCACCACACATTATCAGCATGATGGCATTGCGCCAGCCCTCAGCAAAGCAAATTCAACACCACTGCTTACATCAGCCACAGCGCAACACAACAGCACATCCACAGAAGCAAGACTCAGAATAAGTGATAACAGTGGCAGAGATGGCAATGGTGGCAGAGGGCGCGGTGCAACGAGTGGAGTCAAAACATATCAGGTCAGGCAGCTGCAGGCCACAGTGCGCCACCAAGTCTTGGCATCACATTGCACTGCAGTGCCACATCTCACTGCCACACAGTGGGCAAGAACATGTGTGTCGGTGGTTCAAGTCACACTGTCAAGTTGCCATGCAGACAGGCAGCAGGGTCTTTCAGTCAAGCTGCACTGCCTTCACCAAGACACAGCACTGCTGCCTTTGTACTGCTTCCATGCTTTATTTTTGTTTGTAGTGTTTGGTGATGCAAGGAGTCCTGGTGGGTTGGGGGTGGAGCATGTGGTGCAGCGGCAGAGTGCTCCCCCAAACAAGACATTTCCATCACCATCTCCATCACCAGCAAAGTAGTCAATGGTAATTTCATCACCCTTAGACATTAGGCAGCAGGTGGTGGCAGTCACATGTACAGCACTGAGGCCATGAAACTCCTCTGCCATGATTCCACTTGTGGGTGATGGTATCTTTCTGGGCCTCAAAAAGGCCAGAGGCACACCACACTGGTGGTTGGCCAGGGTGAGTGGTCCACAGAGGATGTGCAAGAGGCCATAGAGGGACAGGTAGTTGTTGGTCCACAGCTTGGCAAAGGTGGCATCATTGACCTCAAACAGCACAGCCCACAGGTGATCCATGAAGGGGGAAGCGCCCAGGCGCATGCTGGTCCCATGTTGGGTGAAGAGGCCCAAGCCGCCCAGGGGCACTCTGCTTGGTGCCACATAGAGGGGACTTGCCAGGTGGAGGAGGGCCTTGTAGTAGTGCCAGAGCACAGCCAGCATGTTGTTGGTATTGTGCTTGGTGGTCTTGTCCAACTTGTCCCTCCATTGGTGGCAACAAAAGCAGGGTCCCCACTTGAGTGGGTTGGCCATGTGCTTTACCAGCAGGTGGAAGGCATTGATGTCAAGTGGCACATCTTCAAACTGGGCATGTATGTTGGTATTTTTGAGGATGTGGCGCTTGAAAAACAACCAGTAGCTGACAGCACATGGGATGGAGTTGTGTTGTGGCTTGCATTTGAGTGCACTCTTGCTCAACTTGGCCAACTCTTCCATTCCTGAGTAGCCCCTTGTGGCCAATTCTGAATAAATGAAAATAATATTGATGAACTTTGCACAAAAAAAAAGAAACGGCAAAATAAATTCACATCTTTCGGGGCCATCCCGAAGTTTTTTTAAATGGTGGCCGCGACGGAACGCAATTTGGTGTTTCCGAAATTTTTGGAGCGCGCTCGAAGGAAATAACCGGGCGGCGGGGCCGGAGTTTGAGAAAGTGGGTGTTTTTTCCCGGCACTGAACCGCCCACCAAAAGGCACGTGAAGAATATGGGTGTATTATCCTGGCAAAATCCTCCTGTCGACGCAAATGATTTCCGAAACCCAAATTGCGTTCTGTTGCCACCACTGTCTTCGCGAAACTGCGGGATGGCCCCTTAAGGCCTTGGGAAGATGAGACTCGTTTGGCCACAAGAGTTGTGTTGTGTAGTGTCAACTACACTTGCACACAACTCTGGTATTCCGTTATATCTTTATTAGGTAGTTACCATATATGTGACATGTACACATTAGATAATAAATCAAAGAGGCTCTTCTGAGCTCTCTTATCTTTCCATCAACTGTGTGATACCTCAACAGGTTATGGGCCCACACTCAACTGGAAGATGAACCCATTTGAAGCTCAATTGAAACTTCTCAACTCTAAACTGGTACTCAAATCCACAAGTGGTTATGTGACATGGCGTGATGATTTGTCTGTGACTCTACAGTCTTGAGGACTGTTCGAGTACGCCTTTGGGTCCATGGAGGAACTGAAGGGGAGGAAGGATGAGAGTGAAGTGAGTTTGGAACTTTGAAAGGACGATTTCAGACAGAAGGTGCAACAGACCATGGGCTACATCTGCATCTGTCTGGATTGGCCATTCTGAGCCATGATTAAGGGGCTTGAGACCAACCTGTGGAAGATGATGGCTACCCTTGATGTGAATCTTGTGCTGAAGGCTAATGTGAGCAAGTTGACACTGTTGACACAGCTCATCAACATCAAGTGCAAGACTGGAGAAGTGCTTGACTCCTACTTTGGCTGGATTGTCAACATCAACATGGAACTTGTCAACAATGACTTGGCGCTCCCTGAAGTGTTCATCCTTATGGTGATCCTGAATGGGCTGCTGGTTGAGTACGATACCGTGTGGCCAGTAATTGAGGCGCAGACCAAGATCAACCTGCATGATGTGATGAGTTGACTCCACAACTGTGAGGCAAACTTGAACACATGTTCTGAACAGAATGAGGCTGCCAACACCATGTGGTGTGACAAGCCTGATTGTGCGCATGGCAAGTGTGGTGGCGAAGGTTGTGGCCTGTTGAAGCAGGACAAGGGTGGCGAGCGCCATGGCCATGGTTGGAAGTCAAGCAAGGGCCCCAAGCAGGGGCCACAGGAGGGTGATGAGACCACCTGCCACTACTGCCACAAGCCTGGCCACTGGAGGAACAAGTGTCTGAAGCTCAATTGGGGTGACGGTGGTGATGGTGGCGGCGGCGGTGGTGACAGCCACAAAGTGAATGCCGCTCAGGCGCAGCATGAGAGTGATGAGGATGAGGAAATCATCCTGTCCATCGCCAACCAGGTAAATGCTGTGGCTGATGAGACTGACCAGTGGTATCTGGATTCAGGTGCAACCTGCCATGTCACCTGTCGTTGTGAACTGCTCCACAACTACCAGCCCAGCCGCAGCACCATCAACTTGGTGCTGGGCAATGACTTCAAGTGCTGTGTCAAGGGGACAGGCACCATCCACGCCACCATTGTTGTAGACAGTACAATGAAGACCATTGTGCTCATGGATGTGTACTACGCCCCTGAGCTGGCGAAAAATCTGGTCTCTATGGCGCAAATCGCCAAGTTGGGTTGCACCATCCTCATTGAAGCCGCAGGGTGCCATGTGGTGGATGGGCGTGGACGCGCAGTCCTTCAAGGGACAGCCCAAGGCAATATGCTGGTGCTGCCACTCAACCCATTACTCCCAGAGCAGGCATATGCCACATGCATTGACCTCTCACTCAACACACTACACTGGCGTTTTGGGCATGCATGCAAGCGTCGCCTGCGCACAATGCTCAAGGCGAAGGGCATCATGCCCACCACCAAGTCACTCTCGCCATGCACCATTTGCATCAAGAACAAGACGACACACAAGCCCATTCATAAGGGGCCAGCAGCAAGGAGCACTACACCAATGGAGCAGCTCCACACTGACGTGTGCAGGCCATTTCCCATCACCACCAAGACCAGCAAGCACTACTTCATCTCAATAATCAACAACACCACTCATTTCACCGTCATCATCACCATACACAAGAAGTCCAACATCAAAGCCATGCTGCACAGCCATCTGGCTGCAACACCTGCAGACCTCAAGTGTCAACACCTCCACAGTGATCAGGGTGGCAAGTACACCAGTGAGCAAGTGCAGGAGCTTCTGTGCACCACCAGCATCATCCACAAGGCCACATCATCACACACTCCTGAACACAATGGCATCGCCAAACAGTTTAACAGGACCATTGTTGAAATGGTCCAGTGCATGTTGCACAACAGTGGTCTTGCCCAGTGCTACTGGGGCGAGGCACTGCACACCACCACTGCCATCTACAATCACTTGCCCACCAACGCCAACAACGGCGCATCACCACTGGATCAGTGGGACGCCAACCATGCAGGGGCACTCAAAGACATGCACCAGTTCAGGGCCAAGGTGGAGGTGCTGGTACTGCCCAGCAAGCGGACCAAGCTATCTGTGCACACACACACTGGAGTTTACCTCAGGCCAGCGGACAGTGGGACCAGCAACCATCAGGTGCTGGTGCAAGGGCACATCCTCATGACATGCAAGGTTGTCTTCCCCTACAACACACATGACATGCTCATGGGCGATGACATGTCCATCGCAGTGGCGCCTGCCATTGTGAACCCACTGGCCAAGGAGGCCAATGTGGGCTCTGCTCTGCAGTGGGCCTCCATTGACCAGTCCACCACACTGGCGCCATCTGTGCTGGGCGCCAGTGGATCTGCTGAGACTTCACCCCCACACTCACCAAGTCAGGTGGAGCTGTCCATCATTGAATGGACGCCGCAGGGCGAGTTGCCCATGCAGGTCAAGCCACCAGACCCCCTCACACCGCCTGACATGCCAGTGATGGATGATGACCCCACTCTCAAGGAGAGTGAGGAGGAGGAGCATGCTGCTCCACCCAGCCTGGAGGCCAATGACATTGTTGTAGCGGTCAAGAAGAAGTGGCCCATGCCAAAGAAGCCACCAGCCCACAAGCGCAAGAAGAACACCAAGTTCTACAATGATGATTTCTGTGCATTCACTGCTGAGGTGTTGCAGGCGCTTGATGTCAGTGACAGCGCCTGCACTCCCAACAGCTACAACGAAGCTGTTGCCTTGCCTGAGGCCGCCGAGTGGATCAAGGCCATGAAGGCCAAGTATGGCACACTTGACTGCAATGGCATGTTTGAACTAGCTCTGCTGCCTGTGGGGCTGTGAGCCATTGGGTTGAGATGGCTATTCAAAATCAAGTGCAAGGCCAGTGGCGTCATTGATTGTCTCAAGGTGAGATGAGTTGGGAAGGGCTACACTCAGTGACTGGGCATTGACTATGATGAGATGTTCTTGCTGGTTGTCATGATGGAGCATCTTCAACAGTTGCTCACCCTCGCCGTGATCCTCAATCTTGAGGTCCACCAGATGGATGTTGAGAACACCTTCCTCAATGCTACTCTCTCTGTCCACATCTATGTTGAGCAGCCGCAAGGATTCATTGACCTGGAGTGGCTGGACCATGTCTGCCTGCTGCACAAGAGTCTATATGGACTCCATCAAGCGCCACTCAAGTGGAACAGGATGATGGACCGCCATCTGCGCAGCCACCACTTCCTTCCCACTCACACCAACCCCTGCATCTACATGTTGCAGGAGTCAAGCGCCCTCGTCATCATCACTGTCTACATTGACAACTGTGTGATAGTCACCCCTCTCAAGCACATCGAGCGCGCCAAGATGGTGCTGCACGACAGCTTCAGGATGAAGGACCTGGGCCAAGCCAGGTCCATCCTGGGCATGGAGGTCATGCGTGACCGCGAGGAGGGCGCCCTCTACCTGCGTCAGGCCGGCAAGATCATGGAGATTCTCCATGACTTTGGCATGGCTGACGCAAAATCCATCGGCACGCCCATGGACCCTGGCCTCATCCTCCACAAGCTCAAGGTCACGGCACCGGGGCACCTCGGAAAACCATACCGGTCGGTAGTGGGGCGGCTGAGCTATCTGTCTCAGGCCACACGTCCGGATATCGCGTTCGCCGTCAACGTGCTGAGCCGTCACGTCAACGGCTACGACCAGTCCCATTGGGGCGCCGTCAAGCACCTTCTTCAGTACCTGCGCGCCACCAAGGACCTCACAATCAAGTACACCACCAGTGGGTCTCATTCCCAGTCTGGCGGCCTGCTACCGGTAGGCTACGCGGACGCAGACTGGGGCAGGGACGTCAAGACACGGCGCTCCATGTCAGGCATTTTGTTCACACTTGGTGGCAGTCCCATTCAATGGGGCGCGCGCACTCAGAAGTGCGTAGCCACCTCCACGATGGAGGCAGAGCTGAACGCCATCGCCGAGACAATCAAGGAGGCAGCTCACCTCAACAGGATCACGCGAGAGCTTTTCCCACACATCGATGCCACACTACAACTGTACTGCAACAATCAGTCCGCCATCGTCATCGCCAAGTCGAAGCCCGGCGAACACACACAGCGCACCAAGCACTACGCCCTCAAGCTCGCGTTTCTACACGAAAGTGTGAGTAAGCTGAACGTCGACTTCAAGTACCTCCCCACAGAGGTCATGCCCGCTGACGTGTTCACCAAGGCGCTGGGGCGCGCACGCGTAGTCGAGCTACGCTCTCTCATCAACCTCGTCGAACCGAAGATCGAGAGCAAGGGGCGTGTTGTGTAGTGTCAACTACACTTGCACACGACTCCGGTATTCCGTTATATCTTTATTAGGTAGTTACCATATATGTGACACGTACACGTTAGATAATAAATCAAAGAGGCTCTTCTGAGCTCTCTTATCTTTCCATCAACTGCGTGATACCTCAACAAGTTGCACGGCCCACCTGTACCCTGCAGGAGAAGTCAGGCGGCAGCCTTTGGGTTGGTGAGCGCCCGTCTAACTCTGCTAAAAGATGGCGCGTACCAGCCTCTGGGCCAGGGATGGGTTTGGGCGACCAATTTCTTCTAGACTGTGCAGAACGAAACCAGTCCAAATAAGTTGGATTGATGGAAAATTGGGCTTGCCCAAGTCAACACGTCGCACCAAGTATGCAGCGCACGGGTGCTGTATGCGGCGTAGAGCACGCGCCGCCAAGTAGGCGACGTCGAGCTCACTGTGCACAGGCGCGAGCCCAACTCGCTGCAAATTGGGTCACACTGGGTCGCCTTGCTGACTCGCCAGCCGACGCAAACTCGACTCGCCTTGCCATTCAACACGAAACCCGGCTCACCAAACTGGTTTCCTCCCAACACAAATTTACCAGCACCAAGCATGTCGTGCCAAGTACGCAGCATTAGGCATGTCGCGCCAAGCATGTCACAGCAAGCGTGAGGCCGCGTTGGGCGTGGCGCGTCGACGACCGCAGACTGCTACCCACCACCTGGCTCTTTGCACAAAGTTAGCCATGGCCCATGGACGAGTGGGTAAGTGAATGCTGGCGATGAGTAGGTGTTTACTTAAGCTGAAATGCGCTCGCTGCCAACTACGGCGCGCTGGTGGTGGTTGAACCAATTCGGGCACGAGTACCACCTGCTTTGGCCGGACCCGCGTGTACACCGAGAGTGGACTGGTTTATTGGGGCGCGGCGATGCGGCTGTAGAGGGGAAGGAGGAGGTGCTGATACAAGTACGACGCCCGGCCCATAGAATCGGCAGTGTGGGTCATAAGGTCCACCTTGGTGAGAAATGGGAACAGGTCACTGTGGCACCAGTTGAGTAGTGCATTAACTACTTTCAGCTGGTCCACCTGGCTGCTTCCCGACTTTGCTTCTGTCGATGATCCGTCGTCGCCTTGGCGCTCAACGGTGCGCTGCAGTTGTATCCTCTTCCTCTGGAGGTTCTTCTCCACAAGAGCAGTCATATTGGCGCCGCTTGCTGACGCCAGAGTCGTGTAGGGCACTTCGGCGAGCTTGAAGATGAACGGCGTCGGCAGCCTGTGCCACGCCAGGTTGAGCCGTTCGTCCGTCGTCCGCTTCTCTTTGTTGCAAGTCTGGGGCGGTTGCTCGCCGTTGGACAGGTGCTTGTCGGTCAGGGTGCGTATTCTCGCCCACTCCTGCTGCTCCTGGTCGAGCCACGTCCGGTCCTCGTCCTCAACACGCCGCTTCTTCTCGTCCCGCTGCGGGTGTCCGGCTTCCGGGACGTCGCGTGCTTCATCAGGGATGCGATCGTGGGGTTCGCGCTCGGCTCGTGGTGGTAGTTCTTGCCCTGGCTTGTCCTCCCGTCGGCTCCGTTTGTCACGGTTGGCTCCCTGGTGGTGGTTGTGATGGGCTTGCCGAGCGTACGACGAGTGGGTAATGTGGTCCGTCCTTTCTCTCGAACGCTTCCTGCCGCGAGCTGTGTACGATGTCGTTCCCATGTGCTTGTTATGTCCGTGCTGGGAATAGTTGCGCGTCGAACTCGATCGCCAGTCCCGTCGCGGTGCGCGGTGAGTGTGTTGGCGAGTATGGTGACACTCAGCATCTGAACGGCAGCGCGTGTCTTCAGACCAATAGGACTGGTTGTCGTGATAGGACCGCCCCCTACCTTGTCGCACATAGTTGCGCTGATTCTCTTGGCTACAAGCCCAGGGATGGCGCTCCGTTGGCCTCTCTGTAAGAATGAAGACATTGGTCTGTCAGAACCTGGCAGGTGCGTTTCAGGGAAGCTTATGGGCGAACAATACCCTCTCGCGCATGGACAGTTGGGAAGGCCGACCAACTGGGCGGGTCCTCCAGTGCAGGCTGGTATGGTTCTTGTTGCGGAAACGTGGAGCTCAAATTCTGAAGATGAGGCGGCTCGTACGCCGGCGAATCCGAATGAAGCTCTTCACCAGCATGAATCTCCCCACCCTGCCCATTTTTAAACAAACTACACTTGATAAGGCGATGCGGCCTGGAGTCCCAAAGGAAAAATTGCGGTGTAAAGGGGGCGTACCAAACGAGAGGAAGAAGTGGTTCCTGGTCTCTCCGGCTCTGCCACCTGATCGCGTTCGTAGAGATTATCCTGCTGGTCGGCGCCGGTGGCGGTGGAATGATCATCTGACTCCCCAGCGCTTCTCTTCCAGTGTGGGTCCGTAAGATCTGCATCGTCGTCAATGTCGCCCAAGAGTTCTTCGACGTCCATCCAGCATGTTCTCTCCGCTTGCTCGGAGCTCGGTGCGTCGTTGCAATCGTTATCGACTGTTGAGTAGGATCGGCCGCTCGTTGTGTCGTCGGGGGAAGAGCACTGAGAAGCGGGAGACGGGAGGACGATATTTTCCGGCCGCGGGCGCACTGGGGCAATGTGGGGCACAATGAACTCTTCACCAGCGTCGTCGTCCTCCTCCTGAAAAGAGGACGCGGTGGGCAAAAACCTTTACCCCAGTCACTACAGAGGGACCGGAGGTCCGTACCTCCTGGCTGTCAGGCACGAGGAGTTCATACTCGCCAGTACCGGAAGCGACATGGTCCGTTGGCGTGAACCCCACGAGCCGCACGTAGGCTGACTTGACGAGGCCCAGCAGGTCGTCGATCGTGTCGACATGGCCCCCGCCGTGGCGTCCGCGGGCGGTGGTGACAGAATGGAGATAGTGCGCTACCTTGTCAGCCACGTGGTCCCGCCACCCTACCAACGAGTAGTCATCATGTGACATGTCGAGGTCGGCCTCGGTGGAGCTGGCATCGTCCTCATTTACGCCCACAAACGCGGTAGCATGTCCCGCGTGCGAGACGCTTGGCCCAGGGGTGGAACACAGCAATGGTGAGGCCTTAGCTTCGTCATTCTTCGTTTTCTTCTTGCGCTTGCTCTCGTCGACGTTGAGCTTGTAGCCCTTGAACGTAACCAGCCCAAGGCCCTGTTCCGCAGCACAGGCTTCAATTCACTTTCAAGGATGATCCGAAAGAATAAAAAAAAAGAATGAAAAGAAAATATGTACGAGGGTGTCCCTGGTCCAGGGCCAAGGGTTGGCGCAGGGCTTCTTCCGCTGCAGCAGGCCTGGGTCCAGCAGAGCCTGGCAGGCCCAGCAACAGCGCTGCCTCTTCTCCTGGGCCGTCCACAGCGGGTGGTACGCGCACTTGGCATGGCGCGGGCTCCTTGGTTTGGGCACGACCGGAGAAGGAGGGAGCTCATGGCCAGCTGGAGATATGGAGAGATGGAGGTGCCTCCATCTTCCAAACGTAGACAGCACAAAAAGGCGCAATGTGGGTTGTCTGGTGATAGGTCGTGCACAAAACTAAATTTAGCGCAAGGCAACGCCGATCGGATCTTTGTGCGTCTACGGCACCAAGCAAACAAGCTTTATGTGCGAGCTTAACATGTTGGCATGGTCCTGAACGGGTGCCATAGCTTGAATTAGTTCCTGGACTCTTTGTACAGCGCCCAACAGCTCTTGCGTGTCTGCTATGGGGTTCGATACGTCAGCGGGCGCTCCAGTAAGTTGCTCGTGGGAGCACTCCTGCACTGCGTGAAGAATAGCGTCGATTTCGTCACATCTGTCGTCGTGTATGGGGTCCATCGTGTCGGCGTGGTTCGGTGCGTTTGGTTGCTTGCTGGCAAAATGGTGGTTGTTACAAAATCGCCCCACCTTCTCGACTGGACTTACTATACTTTAGTCATCAGCAGTACGTTCGCCGTTGATGGGAAAGGAGAGGATGTGACCGTGGCTGGGCTACGTGTGTGTATGCGTTTGCGCGATAATAATTATATTATAAAGCATGCCATCCTCGTCACATCCGCGGATGTGAGCAGCATGTACCGGAAGCAGTAAAGTTTGCGCACGTCGAGTACGCGGTGTCAAGATTGTGCGCGTCGAGTAAATGGTGTCAAGCCTGCACGTTTGCGCAGAGTACGTGGTGTTGGGTATGCCACGCCGTGTAGTTGTGTTGGCAGCAGTCTAAACTCAGCATAGGTGCCGATACTGGTAGGTGGCGCGAGCTTATGGGCGCACGCGAATACCAGCCGGGCACTGCAAACCGGGGCGAGGCAGGGACGCGGGTTGGCACCAAAAAGCTGACTGACTGCTGACTGACCGCTGACCCGCTACGCGAGCTAAAAATAAAATAGCGGGCGGTACTACGCGGCGTAACCCTTCTTTGTGTTAATAGATGGTCCAATCCGGTGCATGAGTGAGCAACGTGGGGTTCGAGCGCGTGTGATTCGGATGACATTTCAATTACGGTGGTGACATGGCACGGTGTCAGATAAAAATAGGTACTAGGTATACGAGACGACGGCGAGATGTGCGCGTGCGGGCGTGTCGTGTCGTGTCGTTGGTCGTGTCGTGTCCAAAGTTGCGGTCGGGGGGGGGTCGCCCGCGGGCGAGCGCTGTGGGTGGTTGGCGGGTGGTGGTCGAGTTGTGTTTCGTGTTTTGTGTTTTTGATCGAGCGGGTCCTCCCCTGCGCACTCTGTCCTCCGCGTGTCGAGTGTCTCCTTGCACTTGCATGTCAGTATCGGAAGCAAGTTGGGCCGCCAACCAAACTCGCGAGACGCGGTTGCGCAACTTGGCTAGCCGGGCCGATGCCAACGCCCCCCCCCTCAATCCCCTGTTGGGAGCACGCAGAGAAATGTGGAAAAAACATGGCGGGAAAATGGTCCAAAAATAGCTGATTATAGGGTGCAGTCCGCGTCGTGGGCATGGGCGTTGGTTCGGGCAGGGGTGGCGCGCTTCGTGGGCGTAAACGTTGACGGGGGCAGGATGGGGCGTGGTTTGATGGGGCGACCAACTGGTTCTCGAAACTCAGCGATGCAACAGCGAACACGCTGCGCCGAGTATGCCGCGCCGAGTAGGCCGCGTCGAGTATACCGCGGCGAATACGCCAGGCCAAGTATGCTGAACTGGATAGACCGTGTCAAGTAGGCCGCGTCGAGTATGCCGCGTCGAGTATGCCACGTCAAGTAGGCCGCGGCAAGTATGCCGCGGTGAGTGTGGCGCGTCGAGTACCGCGGTGGAGGTGATGGGCTGGCGGCAGGCTGAAGTTTGTTTGCGTTGGAAACCTGGTGGGCCAGCATAAACTCGACTTGGTTGACCATCAGACACAAACTTGGTCGGCCACAAACACAAACTTCCGGGGACTTTAGTCGGCACCGGCGGGAATCGAACGCTCATCAATAATAAAAACAGAAACAGTCGGATAAAACCAGCCATTCTGACCCGAACCCGAACGCGAGCGCGAGTACCAGTCGGTCGCGCTCGCGCTCGCATTCGGGTTCGCACTCGCTCCGCAGGCAGAGCACGTCCCTTAGTCGTCACCTTTTACCCGGCCGCATGGGGGGAAAACAAAATAAAACCTTTTTCTCTTCTCAATTCCTGCGTTCGCGGTGCCAGGTCGCGTTCGCAGTCGCAGTCGCATTCGCTAGAAGGAAATACAGTTTGGAGCAGCTGCGGCGAGGAAGCCACGCCGGAGGGTTTTTCGTGGCCAAGTCGCCATCCATTTGGTAAAATAAACACCAAACACATGTGAGTGACGCTTTCTTGATTCATGGAGAACCCCCTCGGCACACGCCAGCAAGCGGACCCCTGTTCGTTTGTGCAAGGGTGCAGACCAGGGTACGAGGCTGGCCCAACACTACACATGTTTGCATTTGCAATAAGTCTACCAGAATGGAGTGGCCACTATGCAGCTATAGTATGAACTGGTGGAGTGTTGAATCAGCTAGTGCACTCGCATTGGCCAACACCCCTCCTCCTTAATTTTGGTGCTTTGCTGAGAGTAGATCACTGTGTGCCCAACAGAAAGGCGCTGTCCCACAACTGTGAAGTACACATACCGATCAGCAGCATCTGAGAGGATGAGGAACCAGTCTGCCAAGCCCTTGGTGTGGCACCTGTGGAGCCCGGCAGAGCTTGATTCGCCCTCCCTCCCCAGGCCGCATCATGTTGCCAGGTCGGTCATGGCCGTGGAGCTACGTTCGGCAGCTCCCTCTCTCTATGCTTCCTACAACGAGCGCTGCTTTAGCGGACAACTGCCAGCTCACCTGCGCCTCTGCTGGAGCAAGCGGCTCATCACGACTGCTGGACGCAACCTGTGCTTTGGCGGTGAGGGTGGAGGGGGGCGTACCTGCGAGATCGAGCTCAACCCTCGGGTTCTGGACACTATGGAAAAGCTCCGCCACACTCTTGTCCACGAAATGTGTCATGCCGCCGTCTGGCTGGGCCTGACTCCCATCCTGGCGCACCGGGATGCCCAACCAGATCGGAGCGCGCACGGCCCCCAGTGGCAGGCCTGGGCATCAGCAGCTGCGGCCGCCTGTCCCGAGCTATCGCCCCTGAAGCCCCGTCACAGCTACGCGATCGCTTATCGCCATCTCTACCGCTGCGGCCAGTCTGCCAAAAGCAGCAACGCGGCCTGCCTGAAGTACTACGGGAGCCACTCGTTGCTCAAGGTGACCGCGCTGTCACGCTATCGCTGTGGCTCCTGTGGCTCAGACGGGTTCTGATCCTTTAGCACCTTGACGGCCACCTCTCCTCCACGCCACGTCCCCTTAAACACCTATAGAGAGAAAGAGAGTTTGAGCAGAATGGTGATGGGGGGGGGAGATTGTACCCGCCCAAAGCCGCCGATGCCGATCGCAGGCCCTTGCACGGCGATCTCCTCATAATCAAACAGCGTCGAGAGTTCAGATTCCAGTTTGATGTTTAACAGCGTGTGGCCAATGTCTGAGTGTCACGGAGAAGAAGGGGATGAGAATAGGGGTCATCACCGGCAGGGACGGCGAGGGCAGAGTCACCTTCAACCTCGATATAGACCGGCTGGTCAATAACGGTGGTGAGTTTGACCACCATCTCAACAACGATTGCCTTTTCTTTTTTCTGTAGCAGCAGAAAGATTGGAGAGGGGGGGGGGGCATGTGTGAGTGCTGTCAGTCCTTCCTTGAAGAGGGGCCAAGGGGCGTAGGGGCTTTATCTTGAGAACAGGGGGAACGTTGAACAGCAGCGAAAACTTGTGGCTGCGGTAGGGGTAGTAGAGGCGGACGCGGAGAGGCTTTTTGCCGGTGTTGGCGAGGATGAGTGTGTCGGTGAGTAGTGCGTTGACCGGGCATTGCTTGCGTCGGTCGATCCCAAAGTCGAGGAGAGTTTTGTTCAACTGGGTATGCAGGGGCAAAACGAACAACGTTGTAAGTTCAGAGAGGATGTGGTGTGTGGTGGGAGTGCCTTCCCCGATTGGTTCGCCAATGCGTGGGGCAGCTACGCGATGGGTTTCCTCGTGGCCATGCGCCCGTCCTCGTTCTTTGAACGGTACAAAGTGCCCCCTACCCTTCATCTCCTCATCTCTCGTCTCGCTCAGGTTTCCTCATCCCCGCATACAACCCCCCCCCAAACCCCACCACACCAGTCGCTCATGGCTGTACGTAGGCCTCGCCAGCGGTTACTGTGGGTCCACGACAACCTTCTCTTCGTGGAACCAGGACGCGGCAGCCCTCGTTGTGAACTCGGCCGATGTACCACTTTACCTCTTCCGCAAAATGCGGGCTCTCCTCCTTCTCTCTCCTCTCAAGTCCGGTTGTCGCAACAGGTGGTCACGTTCTTGCTCATCCTTTTTTGCGGGGTCGCCGTGCCTTTGGTCTGTTTCCACATGGGTAGGGCCCCCCCCCCGCCGCCGCCAACCTCCTCACCCTTTCCCGCCCTCTGTTTCGCTCTTTGACCCCTCTCCCTCACCTCATTACGGCGAGGTAGGCAGGCACACACACGCGGTTTTGCAGCTCGTCAGAACCACGCGAAAGCGCAAACGTGAGATCATGGTCATGGAGGAGGTGAACGAGCGCCACACCGACAAAAGAACCCGAAGAGGCTCTCGCCGGAGAGAAAACCCAGCGGTGGTCGCCGGCGAGGTGGAGAAGAAAGAAGTCGTAGCGGCAGAGATGAATGACGAAGCAAAGGGCAAGTTGTCCCTGAAGGGAGAGGAGGAAAAGGAGGTAGAGGAGGCAATGGCAGAGGTGAACAAAAGCGACGACCGACACACCCCAGCAGGGATCGCAGAGAAAAAGGGGAAGATGCGCGCGGAAGAGGAGGACGTAAACGAGAGCGACGCCGACAGAAGAAGCATGACCGATCGTCGCAGGAGAGAAAACCCAGCGGTGGTCGCCGGCGAGGTGGAGAAGAAAGAAGTCGTAGCAGCGGAGATGCAGGACGCAGCAAAAGGGAAGCTGCCCGCTATCGGAGAGGAAGAGAAACTGATCATGGAAGAGGAAGAGATGAACGAAAGCCAAGGCGACAGAAGAAACGATCGCAGAGAGAGCGCGGCAGTGGTTGCCGGCGAAGTGGAGACGCACGAAGGAGCCGAGGAGGCCAAGTCGAAGGAAGAGAGGCTACTGCCGCTGCCTTATTGGCACTGCACACGGACGGATCTCGCGTATTGCCTTCTTCTATGCTCTGCTCTCGCGCTCCTCTGCCTGGCGTGGTTTCTGCTGGTCGTGTACGGGGGCGTGGCCAACCGCTATATCTGGGTCTCTTGCCTCTTTGCTCCGTTCGGTACGGACGTGCCAGTCGACGAGTAACCGACAGTTATCACCGACATTGACCGGTCCTTCTGCCGCTGCGCAGGAGCCATGATTCGCTATGTGCTGTCGCGATACAACACTTGGCGGCGGTGTGTGCGCTTCCCCCTCTTCACCTTTCTCGTCAACGTGGTGGGCTCGATCGGTCTGGCTTTCACCACCATCAGCATTGAGCTACGCGGCTATGATCTTGACACCGATGTTCCTGGCTCTGTCCTCCACGCATTTCAAGGGGCTTCTTTGGTGAGCGATCCCCCCCCCTCTCGTTCATTCGTGATTCCTCCTCCCAACTCAGCATTGGGTTGCACAGGCTCGTTAACGACTGTCTCCACCTTCATCGGCGAACTCTACGCTCTGCCTCCGGTGCCGTTCGCGTACGCGTACATCATCGCTACCCTTGGCATGACCCAGGCCGCTCTCATTCCCATCAACGGTCTCTACACATGGCTGCAATGAGCGGACGAATTCTCCGTCTGTCGTATATTGAGCAGCGTCATGTTCCCTTTACCGCTCCGGCGTTTCGTTGGAAGTAGCGACGCGGGCAGCCGTCTCTCCCTCTTTCTCGTCCTTCTCTGACGCGTTCTCCTCTTTTGTGTCTTTGGGGTGACACTTCTTGGGCTCGTTGAACTCTTGTAACTTCGTGTTCAACTCTTCCACCAGCTACTTTGCCCTGTCAGCACGAGATTGTGCGTGTTTGGTCAAGAGCTTCGTAAGGGGCGCCCGTGACAAAGTGGCACCATGAGGCCCAGCAGCGCGATGACAGTCGCGTCCTCCATCTTGCAGCTGTTGTTGCGTTGTGTTGTTGTGTGTTGTGTGAGCAGAACTGTCTCGTGGAAGGACTCGAGGCTGAAGAAGTGGCTGGCCCAATAGACAGGACCACCATGCCTTCACAGCCTCTTTCTTGTTTATTTCCAACCTGCATTACTCTCCCTAATGCCACAACACTCCACATCTTGTTTATAGCATGCTTCCTTGCCTCATGGACTTCCTGTGCCTGCAGTACCAGTGCTGTCCTTGATAGTGAGGTGAGGCCTGCATAGATGGGGGTGAAACATGTAGTCTAGGTACTTACACATATTGAGTTGCAGACAGGCAAACCTATTCATAATGCCCCTGGCAGGAATGAGTAATGGTGCCATCATTGTGCTATGTCTATAACTTGGTATTATAGCATCTCTTCTATGATGCCCAATTAGGTCAACAGGAAGATACATTGGTCAGTCTGTATTATCACACTTGGCACACAATGTCTTCTTTGTCCTTTCTTCATCAGGTGTGGTCATCCTTCTCCATCTTCTTCCTGAGGCCACTGGTGAGTTATTACATTTTTATGGGTGCACCCAATATTGTACATGCCTTAGGAGGCAAGAAAGTTGATCCAATTGGCGGCCTGGGGGAACTGCTGCTGCAGGGCGGTCTTGTTGCCCAGGTAGTCGTCCTGATAGACAAAGCCAGGGGTGTTGGTGTTGCCCATGAAGGCATAGTCACTGGCTGACACAAAGGTGCTGAACCAGGTTCCAGTGGGCACCACGTGCTGCATAACCTTGCCGGCCAGCATGTTATGGCCCATTTTGATTATCTCCACCTTGCTGTCTGGATGGATGATCACCATGGTGAGCTGACCACCTAGCAAAGGGCTGTAATGTGAGAAGAGCATAAATATGAGCAAAGTGTCTGCAGGCCATCCTCACCAAAGCCAAAAGTAGGAACAGTACCAAGATAAAAGTGCCATACTTTGTCCATCTGCAACAGGTGCAAGTGTGACTTGTTGCTAAAGGGAGGACAATGAAGGAGGAAGTAGATTGTGGTCAAGTAGGGGCAGGTAGGAACATCCTGCGAGAACTGGAGAGGGAGCATGGACACTGGGATAGTTCTGTTGGCAATGTAGGTCTGGATGAAGAGACCTCCCTTGCCAGACAGAGGCTGCATGTTGTAGGTTGTGACCAGGTCCTGCCAGGTCGTGTGCCTGCAGGACTTATCCTGTGTGGGGGGAGAGGTAAGTAATTGCAGGTCCAGAGTATGCAGCAGCACAGGATATGTATGATGAACCTTCGTGGCACTGGCCCCAGCATGGCACAGGCAGAAGAGAAGCGCCAGCAAAGCAGCCCAGGTATGCTTCATGTTGGTGTTGGTAGGAGTTAACTCCATGTCCAGTCTGGAAGTGGATACGCCTGCACTGTGGTTGCCTGACCAATGATATACACCACTGGAATGGGGACTTGACTCTTTTTTACTGGGCCATTGTCTTGTGGGGATCTCAAGCCCGCAAAAGGACTTGCCCCGCAATAACGGGGCAGAAGCCCATTGACAGCTTTTGCCAGCGGACGATATAATTTCAAAGAGTGTGAGCTGAAGATAGCGACCTTTTTTGATGTCATGCCCACCGCGCCAAGGGTGCTGATGAGGCGTTGCTGGCACGGCAAGCCGCGCAAGAGGCCCTCCATGGACGATGTGGTCATGCCCTCAATACCCAGCTCGACAGCCTTGCCGTCTAAGCCCCCTACCAGCCGTAGTATCTCCTATTTGATGTTGTTTTTAATCTGCAAGCTCGACAGTCCCGTTGACGAAGAGGCGAGCACTTCTTTGTCGTACAGCTCTGGATATCACTCGCGCTGGCCGGAGTAGGCAAGGGGAAAGGTCTCGCCGCCGCGTTGTCGAGCCTTGCCGTCACGCCGCTCTGGGCTGCCGAGTCATTGCGCCGCCGAGTTGATGCGCCGTCTGGTCTCGCTGTCGCGCTGCGATGTCGTATTCGTGCGCGGGCTTCCCCGTCACGCTGCAGCACAGCTGAATTGTGTGGCCGCGCGCGCTGCCCAGGCGTCCTGTCCCACAAACTCAAAGTGAGGCCGGCTCTACTTGTTGTCTTGCCGGCTCGCCCTCACGACAGCAACTCGACGACGCCAAGACGCCGCGCATCAGAAGGCCGCGTCAAGTAGGCCGTGTCAACCATACCGCCTCGATTACGCTGCGCCGTGTACTCCGCGTCAAGTAGGCTTTCCGAGTACGCCGCACGCCTCACGTATGTTGCGGCGGAAGCGTGCGCGTCAAGATGCTGCTGCCTATGCTCGCATGAGTATGCCGCTGGCGCCAGTCCAAACTCGGCGCCAGACAAACTCGATTCGCCTTGCTGGGTTGTTGGGCCGACACATACCCGACTTACCTCGCCATCAAACTCAAACTTGGTCGGATGCAAACTGGATACAAGCCCACCTCCACCCGCCTTGGTATTTTGCTGCGCCCACCCAAACTCGACCGCGCCGAGTATGCTGACCGCTGATGCGAGCGCGGCACGCAGAGCTTCTGCGTTTAACGCAGCGCGGGGGCAAAGCTTGAATACTTTGGAATTACGACTTGCCAGCGTGCGCAGAAAAGTGGCTCGGCAGCGCGCACCGTTGGCGCTTGTGCGGCGAGAGCTCGGGATGTAGCAAACGGTGGGCAGGCATTGACGAGTTGGTGAGTGTGGTTGGCTTTGTGTCGTTGGCTGCGAGGCAGACAAAAATTTGACCCCACGGCCTCGAACACAACCCGACGTCAACTTTGCCCTCGACCGCCGATCAACGTACATATTTCGACCAGCAGCGCCGCGTCGCCAACAATCGCGTTGGGCGCATCGACAAGACGAGCATGGCGGGCCCGCTTACATCAACTTTGACCGTAAAAGCGTCAAGTCGCGCAGCTGCTGGCCGCGAGCCGCGAACCCGGTTCGTTGACACGAACTCGACTGGCCTCGCCCCCGACGCAAAATTGGTCCGACGCAACGGCGATGTACTTTCTACTCGACTTGCTGTATCACCGACTCGCCGACGCCGGGCCAAACACGCAGTGCCAAGCACGCCGGGCGAAACACGCAGCATCAAGCATGACGCACCAAGCATGGCCGAGAATGCCGCGCCGAGTACGCAACGTCAGGCATGCCGCGCCGAAACGTCGCGTCGGCTACAGGCCAGACTCGGCAGTAAACTGTATTTGCGTTGCCGACTTGGTGAGCTAATACTAGCCCGACCGTCCGGCGCAAACTTGGTGGAACGCAACCGTGATGCAAGCTTGGCTCGGCTTGTCGTCGGCGTCCTCGCGGCACAAACCCGATGCGTGTTGCCGTCGCCGGTGCCGTCGGCGCGGTGGCGCGCGGGTCAAGAACAGCAGCGTCATGAGCAGCAGCCAGCGAGGGTGGTGACGAGGGCGGGGGCTGGGGCTGCGTGCGGTGCTCGCGTTTGTTGTTTTTATTTGGAGTGCGCGCGACAATACACCGACGCCAAGGCAGAGCTCGCTGGGTCGCGGCAATGCGACTCAACGAGGCGCCCGTGGGCGGCAGCGGCCGAGCACGTCTGCATCAACACACGCCCCCACGAGAGAGCACGCGCCGTACCCACCGCCGCCGCCGCCACCCATCGCCGCCCTACCCACCGGCCGCTGCCGCAAACATTGGCGCGCGGCGCGTTTGCTGCGGGCGCAGAATTGGACGCCGACGCAAACATCGCGCCTCGGCGGTGGCGCGTTTGCTATCAGTCCTGGTGGCTGTGCCTCTTCTTTGACGCTGGCGACTACGTCGCGTCGGTGTGGTGCGGCATGGCAATGTGTGCGAGCGCTCGAGCGGTACCTGTCGTTGTCAGGGCGTCCAGGGCTCGAACATCAGCGCCGAACGCGTCAGCGGCAGGAGCGAGAGCGCAAGTAGCAGCAGCAGCGACAGCGACAGCAACGAGTGCATCATCAGCGAGCGCGGCAGCGGCAGCGATGGCGGTGCAAGCGCGATTGCCGTGGGCGGCGCGCGGGGCGATGACGGCAGCGATGCGTGCACTGCCGCAGCGCGCGTCTGCGTAGGGATCGCCTCGGTACCAATGCGTCGCGTAGGGGCCAGCGGCATGTTGAGTGGTGCTGGCGGCATGCGGGGGCAGGCGGCATCTCGCCCGGTTTGATCATTGTCACAACAAAACCTCCAAGCCGACGCACGCTCGTCACCACCTCCCCTCTGCTGCCGCCGCCACGTCGCTGCCGCCGTCGCTCTCTCTTTTCTGCTGCACGCGCGCGATCGTGCCCGTCGTCGCTTTGACGCGAACACGGCGGCGACTCTGTTCGCCCTTCGTGATGATCACGATGGATTGACGTGCGGCGCGATGACGGGACCGCACCACTTCTCAACGATTTTTTCAGTGTTCAGCGTAGCTTTTCCTTGCCGCCAGTGGTCGCAGGTCGCAGGTCGCAGGGGGCCTGCTGCGCAAACGCCACGAACCACATACGCGCCCGCGGGCTAGGCAAAGCGCAGCGCCGCAGTGACTGCCTCTTTGGGCGATTGTCGGCGGGAGTTGACTCGTAACGAGTTGTGTGGAGTCGAAAAGGCATCGAGTAGGACTCAGTCTGCGAGTCGAGTTTGGACCTTGACTCGAGTAGGTCTGCCGCGCGCCCGACTGATCCCTGCAAAAACTGACGTGCCCTCAGCATTGCTCCCGCCGCCGTTGCTCCCGCCCCTGTTGTTCCCGCCCCTGTGTCGAGGTGCGCATCTTCGCGTCGCCCTTTGCTTGCAGTGTTGGCGCACTCGCCGAGTTATTCATCCCCGCACTCCCAACAGCCGGTGCTGTTGGAGCCGGGATCGTTCTTTAAAGCCTGCGCCATACTCGCAGCCAACGTCCACAATGTTGAACTCATGTTGGTAGACATTGGGGCCAATGGTCAATGCCAGATCAACTCACCCCTGGACCTTCAGCACTTCCCCAGAAGCCATAGTCCACATCTGTTTGCACAGTCTTGTTGTCACCCCAGTAGGCAGCAGTGCAAGCTTGACAAAGCAGCCTGCTGCTCTGGAGTCAACCAGGAGATCAATCATTCATTCTCCCAACTGAGCTTGGATGGTGGGTCCTGACCCACCCATCTTCATCTTGACAGACGTTGTCTTGACGCCCTGGATTGTGTTGACTGACTTGCCCAAGGATTTGTCCTTCTTGTATGATCCCTCCACTTGTGGGCATTTGGACTGTTGATGGCCCTCTTTCCTGCACATCCAGCAGCTTGTAGGCCTCAGTGGCCCTCATGGCCCTGACCCACCCTTGCTCCTTGAACCAGCACTTGGAGGCTGTATGCCTCCCACCTTTAACAATGGTTTCCCACTCAATCAAAGCCATGAAGCTTCTCAATCCCAAATCCTTTCCTGAGATGAGCTCTCATCTTGCCTCCTCCTTGGAGGCAGCCTTGACAGCAGTTTCAAGGTTGGGGTACACAGTACCCTTGACCTTCTTCCAAAGCTTGGGTATGAGCCCATTCATGAAATGGCTCACCTGGAACGTAGCTGCCATGTCCAGCATCATCACCCACAGCTTCTCCTTGAATTACAATCAGTAGATGGTGACCAACTCCAACTTCTCTTGTTGGACCTTTGCTAGTTGCTTGTATGTGTAGTAGTAGTCTAGCTTCTTGCAGCCATACACATGGGTCAACTGCTCTTGCAGTGTTGCCCATGTTAGTGGGACACCAGCCTTCAGACCTGTGCATGCCCACTTGCATATAGCCTCAGCCTCCCCCTCAAGCTGGTTGGCGGCCCACCTGACTAACTCATCATCAGACCATCCTCCCTGGCTGGCAGCTTCCTACATCTTGTCAAGGAACAATATGATGTCTTTGTTCTTGTCACCCTTGAACTTGGAGGTTGTGTAGATTCACTACCACCCATCTTGGTTCCTGGCAAGCTCAGGGAAGGCTCTTGTGAGCCCTTCACCCTGGCGCAAACAGTGTCAAACCAACCATCTGCCAGTTCCATCACTCCCACATCAAGGTTGTGTTGGTCAAACTAGACAGTTTTGAAGGTGTCTTGGGGCATTGCTGTCATCAATCATACTCCAATTAGAGTAAGTGTCTTCTCCAAACCCCCTTTGATGGCGCAGACTCTCTGGTTGATGGCAGCCATCAAGTTGAGTAGCTGAGCCATCATCATCTCAAGCTGGCCAAGCTTGTCTTCTTTCTTGGCCTTTTCCTCAACTGCTGGGGTGGTTGCAAGGCCTGATGGCAAGACCACAGGGCCTGATGACGCCACCTTGACAGGTGACACTGTTGCCCTTGGCATTGGCTTGGTAGCTCTCATGGACAAGGTCAAGCTCATTGTGTCAGAATCAGTGGGTTCCCCTTAACCTTGTAGTATTGGATTGTCTTATATGAAGATGATCCTGCTGTTGTTGCCAAATGTAGGAGTGTGGGAGGAATAGACCAACTGGGTCTCAGGTAGATGGGCCTCAGGGAGGTCCTGTCCTTGTCTAATCAGAAGAAGTCCCTTTTATTACCCCTTGGTAACATCTTATATACAGGAGTTATCTCCAGAGATAACTCACCAGGAAAATTTCATTTCCCTTTGGGTTTTCCAGGTGGATGGAGGCGAACTCTGGCAGCTGGCAGAACAGGGGCTCTGCCACACTGCAGATGCAGCTCCCTTCTCTAGTTGGCTCCCAATTTCTCCTGCTCTTGCACCACCCCATTCAAAGCTACAAGGGCAAAATGGAATTCATCTTTCCCCCTCCCTGAGGAAGAATTCTTTGCATGTTTTTGGTGTTTTTTGGGCTTGACATTTATCCCACTTTAATGTTGTGTATGGTGGTTGTGGGGTATGGAGCACTCAGGATAGTGGCCATGGTTGAGGCGCAGCTGGACAGCTCTGAGGCTTCCACTGCCAGCTGCTTGGGCGATGGTCCTGTTGGTGGTTGGCGCCACGCCATGTAGAAGGAGCTTGAGCATGTCCACGTTGCCTTGCGCAGCTGCACACTGTGTTGTTGTTGTGTGGAGCTCCATGAGCAACCCAATCACACTCACACACACATGCACACACACACGCACTCACACACACTCACACTCACGCACGCACACACACGGGGACGTACATCAAAGGCTTTGTTGATCACCACTATTGTGCACCACGCACTGTGGATCGATATGGACCATCCGCTTGAGGATGTCTGTGTTCTCTTTCGACGCTGCAGCAACACATGCACTCCATGCCCAACCCATTCCCTTTGAATGCAACCACTGGATGACGGCTAGGCCCCCTCCCAAAGCTGCTCAACAATGGGCTCTCTTGGTCCCGGAGATGATTGCAACCCGATAGCAACAGGCGTTTCATGTTTTGTGACATTGTTGAAGATAGTGACCCAATCCGTGTGGGGTTACATCAAAGTTGCTGGAGCTGAAAGTAGAGGGGTGCACCGTTGCCGAGATAACAGATAGGCAGGAAGCCGCTCTGCGCCAAGCAGCCCTTTGTGTCGGGAGCCATGATGAACTTGAGACGACATGTGGCGACCGATCCACTTGTCAGTTTTCGCGTGACCATCCACACGCCCATGCTCGCGTAGGTTACGGCTTCCGTTGTCCCGAAGGAAATCTCGTACGGCGCCGCGTTGAAACTCGATAGGCCAATCGACGACCCGTCGCTCTGGTCCTCAGGGTAGCCCCGAATGAACCACCTGCAGTCGTCCGGGTTGCGATCGCTGTCGATGGCCATGTAGAAAAACTCACCTTGACGGAAGTTTTGCCAGGTGAACTGGACGAAGAAGTAGGAGGAGTTGAAGGGCGGCACGATCATGTCGCAATTGCTGCCGTACCAGCCTTTGCTGCATTGGCATTGCTGCGTGCCGCCACTTTGCGGGACGCAGGTGCCGTGGACGCAGTTGTAGGCATTACAAGCCGAAGGAGGCGAACCGGTTCGCACTAAGACGCAGGACACGCACGACACGAGCGCGTTAACGGCCGCACGCACACGATCAGCCCGGAGAGGCGGGCCACGTACCAAAGAAGGAGAGACCGCCGGAGCATCCGAAGTTGGTAGAGACTGGCCAGACGCTGCCGGAGTTGATTTGCATGTACCAGCTTACGGGCGTACCCAGCGAGACCACGTTGCCTGGGGGGTGGGGGTTGGTGAAAAAAGCAGGAGCAAGACAGGTTATGTGTGAGTAGACGTACTGGAGGGGTATTGGGTGGAACACCAGGGGTTGCCGTTGGTAGAGTAGGGCACCACAGACTGGCCGGCCCACTTGACATCAAAACAGCAGCTGGAGACGTCGCCCCCGAGGCTATAGAAAATAGATTAGTTGGAAAGAAAGGCTCCCAACTGACACCCAAACTGCGGTGGTACCTTATGATGCCTGAGTTGGTGTTATATTCTTGAATGAAGGTGGCCGACGTGACGGAGTTCCATGTGTAGGGCTGCCAGCCAGGGTAGTTGGAGCCTGTGGGACCCACCGCAAAATAGTTGGCTCCGCTGAAAGCAAGTGACGCTACTAACAGCCAGCCCACCAAAGACAGCCTTCCCAAGTGATTTAGCTCCTGGCTGGTCATTCGATTACTTGAGCCGCTGGACGTCCAAACTGCAAAGAAAGTTGTGCTTGTCGGGGCGCAAAGGACCTCTTGTTGTTATTTATTAATGCTGCAACGCATGCCATTGGCTCCCAGACTTCAGAATAGTCCCCAGAATAGTCCTACACGCTGAGAGTGCGGGGACTGTAATGTTTCTTAAATAGTTTCCTTGGGTGGCGTTGTTGTTGTTGGCATTGCCGTACAATCAATCTTTCGCAAGACAAGAAGGCCTGATGTGTTGTAGTGAAGAGGAGGTCGCCCCAATAGTTCTGCACACTCACCATGCCTTGGACGGTCATGGTGGTGGATTGCACCCTCTTGAGTCTGGGGTTGTCTATGTGCAGCTTGTTGTCACCTCTGTGCTGGTGTGCCACCACGCCATTGAGGGACCACTCTCATGCCACATCATGGACAGCAAGGAGCTGGTAGGGAGATCACACGGCTCTCTCCCTGTGGTAGGAGTTGAGCGCCTTGATTGTGAGCATCACCTTTTGTGGCTCCATGGCAGCTGGTGCAATGGAGCATTCAAACATGTGGTCCATGTCCATCCTGTAAAAGTAGTTCTCCAGGCCTGAGCTTCTTTAGGAAGGACCTGGTTGATGATCATGGGGTTGTGTTCCCTGCCTGTGAATGGTTGAAGCACCCTTGGGATGTTGATGAAATACTACTACAAAGAGCTCATCTCCATGTGTGACTTGGGAGGGAGAGCTAGGCTGCCTGGCACTGCCCAAGCAAGTCTGGGAGGCACTGAGCTGTTGCTGAACCTCTTCATTGCTGGCGTGATGCTCTTGATGCCATGAGAGATTGTGTTGGAACTGTCACCCAATGTCATTTCCATATCCAACACTGTGTCCAGAAAAAGGTGCCAGTGGCACCTTTTGTTAAGTAAAATCTGTACAAGTGATATATGTGTATGTGCAGCGAAAGCAGTACTTTTGTGAACATGGTGTGTGAGTGGTTTTGGCAAAATATGTACAGAGAGTGGCAAAACAGGGAAAAATGGTGTAGGTCATGGTAAAAGCAGATGGGGCCAATGACAAATTTCAAGGCATAAGTGTAAAAAAGGGCTAATGTATTTTGTTGAAATGAGGAACAGAACAGAGTGGAGGGAAACATTAGCCAATGGACTTCTGCACTTTCTGTGGACTGGAAGAGGAGGAGGAGCTGGTCTTGGGTGTGAGAGGGGCAAGGGCAGGATGTGAAGTTAGGCCTTGTAGGAAGGAAGTGATGGCTGTGAGATCTGACTCCTCCAGGAATTTAGAGTGGAAGGGGAGGAGCCAGTTGGCGAGAGAGGAGATGTTGCCCTCTGCTATGGGGGTAGAGGAGAGGCAGACAAAGCTGGAGTAAAGGGCAGCACAGAAGGAGAGGTAGTAGGTGGGATTTGCCTCATAGAGAATGTGGTAGGGAGTGGTGGGTGATGTGATGGGTGGGGAGAAGGATTGGGAAGCTCTAACCTCTGGATGAGGAAGCTGTAGAGGCTGATGTGAAGTGGGGTGTGGTCTGATGATTGAGCAGTGAGGAAAGCAGGAGCAGAGTGGACAACCTCATGTGTTGGGTGTGGGATGGGGATGTGGTGCAGATAGCAGAAGGGTTTGGGGATGGTGTCACTGGCCAGAGGATGCCAGATGGTGGACATGTTAACCCTCTTGTGGCTGAAGATGAGAACATTGAAGCCACTGATGAGAGGTTTGGAGGCAGGCATGGAGCTGGAGTAAGTTGGGGAGCTGTTGTAGAAGTGGAGTAGGCAGAAGACCTGGAGGGTGGAGTGTGACTTGAGTGAGGTGATGGCATTGGTGATGTTGGAGGGAGATGAGGAGATGTAGAATCTGATGCCATAAGACTTTGATAGGTGAGTTGCTGTGTCCTTGATGTTGAGAGGAATGTCTGTGCTGTGGATGGTAAAGTTGTGCATGTAGATTGACACCTGTGGAAGAAAAAAACCAGTGGACATCAGGAAATAAGTGAAATTAGAAAAACTGATATGCATCAGGGAAAAGAGTTGACAAATAAAAACCTGATGCGCATCAGGAAAAGTGTCAACAAATAAAAAAACTGATGCGCATCAGGAAAACAAGGCAGGCTGATAAATGCACTGGCCATTCATGGAATTGTGTTGGTTGGGCAAGAAGCTTGGTGAGTGGCTCAGTGAATTGGGGGAGATACTTTTTCTGGAGAGCAAGCTCTGCTTTGTGCTTGATGGTAGATGGCGACTTTTCCTCTTCAGCCTTACCCTTGCCACGTTTCTTGGTAGCTGTAAAGAACAAGCATGTGGTGAGCTTGGAACTTTACCAGCAAAATGAAAACATACTGGTTGGGGTGGTCAGAGTGGTGCCAGAAGCTTCAGTGGCAGTGGGTACCACAGGCTGAAGTCAGATAATAGTGGTGTAAGTGAAAGTAATGGGGTGTGAATTGGAACAGGAAGGAGTTGATTTGTACCATTTTCCCCTTGGCCAACACAGAAAGACGCTGGTGCTGTTTGCTTGTGGACGTTGAGGCAAGGGAGGCCTCCTCTGCTCAAGAAGCTGCAGTGGCACATGCAATCTCCCCTCATAACTGGCAAGGTGTGGTCTCCTCTGCCTCATCACTGAGAAGTTTCAACTGGAACAGGTGCTTGTGGAACATGTTGACAACTTTGGAGGTGATGCTGTGGGGCTGCTTGATCTTGATGTTTTTACCGCACAGCATGATGTATTCCACAACACAGATCCAGTCCCAGATGTGGTGAAGCTCCTCAGGATCTTTGCAGAAGCAGTCAGCCTCCATGGCTGCATGAATGGCCTGATGAAAGGCCTCCATCTGCCTTTTGATCATGCTCCAGTGGTTGGTGATTAGTGACCAGAAGTTCTCTGGCAAGAGGGAAGTAGTTAGACTTGTGGGGAGAAGAACAAAAGAACTAAAAAGAAAGGACATACTCTTGGAAGGGGCTTGGTGTTGATAGTGCTTATAATGACAAAGCACAGTGATCATGTCATTGGCACTCAATTCCCTGAAGGCACCAGAGTTGAGGTTGTCAAGGGAGATGAACACCTGACCCTCTGGAATGAGGTGATTGAGTTCCTTGATAAGACTGGAAAAGGGGAGCGAGGACTCAAAACAAAGGTGAAGAGTTAGAGTAGAAATAACATACTCCACCACTCCTGGAGCATGGAACAGGGCCCTTAAGGTAGTCAAGTACTTCTGCAGAGTGGTGGGCTTTGGTGCAGCATGACCCTTGAGTGTTTTCTGTGAGGTGTGGGGTGATGAGTAATGGTTTGAAATATGAAGGTGGTGGACATACCAGGTGCTCAGTGAGAGCATTGTAGTTGGTAACAGTTTTTTTGCCATGTGTGATCTGGAAGAGTGGGTTTTGGCCAAGGGTGTAGTAGTTCAGGGCCTTCTCAAAAGCATTCAGGATGACTGAGCCTGCTGAGTTGATGTAGTTCTCAAAGCCGGAGATGTGGTTGAGGATGATCCAGCTGAGTTCCATCCCTGCAGCTGCTGGCACAACTTTGTAGACATTCTCCCACTGCCAGTGCTCAATGAGGTTCCACACCACAACTCTGTGGTTACAATTGATGGCCTCTGGAAGGTTAAAAGTTAGTACCCAAAAAAACCAATGTGCATTGGGAATTGCAAATAGCCTACAAACTGAATGGCCATGAGTGCAGCTAAAATGAACTGGTGTGGGAAGTAATACCAAACTCATCAATGTTGTTTTGGTCAAGGCGCTCATCTTCATTGAGAAATCTAACAATGAAGGGCTTGGTTGTGAGACACCCTCCATCCACAACAGACAGCAGCAAGTGACAAATTCCTGGAACTGTCACTGGGTGATGCTGTTCTGATGGCAGTGCAGGCAGTTAGCAAGTGAAAGCATCTACACATTGCCAGAATGAAAAGAGGAGTTGTACCAAAGATGGTGCAGTTCCAAATGTCAAGGTGGCATGATGTGGGTTTAACCCAGGTACAGTGCAAAGTTGAAGGGTTGATGCAATCAAGCTGCTCCTTCTGCTGGCGAATTGCTTGGTCATTGTGGGTCACCCAAAGGCTGGCGCTGATGATGTTGGGGTTGGACTGAAGTGATTGGAAATTTGGGAGTGTATGAATTTTAGTTTCTGAATAGTAAGGTTGAGGTCAGCAACACAAACTGTTAGAGAACGTGGTTCTCACAAGGTTGAATAAAAAACTGATGTGCATTGGGAAAAGAGTTGACAAATAAAAACCTGATGCGCATTGGGAAAAGAGTTGACAAATAAAAACCCAATGCACATTGGGAAAAGAGTCAACAAATAAAAAAACCCAATGTGCATTGGTTTGGAACATGTCAGTGTGGTGAACAGTAAAAACACACAAAGTGTACATACCTAGCTCCAGGTCAGGCAGGGCAAGTAGTCTGGTGGCCTCCTTGTGTTGCTCTTTGGTGTTGCCTGTGGAGTACTGACGCACCACTGGCTGCTTGTGAGGCTTGGTCTTGATCTCCTCCGCCTCCATCTCCTTGTCCACATCAATCACCTCTGGGTGTGCACATTTCCTCTCCTTGTGCTCTTCCTCTACCAGCTTGCACTTCCTTGGCAGCACTTGGTGCTCCTCCTCCTCCAGCTCCTCCTCCTGCTCCTCCTCCAGCACTTCCTCTCCCTTCTCCTCCTCTTTCTCCTCCTCCACTATGTCCTCCTCCAGCTCCACCCCCTTCTCCTCCTCCTTCTGCTCCTCCCCCTGCTTCTCCTCCTCCTCCTCCTCCAGCTCCTTCTCCTGCTCTTCCTCCTCCTCTGTCTCCTTTTCCTTCCTCTCCTCCTCCTCCTCTTCCATGTCCATCAGCTCTTTTGCTCCCTCCTCTGCTATCATTGGAATACACTGTGTTAGCAGTTTGAGCAACTGCTGCTTTGTGGAGCCAGTGTCTTGGCCCCACACCTGCAGCAACCCATCAATGTACACCTTGGTGATAACCTTGGTGTTGGGTTGCTGGTGCACCTTTGCTAGGGCATTATGGGAGCTTGCTAGAAGCTCAGTGGCCAACATGGCTGAGAAGTTGGGAAGGCCAGAGGCAGCTTGGTGAGAAGACATTGAAAGGAAGTGTGTGTTGAACGTGGGTGGTACAACAAAATGATCAAAACAGGTTGTTCAACGTTTTATAGGTAATGTAGGTCTACAAAAAAAGCTGTCCACATTAAATTCTAATTGGAGGGACAGGAAACAGGGGGCGAAATTTCATTAACCCTCAGAGTAGGCTCCTTGGGTGTGGTAGGCTTTGTCCCAGATCACTGGTAGAACGCCTCAGTTACAAGGACCAATGCCACCAAGCAACAAGTCAACCAAGTCTTTACATGAGCCTGATCATTGACTACTCCAACCCACTCCCTCTCCCCACCCACACTCCTGTGCCAAAGGCCTGGATGCACTTTGGCAACCAGTTCACCATGGTTCTTGGTGGTCTCATTGACCACAGCCATGGCAAACACCTCTTTCTACACCCTCAGCCCTTTTGGCCAAAAGATGCTAACCTTGTCATCTCCACACTCTTTCACCACATCTGAACTCGCCTTTTGACTAACACTGCCTCCAACACTCGCCCTTCTATCCTCTACCTGCAGGCTGACAATTGTGCTGCTGAGAACAAGAATGTCTTCATGCTTGCCTTCCTCAGTCTCCTGGTCAGCCTGGATATGTTCCAAGAGGTCTACCTGAGCTTTCTGTTGGTTGGGCATACACATGAAGACATCAACCAGCTCTTCTCCACTGCTCAGACAAAGTTCCATACCTCTTCCATTCACACCCCAAGGTAATGGTCATCACTCTTTTTTTGTGTTGATTGTTTTCCTGATGTGCATTGGGTTTTTTATTTGTCAACTCATTACCCCAATGCGCATCAGTTTTTTCTGTCAGCATTAATGATTGCCCCTTTTTGTTCACCTTCCTAACTTCATCTTCAAATTTCAGTCAACTTTCTGGTTTTCTTGAGCAGGCTTACCAATCCACTGGCCCAGCTCCTTCCCTGCACACCCTTGAAACTGTTTGGGACTGGAAGAGCTTGGAAATCACATGCATGGCCTGACTGGTCACTCCACCCCCCATGTTTTCCATTTTTTCTGTGATGCTTCAGGCAAACCAGTGATCTGGGACAAAGCATACCACACCCAAGGAGCCTACTCTGAGCCATACCAGCTTCTCACATCCATTCTGACTGGTTTACTCCCCTTCCTCCTCACTATGTTGCACACACCCTACCAAAAGATATCACAACTTACACAAACCACATCAGGAGCACCTTTCACTATCCTGCCTCAGCAATTTCCGCCTGAAGTGCTTACTGAGTTGGCTGACAACTGCCATGCTCCACTGTTCCTTGAGTCTGAGCTTAGTGAGTGGGCTGTTATCTTTGAAGCTCATGAGGCTCCCAACCCACCTGTGCTAACTTGATTTTTGATGGACTCACAGCTCACCCCATCACTAATCCTCTCCTTGATGGTCCATTGTTCCATCTCCAAACCAGGGTCAAGGTTGTCCACACACAGACTACACCCCAAGTCCAACGTTTCAACTTTGCTCCTGGTCAGTGGGTTGCTGTCTGGGCTGATGCTGATGAAGACACTCAGGACTTTTGGATATGCAAGATCATCAGCGTTCTCCATAAGAGGCTCCATGTCCACTGGTGGAACTTTGCTAATGGACGCTGGACTGACCATGGCTCAGAAAGCACTGTTCCAATGGGGTCTGTTTTAGCTTGTGGCTTTGACTTTAATGCCAACACTGGAGTTCCCCCACCCACCCTTCAAGAAATATTTAGACACCTGTAAATAAAACTTCTCTTCTCTGTGTACATTCAAATTCCACAGTGTTTTTATCTCCTGTACACCTGTTTTTAGTTTCATTAAAAAGTACCACTATCACCTTTTTCTGGACACAGTGTTATCCAGTGCAGAGCTTGCTTGCCAAACTGAATTTCACTTCCTCCTTTAATCCATCTTGAATGGGATTGTATTGACTGATATGAAGTGGGAACTGTTGGCCAGTTGTATCTGGTGGTTGGTGTTGTATATGTACATCTTTGTCCTGTCCTCAGCTTAATACACTTGATTTTGAAATGGTTAGGGATGTAACAATTCATATTTTGGTCCACCCTCACAAAGCACAAATCAAGGATTGCCCTCTGCATTGCTGAGAATACTTTGATTGATTCTCCTATAACTTGCGCTCATTTGAAATGAGAGGTCACAAATGACCATGGAAATTATGTTGTGCTAAAATTGTGTGAGATTTGACATTCTTGCTTTATAGGGCAGTTTTGAAGATTTGGAACTGAATCTGTGATATTGATATGCTAGACTGCTGCTGATAAGTGATATTGAGGGACTGGAGATAAAAAAGATTTCATAAAAACTTGAAATGTGTGGAGTTGAAAGTGATTGTTATCAGTGAGCGTGAGAGAGCTTTGTTATGGTGGAATTTTATCTTCAGGAATAGTGCTCCAATTCAGCAGCACAAATAACTTGTGGTCATTTGAAATGAGAGGTCCAGTCATTTTGAAAAGTGATTTTGTTTGTGAGTTTAAGCCTCTATAAATGGTTTTGACAACACAAAAATGATTTTAATTTAAACATAGCAAGACAAAATTGGGAGCATCTTGAGAAATGGCAGATTCAAATACCATCATCATGAGAGACATGACACTGTAACTGGGCCATCAGATTTTCCAAATCATGTACATGTACACAATAAACTTAGTATCAGTAGGTCAAACATGTAGTCATTGCATATGGTGTACATGATAAAGTAAATGTCCTGTTTTACAGCATAATATTGCTCAGCTGGAGTACTTGCAAAAAAAGAAAAAGTTGCCACATCACACAGTTCAGAAGAACCATAAAAGCTGACATGCCTCTTTCTTTTTTGCCACCAACAAGTTCTTGGGTGGATTTTGCACCAGCCAAGCAATACTCCATACTTGGTGTTTTCAAGTGTGCTCAATGGTACATCACCACCATGTGAAGAAAATAAAGAACAACTGGCTAACCCAGTGACATTACGCCAATCTTTTCCCATTGCACCACACCAAACTAATGTGACCTTGACTGATGGCCCAGTTACAGCATCATAATATCTCTCATTATGGTGATATTTTAATCTGCCATTTCTCAAGATGCTCCCAATTTTGTCTGGTTATTTTTAAATTAAAACCATTTTTGTGTTGTCAGTGACTTAAGAACAAGTCAAGAGTTGAGGAGTTTAGAATGGGAGCCATTGAGGTTCATCCCTGTTATAAGTGTGGGTGAAACCATAACCTGTTGTGGTTTCATGCAGTTGATGGGAGAAAGAGACACAACTGCTTTGTATAGGTTTATTTCTTCCTAAAACAACAAGAAAAGGTGAAGTAATGGCAAAGAAAGGAAAGAAGGAGAAGTGTTAGGGGGAGTTGTTGGTTTGTGTTTCATCATGAGCTCATCAGCCCTTGCGGCCGAAGAAGGACGAGACGCCCTTCTTGGCAGCCGCGCCGGCACCGCCCGCACCAGCGCCGCCCTGCTGGACCTTCTTGAGCTCGGTGTTGAGGTTGTTGTTGGCAGCCTGGGCCTTGGCCAGTGCGATCTTGGTGGCCACGAGCTGCTGCTCGAGGGGCTTCATCTCGGCCTGCATCTTGGCCAGGCGGTCGTCGGCCACGCTCGTGTTGGACTGGATGTCGAACTTCTCGGCCTGCATCTGCGCCAGGGCCAGCTTGCTGTTGATCAGCTGGTCCTCCACGTCCTTGAGCTGCTTGCTCAGCACCTCCCTCCGGAGCGGAAGCACTTGCGGACCGGGTCCGCATCGGTGGTGGCGGTGCCGATGGCCTGGAAGAGTGTGCTCAGCACTTGCTCAATCCTTGCACAAGACAAGGCTGGGAAAGCGAGATCTCTGACCTTTGGTGCGCGCACAGGGGATGGAGTTGGGGCTTGGTCGTGTTGCCTTTGCCGCGGCCTCCCACCATTGTTGGGTGGCTCTCCCACGCAACCTCTCGCTTGGTAGAAGCCAGCCAGCACATTGCTGAGCGCGGCCCCCGCGCTCCGAATAATAGGGTCAGTCACCCTCGCTGGCCTGACAGCCTGCTCTGCTGTGAGGCGGGGCTCCTGTCTGATTGGCCGCAGCTTGGTGGCGACCGCTCCGCTGGCCGTGGGGGTCGCGCGCGGCTGTGGGCGGTCCCACAAGGCTCGCTAGGCCTTTGAGGAAGCGAGGTGGCCGCTCTTGATCATTGAGGACTGACTGGCCGACTGGCCCCTGCTCGGCAAAGCCGTGTGTGTGTGTGTGTGTGTGTGAGTCGCCTGTCCAACTCGGCCCACCGACATGACCTCGCAAGCTCATTGCCCACCGCCGCCAGGGCGCCACACTCTGCGCGGCGGCGTGCTCTGCGCGGCGCTACGTCGTCGTCGAGTTTGCCGCGGTGTGCTCTGTGCGTTACGCTCTGCGCGGCCTACTCGGCGAGTGCCACTCTGCGCGGCCTAGCCGACGTTGCATGCTCGGCAGGCGGCGTCGAATTTCTGTGGTGCAGCGCTGTTGTCGTCGTCTCCGTTGTTCTCGCTGTCAAGTTTGTGTCGCGATGGGCAAGCCGCCAAGACTAACTGAGTTTGCGTTTGTCTGCGCTGCGCCGAAGTTGTTGGACCAAGTTGGAGTCAGACGCCAATGCATGCCCACTTTACAGCAAGCCCTACTCTCCCCCATACTTGTCGAGCGGACGATGCTTGCCGCCGCCAGCGTGCTGGCACACAATAGAGCTTGCACCGCCGCCAGCGTGACACACACCCTACTCGCGCTGTCATCCCCGCGCCCAACGCAGCTAACACGCCGCGTCGCGCTCGCTGTTGCCACCGCTGATACGCGGGCGACGACGATGACGATGATGTGGGCATGCTGGCGTCGTGGACAGTCCCGCTGATGAAGCGAATCAAGGCCTCCAGCGCCGAGCGCCCGCCGCCGGCCGCAAGGTTCGTTGGTCTCTATGCCGACGCGCCGCTGTTGTTCTGCTCGCACTCGTCTTTGAGTTTTATAAAGCGCCCATCCACGCAGAGTCTCACACACACGCGCCCGATAGCCCGAGCTCGCCTTCCCCCAGCCCAGCCGACCCGACGTCTGATACGGCTGCCAAGACTGACGATGTAGAATGGGGAAGCACTGCGAGCAGCAGCGAGGGGCGAGGCATGTGGTAGGGCTCGTGGCAAGGGTGGCGGCATGGCGCTGTCATGGAGTCCGCGCTCCGACCTCTAGCACACATCCGGGTTGGCGCGCTGGCCAAGATTGGCATAGTGCTGGTGGCGTCTGGCATGCTGGCATCTCGCGCGCTGGCATGCTGGCCAAGATTTAACTACGTAGTGCTGCTTGCGCCTTGCGCGCTAGTGTCTCGCGTGCTGGCGCGCTGTCAAATTGTTAAGTATGACACATCGCGCGTGGGCGTCTCACGTGCTGGCGAAGAATGCTGACGTGTCTTGACGGGGTACCCGCCTCGGCATACTTGGCACGGCGTACTTGGCATTGTACTTGATGCAGCATAATTGGCGCAGCATCCTTGTTGCATCCTCGGCGCGGCGTACTTGAAGCGCTTACTCCTCCGCGGCGAGGGCATGCTTGGCGCGCTCTGTCAAGTTGGTGTCATCAAGTTTGTGTCGCGAGGACGAGCCGCTGAGACTAAGACAAGCCAAGTCTGGCTTGCCCCATGTTTGTGTCGGTTGTAGATGGCGAGGTGAGTCGGTTTTGTGTCGGTCAAACAAGTTGGCGAGGCGAATTGACTTTGCATCGAGCCGAGTTTGTGATTGCGCAAGTGGCGGCATGTGACACAGCGTACTTGATGTGGTGTACTTGGCGCAGCGTACTTGAATTGGCATGCTTGACGCGCGTACGCCGCTGCGGTTATGTCAGTGTACCTGACGCGCGCGCTTGCACAGCTGCGGCGAGGTCAGCACGCTGGGCGTGGCGTTGCGTTGTTGAGGTGGTGTCGCGAGGGCGAGCCAGACAACAAGTCGAGTCGAGTCGGGGTTGCGATCGAGTTTATGTTGGACCCACTTTGCGTCAACGCCAGAGTCAGTACAAGCAGCTTGCGCCAGCACCAGCGTCTCACGCATGCATGCACGCGAGTTGCCTATGGCAACAGCTGCCGCCCTTGTTGCATGCATGTGGTTGTCCACGGCAGCCATGCTTGCGTCGTTGCCGCTGCTCGCCACTGGATGGTGCGCGACGGCCTCGCGTCTCGCTGCCATTGCCAGGTGCGCCAAGTGCATGCGCGCGCATGAGCATCGTGAGCGCAAGTGCTCATGCCTACCCCACGATGTGAAGCGCACAGTGCAGCGTACATCTTTGCGGTGCTCTCGCCATCGTTGTGTGCTGTGCAAAAGGTTTGAGGAGGCTTTGGGACTTGGATGTGTTTTGTGGCATTGATGTGCATGGTGTCAGCCACGCCATGCCCAGACCATGCTTATGCATGCTCGCTGGTGTTGTTGTGTACACACCATCTCTGAGCTACGTAGCTGCCCACGCACGATCGCAGCTTGTGCCAGCGTCAGCCTCGGCCTCAACACCAGCCTTAGCACCAGCGTCAGCCTCAGTGTCAGCCTCAGCCTCAGCGTCAGCGTCATTGTCAGTGTCAGCCTCAGCCTCAGCCAACATCGCGTGCGTCAGCGTCAGCTTCAGCGTCAGCGTTTGCATTAGTACGGCCACTGTCGCCGCCGACCCACAAAAAGGTCCAGCCGCGGTCCATCTATGCCACGCCTGGCGCGCTCCAGCATTGTTGGAAGCCTGACGCCGCAGCAACACCTCAGTTGGCTTGCGGCCATACCAGGACGCTACTGTGGGTGGCGCGTAGCGTTGCATCAACAGCAATCAAAGTCCGCCATCCTCGTCCTAACGCCGACGCTGAGACAGTCGTGCTGGGTTGATGCGCTGAGCGCTAGTATACAGTGGGCAGCGGATAGCGACGCTCGCGCCCACAGCCTAAGGACACCTCAGTCCCTGCCGTGCCAACATGACCGCAAGCAGGCCAGCCTGACTCCGACGTGGCCGAGCCGCAGCGTGCTGTGCCAGCACGTCGCAACATCACTGCCTTGGCTGCCGCCATCGCTGGCGTCATCGTGGGAGCGCATGTGAGAGTTGGGCGCATGGCTGCACCAACGTCAGAGACTCGCGCGGGCGGGCGACATCAACCTCAATGGCTTGCAGGGCTGCTCGCAAGTGCAGCTGACACAGTTGGCCACAACCAATGGGCCAGCACCGCATGCATGCGCCCACACACTCACACCTACCTCGGGAGCTGCACCAGCACCAGTAGCAGCAGTAGTGTATGCATAAGCAGCGACAGCAGCGTAAGCTGCCGCAGCAGCAGCATAAGCAGCAGCACCAGCAGCGTAAGTAGCACGCCAGCGGCGGCAGCAGCAGCGAAGCGTGAGCAGCACCAGCAGCGGAAGCAGCAGCAGCAACATAAGCGTAAGCAGCAGCACGCCAGCGGTAGCAGCGTAAGCAGCAGCATGCCACAGGCAGAGAGCATCTCTGGCATTGACCACAGCACCAGCACTGTCTGTATCACACAAGTCCCTAGCAGCAAGCGCTGTCACTGAGGCAGTGCTCACACCAGGGGTCATCAACGTCAAAAACTTGTGTCAGCAGTGACAGCAGCACACTCATTGCCAACGCCAGCAGCAAGCACCTCCAATATATAGACAGCGCCAGTAGCAAGTATCACTGACCACGCCAACAGCGAGCACCAACATCAAGAGCATCAGCAACAAACACACTGACAGCTAATGCTTCCCACATCAACAGCGCCAGCATTGACAGTCTCCAGCTCTGGCAGTGATTGTTGGCGCCAAACATGTAGGTGTCCAACTTTGCAATGGAAGTGACTTGGGGCCAGCACTGTACATGTTGGCAGCAGCAACAGACACCACCACTGACACTGACATGAGTGTTGGCTTCAAACCCTCAGCTGCTGATGCTGCTGTGTCCTGTGCTTGCCTTTCACTTCCATCTGTCTTGCCTGTGCACATGCATCACACTGTGTCATCACAAACTGGCAATCTATTGTCTAGCACACTCTTTTGTGTCTTTCCAATAAACAAAACACCATGTGTGATGGTGACCACACATCCCAGCCCTTGCCTCGCTGTCCTTGCCTCTGCTCAGCTGCTTGCTTGGGGGTGTTGTCTCCTGACGTGCACGCTCACACTGCTGGGTATGCTAACCTTGGTGCACCATACTCAGTGCAGTGTTGTTGTTTTTGGGCTGGTGTCAGTGAGAGTGAGTTGACAAGTCGAGTTGAGTTGGACTTGCTTGCACCACATCTGTGTTGAGCCAAGTTACATCTTTTAGTTGTGGCAATGCACTTGGCCCAGCATATTGGTTGTGGCGTATTTGATGCAGCCTGCATGGCACGCACTTGCACCTCTGTGGTGAGGTCAGCATGCTTGATGTGGCATAATTGGCCATGGTGGTGTTGCCTTCGAGTTGGCATCGCCAATGTCTATGACAAGCTGAGTTTAGTTGGGCTTGTGCTGTGTTTGTGTCCAATCAAGTTTGTGTTGAACCAAGTTTGTGCTGGATGACAAGCCAGAGCCAGACCAAGGTTGGCCAGTTGGCCCACCAAGTTGGCAAGGTGAATTGAGTGGGCACCAAGCCAGGTTCAAGGTTGTCTCATGCAGTGTACTTGCTGTGCATGTGCGCCTGTCGCCATGCTTTGGCGTGTCTGCACTTTCACTGCTGTGACAAAGCCTGTGTACTTGCCACATGATCACCCACACTAGTGTCTTTGAGTCAGGCGCAGTGCACTCAAACATCAGCAAGTTCACCTTGGCCGTGGTCAACATGCTTGCCTCAGTGGTGTGCTTGGCGTTGTGTCAGTGTTGTCATCAAGTTGTGCCAAGTTGCCAAGAGCAAGCTGACAAGACGACAAGCCAACAAGCCAAGCAGGGCCTTGCACTGTGTGTTGAGCCCAGTTTGTGTTGGATGGCACTC